ATCAATGTCAAACAAGAAATGTCCAACCTTCAAAAATTTAAGCCATATCACGTAATTCTATTTTTTTCCAGAATTGTTTTAAAAAATGATGTCGCACTGTCTGCAGAATGATTTAATGATATGAGGATGAATGGATGATCATACGGAACTTTCTCGAGAAAACGTATATGTCAGGATTGAATTGCGTCAACTATCATCAGCCATCTTGAAGGTACAAGAAGCATCAGGTACGAAAATGCACACGCAAATTTAAGTCGTACAATTCTAATTTAAACATTGCAAGAAATTTAAAACAATTGCCCATCATGTACTTACAATTATTAAATGGAATCCAGACTTATTTGATGATAAATAAGATTAAAAACACTTCGCGAATAACGCAAAGTCAATCAACGTAACAATCTACGACACTGTAGCTTGTCGACATTGGCTGCTTGGATCGATGCGATAACTCTTGAATTTCATTGGTCATTGAAAAACGTCCATTTTTCGATAAGCAGGCTTGCCAATTGTAAATTAGATTATTTCCCGCCACTTTATTTAAATATGAATAATAACATTTCTACTTTTAATAAAAAAAATTTTTTTATCACGTTTTGTAAATAAATTTTTCCTATTTACAAAATAGGAAAAAAATTGTTTAAACATATATTAAAAACGAAATTAATTATAAACCATTTCCGGTTAAAAAAGCGGTGTTTATCCTTTAGAAATTCTTTAATTACTTATAGACAATGATAATTATTCTTCTTTGTTTAAAAATTATCTAATAAGGGTAATGATTATGTTATCTCAAACAAAGAATTGACCATAAAAACATATGATTGACAAAGAAGTATATACGAAACAAAAGATTCCCGCGTTTAAAGAACATTTCTAACCTATAAACTTGAATGCACACAAAATCTAAAAAATTCTTTTAGGTTAATTACATAATAGAAAATTTGAAAAATATAATATTTCTATTTTACTAATTAAAATCTGTGTCAATAACTTTGAAATTGACAATTCACAATTTCCCATGATTGTAAACCGGTTTTGTCAAGAGAGAAAAGAGGACAGTGGAATCTCGATCACTTTGAGATGATGATGAAAATTAATAGTTAATGATAATTTATAACATACCTGTCCGTAGAACCAAGTATTTAGAGCATGTCCAGCTCCTCTGTATACAAAGTTAAATATATTCCAAAGCATAATTAACACTTATTTTATAATTAAATCATTGGCTTCTTTTTTTTTTAATCGAGAGCACAAATCGTCAAACACTACTTTAAAACATTGAATACATGCAATAACATAGATGGTGAACTCGATTTCGATTTATGAGTGTGGGCAGCGCCGCTTGTGGTGGAAAACATAACCATATTACCGATTGGGCTCAGATTTAAATTTAAATAATAATTATTATTACTATAATTATTAATATTATATTACTATAATTATAAAAATAGTATTTCTAAGAATATATATTGAATTTTTTAAATATTAATAAGGAAACTATAAAAATGACTGTTTTTTTAAAAAAAAATTTTACCGCCAATGGGTCACGTGATAAAAAATTCAAAATTAAGGCGCAAAAATCAATAATGGAAATAATAACAAATAAATAAGAGAAAACATGGAAAATAGTAGAATATAAAGAAATTTGTGAATATTCGTAAATATTTTTAAATACTTTGGTGAATATTTTAATTAAAACTTACCGTTACTGATAATTTTGATGAGGATAAATTTAATTTTAGTTGTAATTTTATCGCAGGATGTTCAAACGGCGTCCAGGGTACTAAATTCCATTTTCCTTCAGAGGACCACTAAAACATTTAAATCAAATTAATTAATTAATAATTTTATTTTCATTATATTATTGATATTTATTATCAATTTTAAAAATTTATTATACTTTCTCTTTATTTTTGCTATGGACTATAGAATTATTTAATTAATTTAAAATTAATATAAATTATTAAATTAATAATTAAAATTACATAATTTAAAAATTTTCCCAAAAAAAAAAAGGAAAAAGGTAGATTAAACTTTTTAATTACTTATTTTTGAATAAAAATTTATAACTATTAATAATAATTAATCAAAATTAAATTATTTAAGGATAATAAAATTATAGATTTTCCTGTAAGTTATTTTTCAACAAAGAGGGAGAATCCACGTGATGATTCTGCGCGCGGATTTCTGATTAGAACCTTATAAAGAAACTTGAAATCTCACGATTTTAATTAAGAGAAAATAAACACGGAAACTAATTTTTATAATGATAAATAATGAAAAAAAAAAAATGAATATTAATACAAAAATGAAAATTTAATTTTAGAAACACGATGCCTATTAGATTTAGTCACAGTTCGTTTTTAATGTTCAATGTACCATCAAAATTTAACTCGGTCAATATTACGGAAACAGAGAGAGGAATACAAACTAGTTGACCTTGTAACTACTGTCTTGCAAACCTGCCAACACATTCACGGAATTTGGACCCATTTTAATTAATTAAAAAAGAAAAAGATCTATTCTCACTAAATTTAGAAAATCCTTTTTTAAAATTATTTATTAATCTCCTTTTTTTGTTTTGTTTTTTTTTGAAAATAATAAATATGAAATTATTATTTATTTGATTAGTAACAAAAAATTATTCATGAATATCCTTCACTTAAACAATAGCCTTTGTTTATTATTCTTTTTTACTTTTACAACTTTATAAACAAAGAAAATTTAGAACTAAAATTCCTTTTTTTATCAAAAAATTAAAATTTTTATCAGAAACAAAATAATATCAAAAGTTTTTCATATTTCTAAATATTATTAATATTTATTATTTAAAGTAAAACGTTTAATTAAAAAAAATTCTATTTAGGTACTTGAAAAATATTTTTTAAATTACATTTACAATTTAATTTTTTTTAAAACAGTGTATTATTAAAAAAAACAATAATAATTCAAAAATAAAGATAATAATTAAAAAAGAAAATAATTTTAAAAAAGGATTTTAAGGAAGATTAAAATAAATTTGAATACCTTCCTAATGTCTTGTAAATAAGAGCGGGAAATTTGTCGTACTGACGTTTGTATATCAGTGGCAATTATCCTTGAAAAAATTCGTCTGATAAAACGTGTTATCACAACAGAGTTGACACCCTTGTTCATCTTCCAAGAACAACGGTGCTTAAACTGCAGTATGTATGCACTGATCGAGCTTAAAAAGAGCGCTTGCGCTTTAATATCAACCTTATTTTTCCCTCCAAGGGCCACTTTACTCGAGATACAGATTATTTCGAGCATTTTCTAATAAAAAATACACAACTGCTACTAGTTATCAATCAAACATCTTCGCGATTGCCTCTTGATTGGATTTGCATAATTAATTTCTTGAAAAAAAAATCCCACGTTCATCTGTAACATTTTTCACAATATACAAATTATTTATCGAAAATTAATTTTTATCTTATTTTCTAAATGATTTTTAATTTAAATTATCTTTGACCTTTGTTCCATTATTTACAATTTTAATTTTATTTATAATAAAAAATTTTTTGAATTAACATTTTCATTTAGAAAAAATAAAATAATGTTTTAATTAAATCAGTGTAAAGTGATAATTGCACAAAAAACTATTGTTTTTTTTTTTTTTTAGATTATAGTTTCGTAAATCGCGTTGCAAAACCACATGTATAACTGTGTATCAGTGTATATTCACTAAATGAAACTTATCATTATCTTTCCTTGTGTCCGGTATTTATAAACGAGCTCATACACAATTGCTACTTAGGTCTTTACCATAATCATGTAATGCTCTTTGACTTCAGACTAGTTATTAAAATTTCTAATCATTATAAAGAATAACATATAAGACTATTGTCAATTTTATAATTTTTTTTTTCTTTCTTTTTTTTTTGAGTTATAAAGGTCATTCATTTTTCAAGGTAGATAATTGTTTTAGAACATTGTAAGGTCAAATTAGAAATCAAGAAATTGTATATAGGAAAATATCTATATTGTTAATTAAGATGTTAATTAAAAATCATTTCTGATAAGATAAGATAGGAAAAAATTTGTTCAATGACCTTTTTCAAAATTTATGTAATTTATTTTTTATTATCATGTGGTTTTACTGCAATTCTATTATGAAAAAAATGATAATTTTGAATTTATTTCCATTTTTTAATTGTAACACGATTTTTAAAAATTTCAGTGTCTCAAATTTTAGAAACAAAATTTAAATAACAAAATGGCAATTAAATTACTGTAATTAAAAATTTTTTTTTAATTTTTTTCAATTCTAAAGATTTTTAAAAATTTTCTCACAAAGAAATTATTTGAAAATTAATTGAAAATATTGGAAGTTTTTTTGTCTAGAGAAAACAAAGATTGATTATTACTATAAAATAGTAATACCAAAAAAATAATAACAAAATGAAAACAGATTCAGTAGTGAAAAATAAATTTTAAAAAAGTGATCATTAACTTATTGCTGATTTATTTCAAAAAAAAAATTTAATTTAACTATTTTTAAATCAAAATATTTCAAAAAGGAATTTAAGATATTTTTCAAATATTTTAAAATACTCCAAATGGAATATATATATATATATATATATATTATTTATACATCTATATTATAGATATAATATTATTATCTCCAATATACATACATAAAAATTAAATATTTATATAACATTTAAAACATTTTCTTTTAAATAATTCTATTTGTTTCAAGTTCATTTAAATTATTTTTTTTTAATATATTGATTAAAGAAACTGATAGATGACACGACAATGGTTATTAAAAATGATAAATAAAAAAAAACCTATATTTGCAAATATTCGCAATAAAATATATTTTGTTTATCTATAATTAATATGTAAATTCAATACGATAAAAATGAATAAAGAAAATATGTTTTTTTATAAATAGTTTAAATATCGTTTCGGGAAAAAAATAAAGTGATAAAAAACTGGAAACAAAAGTAATTCTAGTTCTTAGAAAGGTATATATATAACTGCAAACTTTATGGAAAAAATTTAACTATTTCCAACTTGGATAAAAATTTTTTTTTTTTAAATTTTCAATCGTTTATAAATTACTTTTCAATTCCTCAGGTGAGGAGGTAAGTCAAAAAAAAAAATTAAATAATTAAATTAATTATAAGAATTATTGTCACTTGTTTTTTATTCAATTTTTTCTGTGTGTCAAATCTTTTTTTGTTTAAAACTTCTTTTTAAAATTATTTTAGTGATTAATTTTGAAAAATTATTATTACTACATATTTGAAAATTTATTATATTTGAAATATTTTGATTTTAAAAATCGACATTTATTCTTAAAATTCAAAAGTATTAACCTTTTTTTTATGAATTTGAATCAGAGCAATTTTAGAAATCTTTGAAGGACTTCTATAATCGTTTTGATGTTAAACGTTCCATTTTTTTCCAACATTGAAAAAAAAAGAATTAAATGAATCAAATACTGAATTGATTGTAGAAAAATAATGTCACTGATTAGAAAAATTATTTAATTTCCTATTTTTATTAAATAAACAATTTTTGTTTATTCAGTATTTGTTTCGAATAATTTTTTCTTTCCATTCTATAGTTGAAATAAAAATGTTGGCAGAGAATGAAATGATTTTGTTATAGTTTGAAATTGGCCGATTTCGAGTATCGAGTCAAATACCTTTCTTAACAGTCCTGCGCTGAACTTTTTGCAGAAACACGAGCGTTTGCTAGAGAGAGAAAGATAACGAGGGAGTGTGGAGTCACGGCCTCCGTCAGTGGTTTTGCGGAGGCGCAGAGTGACCGTGGCTGCGGAAGGGTGCGGAAGTCAAAAAAAGAGAGAAAAATAATTTTGTCCCGGGGATATTTTCTTTTTTCTCTCGACTTCCAAAAAGAAAAATCCTTTCGTGTTCATCATTATAGGACTCATTTTTTTCTCTAATTTCCACTCCAACATCACGCTCCATCATTATACAAAAAAAAAAAAAAAATTAATTTCAGAACAAATTAATTTGTCACACGCGAAGCGACAACGACGTCGGGCGTCAGTGAACTGCAATCGCACAATGCGGATCAATTATCAACTCAGGTGATCCAATTTGATCCTAGAAACGAAAAAGACAATTCATCATTAATTGTTGATGTTAAGGAGAATGGGAAATACAGAATGGAGTCAAATGAGCAGGACCAAAAACAAAATTCAAAAAATCAGGTCCTGCTCAAATGTTGGGAAGAAATGCCAAAACATCTGCAATTTAATCCCCATATTAGAAGCGGATACAGACCACTTATGACCCCGACAAATTGTGTTCGCAGCATTTTCTTCTTCCACAATGAGACTGTCAATATTTTGACCCACGGTGAGTCGATTGTCATCTGGAAAAAAATTTTTTCTCTTATTTTTCTCTTTCTCACTTGTTCTTCCATTTTTTTCCATCTTCATCAGAAAAAATTAATCATTTTTTTTTTCTGTCAAATTCTCATATATATTCCGTTGGATTCTCACGCTGAGCTTTTGAAAAGAGTTTTCATTCTTGTTTTCTGCAAAAAAAAGAAAGAAATCAGTCAAAAAAAAATCTTATTATGTAAGGAATGTGGACACAAAGAATAAATTACACAATCTATTTGTATGTCAGGATTGTCGGCAATTAAAAAACTTTACAAGTCACGCATTTAATAAAGAAGCAAAAAAATAAATAAATTTTCAATTAAAAAAAAAAATAAATTTTAAAAACAATTTTTATCTAAAAATTAAAAAAATTATAAAAGTTACTTAATGAAATGAAAATTAGAAATTCTGATAATGAAAATTGGATAATGATTCTCTCTCCCTCTATTCATTACAAATTAAATTCTCTTCTTATACGGCTGACTGAAACTATACACTTCCACTGGGGAAATCACACTTGTCTCCATCAAAACTGCTTTCTCTCTCCTGAAAGCTCTTTTCATGTCTGATTAAAATATCGCTATTCTACTTGGAAACTTAACTTTTGATTATAACAATGCAAATTCTTATCTGGCATAAATTTACAGAGAAAATATTTTTAAATTTATTTTTTAAAAAATCAAAATAATAATTTTCTTTAAAAAAAAAAATTCTTTTTTTTTAAAAGAAATTTTTTTTTTAACATTGAAATATTCGCAATTTATTAGACAAAAAAAAAAGTTTAATTATAGAATTTCACTGCTTTCTTTGTGAAATTTGTCCTTTATGTATCATCATTTTTTTTTAGAAATACTCCAAAAGTAGGGCGTTGAATTCATCTCATCTTTTATACAAGAACAAAAACTAAAGGTTACTTTGAAAAATAGATGAGAGTTTTTAGAAAATAGTAACATCACACTCTAGACACGTCAAAGGAAGCAATTTAATTTTTTATAAATACGTTAATAATTACTCTATACATAATGGGAGAGTAATTACAATAAATATCTAACTGAACTCTAATTTCGAAAGATTTCTCCATTATTTTAATTTTAATATTTTTTATTATTCAACAAAATTTTTTATATTTTAAAATATGTTTTTACCTAATTATAAATTAATTAATTAAATTAGGAATTTTTTTTCAAAATCGTAAAAAAACTCTAAAAATTAAAAAATTAAATTGTTAATTAAGTTTTACTAACAAAATTTTGTCCAGCAAAATGATATTCTCATAAATTTAAATTACTTTCAAGGCGACACATATATCAAGTCGATCATAGCATCATAAATCTTGAAATGTTCATTAACTCAGATTCAAGGGGGGATTTATGTTCTCCCTCCTATATAGAGTGATTCGTTTTGAATTTTAATTCAAAAAAAGAAAATAAAAAAAAAATGCCTAATGAATCAAATACGTGAAAAAAATTAAACTCCAAATATTTCACCCTTTTTTTCTATGAATTTTTTTTTTTTTTTTTGAAATTAAAATAAATTTTAATTTTTTTTTCGTAAACTAAAAAAATTTAAAAAATTAAAATTCCGTTGAAAAGTACAATTATAAGAGGGTTTCTTTTCTCAAAATATCAAGAGAGAGAGATATAATCAACAATTCAAGATTTTTCTGCAGGGCATATAGATTGGCCAATCTCAAAAGAGGCACTCAAAATGCTTCAAGTTGATCTTGGCATCATATCATCTCCTCTTGGGAGAAATCGATTTGGTCCAAGAGTTTCTACTTTAAAAAGAAATCATCTCCTCTCTTGGTTCATGAAAAAATTATTCCAAACACAAGTATTAAAAAAAAGGAAAAAAAAAATTTGCATTACAAAAACCATGAATAAAAATTTTACAATGAGCGTTCTTCAATTTTTTTTTTTTTATTATTTTACAAAACTATGAATTTTTTTTTAATAATTACAGAATAAAACGAGCATTTTTTAAATTTCATTTTTTTCTAAAATGAAAAGTCTAAAAAAAAGATTAATTAAAATAATAAACGTTCAATATTAAATTTTTTCAAATTAAAAAAAAAATGAATTTTTATTTTAATATTTTTTAATACTTGTTTTGTATAATCATATAGCGCGATAACAGTAAAAATAAGCATAAATATTGTTTAGATAATATTAAGAAGAAAATTGAATTGTTTTTTTTTTTTTTAGTAGAATATTAAAAAGTGTCGAAAAGGATTAGGGTCAAGGTTCACAACCTCCAGGTTAATTTTTTTTCGAGAAATTCCCGCAGCCTCAGTAGTAAGAGGAAACGCATTGCAGTGCAATGAAGAAGTAATCGATAAAAGAGGAAGCCCCTGTTAGTGATTATATTCACCAGTTAAGTCACGACTTACGACCAACTGTCAAAGTCAAGGATAAAAAAGATCTCCATTTCCTTTTCTCTTTAAATAATAATAAAAAAAAAAGAAATAATTGCATTTAAAGAATTTTTGAATTAAATTTTTCCTCCCCACGAATTAGAAATTTCACACTTTATCTAATAATAAAAATAAATGCTTTTTTTCTTTATCGCGGTATTTAAATTATTTTCTTCAATAAAATTGAAATAAACTAAATAAATAAATTTTTTTTTATTTCTAAATAGACAATTTTGTTATTAATTTCTTCAATTTTATTTAATATAATTCGATTGTATTCCTTTTTTAAAGTAATTATTTGGCAATGATTTTTTTAATTGGATTTTTTTAAAATCGGAAAAATATTCTTTAGGGAAAAAAAAAAATTTCAACAAAATTAATAAATAGCAGTAATAAAAAATAAATTTGTTAATCGATCACAAGTTGGAGTATCAATTAATTATGAATTCCGATTATAAAATATATGTTAATAAAAAATTAACGTAGGTTGAACTTATCAATAACCATAATAGAAAGTAGGTCACTTAGTATTGCAAAATAAAAATCCAAGATTTATTCAATTGCGATTAGTGATATTTTAAAATATAAAAAAAGGAAATATTTTTCATTAAAAAAAAAATTATCTAAATTTGATATTAAAATTAATTTACGATTTAATACAACTAAATATAATTGAAGAAATAAATTATTAGCAAAAACATTTTATAAAAGAAAATAATTTAAGCCAGAAAAAAAAGAAAAAATGAAACTAAATTCAAAAATTTTAAATTCGATAATAAAATTTTTGTATAAAAGAAAATATTCTAAACTTCAGAGAAATGACACTTTATATAAATACTAGAAGTTATCAATATATTAAAAAAAAAGGAAAATCAATGCAAAAAAAAAGTGGGAAAATCAATAAATGTAGCAGAAAATAAAAAGTATGTCACCTCTACAAAATCAATGAGTTTTAGCGGTATTATTTTTAAATCTAGAACGATTTTGAATTTTTTATATTATTCGTGTATCGAGGAGTTTGCATTATTTGACTTTTTTTTAAATTTAAGTTCTATTCTTTTTTCTTTTAGCTTTCAGAAAAAAAAAACAAATTCTAAGGAAATAATATTCTTACCTCAATAAAAAAATATGTATTGCAGGTTTTGCGATTCTATACATTTATCTAACAGTGCCGGATGCACTTCCATGGAGGACCCAAGGTGCACTTTCAGGATGCCATTTAATTGGTGCAATAAGTCCATGGATTGGCTCATTTCTTTATCACGTATTTATGAACGTGAATTATGGAGAGGACGTCTACAGAAAATTACTAAAAATAGATATGCTCGGCATTTGGCTCTGTCAGAGTTTTGGTAAATATTTTTCTCATAAAAAATTTTCCAAAATTCATTCTCAATTCTTAATTTCTTTATTATTTTATTGGTTTTTTTTGGAGAAATTCTGAAAAAAAATAATAACTAAAATTAATAACAAAAATAACGAAAAATTCATAATTAAAACTAAAATTTTCTTCTTCTGATGATTTTTTTTCTTTTTTAATTTTCTAATGATTTTTTTTTTTACTTTTTTTTAGGAGCCCTGCCGATGATAGTAACTTCTGTGCATTGCTCATCAGTTTTTCTTCAGTATTGTTGCGTCTCAATCTATTGCTTCCTTAGTTTATTGGGCCTATGGAAAGTAAGTTTATTTTTTTTTCCACATTTCTGAAAAAAAAGGACACAAGAAAATAAAATTTAATCACAATTAACAAAAAAATCATTTACATAATTATATCACCGATTAAAATAAAGCTTATATTTTACAAAAAAAAATTTTCTAAAAATCTATTCTTTACAGAAAAATTGAAAAAAGCAACTTTTATTAAAATAAACACTGTTTGCTTTCTGGTTTCAGCTGCTAAATCTTTTCTGTTCCGATAAGGTAGATTTGTTTTTCCATTAGGTGTCTTATTTGACAAAACAATGAATTTATAATATTCCATTTTTAAAATGAATTTCTTAATAAAATTATTTTCAAATTCATTGTTTGAATCAAATTAAATTGATGTTAATTCAAAATTGATATAAAAATTATAAATTTATAAAATATATTTATAAATTTATAATTTACAATTAGATTACTTTGTTTTCCAATTAATGTTAACAGGGCTTTGTTGTTGAAAAAAAAAACTATTGCACTAATATTTCGAACAACAATTAATAATAATCTAATGAAATAAGAATAATGTATAAAAGAACATTAAAATTCTTTAAAAAAAAGATTCATTTGATAATTGATGGTCGAAAAATTGAACTCACTGAATGGTAATCATTGTCAAACATATTTCAAAAACGGTTCTTTAAAAAAAAAAAAAAAATTTCACTTACACTGAAAAAAAAACACTAAAGAATCATTAACAAATTTATGAGAAAAATGTTAATATTTAAGTGTTAAAATAATTATAGGCGATGGTCGCAAAATCTCCATGGCAAAGACGTCTCTGTTTTATTCCTCCATTGGGAATGAGATTGTTGGTATTGAGTTTAAGATGTTATGGTATTGGTGGTGGAAGTCCTGACGCAATGAAGCACGTCATCTTACAAGTACTGAAATATATAAAATAAAACAAAAACAAATAATAAAAAAATTTCGATAAATAAATTTTAATTAATAATTAATTACTAATTTAATTAAAAATTTTTAATAATTAACTATATCAATATAGAAATAAATACTAAAATAATTAGTAATTTATTTTCTCTATTGATAATTTAATTAATTTTTTTTTTAATTTCAGGACGTGGTGGCTGTGATTGGTGGTATAATAGGAGCACTTCGCGTTCCAGAAAAATGGCTTCCTGGCAGTTTAGATTTGGTTTTCAATTCCCATAATATAATGCACGTTTTAGTTGTTTTGGCAGTATGTTCAATGCACGAAGCGACCATTCAGGATTTGACGTGGATGTCCGATCCGACATCGTGCTCGGTTCCTAATTTCATCCCATCCATCCACGAGGAACTGTGATCTAATTGCTGTGATTTCTCAAAATAAATAAAAAAAAAAAACCGCTTAGCCTCCTTCGACGACGTACCTCTCGCAAAGAAAAAAAAAAAAAAAAACAGTATAACGCCAGAAAAACTATTCCTTACTAGCAGAAAAATTTCACGTTGATTGCAATATTAAAAAGAAAAAAAAAACTAAGTCCATAACTAAAAGTAGATTAAAAATAATAATAATATTAATCTAGGAAATTATAACAACAAAATTGACGAGAGATACTCGAGCAAGGATTCTGTTTGATGATGATAATAATTATGAAAAAAACACGTTCGATTTGAATAATTCAATTAATAATAGAAAAAATACTTTCTTAAGAAAGTAAAATATAAAAAATTGAACGTGTTAAAAAAAAATTGAAGTTTGATATACATATCGGTTGAATGATTATCGAGAGAATATTTTCAGATGATGGCAATTTTACATCGACGTTATAATTAATAATATATATATATAAATAATATATGACGATTTTTGAAAAGTAGGACCATGATTTTCAAAAGTGTTTTTTGTAGCACGTCAAAAAAATAAGTTTTTATTTTAATGCTTGCAGGCACATTATTTAAATCATGTACATATACAAAACGAGATAATACCAAAAAGTTGATTTATAAATATTATCTCACCGAAATTCATTTTTCGGATATTTAAATAAAAATTTGTTTCAAATATTGAAACCCATTCGATTTTCTTTTCGTAGTGATTTCTTTTTAAAATACCATTTAAGAAAAGGGAAAAATTATGTTTTTTTTCACCTTTTTTAAAAAAAAATGTATTTTTTATCAAAGACCGAACGCGAACTATCTTTTAAAAATTTAATTCTCTTAATTTGCAAATAAATATATATACTTTATCCACATTCATCTTTCTATTTCTAATTCTTAAAAAAGATAAATATATATATATATATTATATAAATAAAATTATCTGCAGTTAATTAACTAGTATTAAAATTCACTTTATAGAAACAAATTTTCAACAATTTTTTTAAAAAAAAACTAGCCGTTTTCGGTGATTTGAATATTTGCGCAATGCGATATCGACAACATAAATAGCGAAAAAATCGTTTCAATAGGCCACAGATACGATGTCGATGATTTATAATAATAATAATAATACTAATAATAGTAATAATATTATTAATAATAATAATAATAATAATAAGATTTTTAAGAATATTGTTAATTTTTCATACGCTTACTGCAAGGGAGCTTCGCTTTCCTGGGTGTAACTTTTAACTCGACTAAATCGAAATGAAGGATAACGCATTCCAAGATTCAAGCGAGTTTGTACCTCTTCGCCATTTTTGTATTTCGTATAAATATTGTAGGTGAGCCAGTTTAACTGCGAATTCACTTTCTTATGATAATTTTGAATTTCAAATTCCTGAAATTGTAGAAATTCATTCAATTTTCTATTGATAGAAAAAGAAAATTCATTCATAGTTTATAAATTTCAATTTTAAAAAAAAGGTATATATATTCTATTTAATATCTTAGTATTATACAATTTTGACAAAAACAATAATATCAATAGAAAATTTTAAATAGTTTTTAAGAAAGTAGAAAACAAAAAAAAATTGTTTAAAACAATTTTTTCAAGCGTTCTATTAAACTTTTCAAAGTTTATAAATAGTGAAAAAGAAAAAGAAACTCGAAGAGGAATTTTGAAGAATAAATCGACAATCATGAAATTGAAATATTTTCAAATAAAAAAAAAAAAATTTTGAAAACATTTCAATATAAATGAAAAAAGAACCCCATATGTTGTACTTAAAAAAAAAGAAATGGAAACATCATAATAATAATATTTGTAAATAGTTGAAAGAGTTTAAATTATGAAATTTAGAAAAATATGCGAAAAACTTTAATTATTATTATTATTGTAGAGAGAATTATTCAATTAATAAATCAATTAATATACTTACAGCGTGAAATGTTTGTTCTCCGCTGTCGTGTGAAATTTCTCTCCTTTTACGTCTATATACATTGTTATTATTATTATTTGTTTTGTGTTCTTGTTTTTTTAAAATGAGCGTCACCAAATTATCCCTTAGACGATAGTGACCAATTAATATCGATGAATTGCGTGGTGTTCGTGATTTTAATGAATTTACACAAATTTGAGCCTCATCAGTTGATGTCAACATTAAAACTCTACCCTCGGGAAAAAATCTACGGAAATAAATTTTCAAAAATTTAAAAAAAAAAAAAAAAGTTATTCAATTTCTTATTTTAGTCAAGCTTCATTTATTTTAAAATCGTAATTTACCTTAAATATCTGAAATATTCGATAAGATGCCATGGCCTGTAAAATTGATCTTGAAAACTATTTTCCCCATGTCGTAGATAAGTTGTTTTACTTATGTAACATCCATTGTATCTCAATCTTGGTCTTTGTAAATACATATCTCGCCATGATAAATATTGCGGTTCGAATTTTCCACAATTCACGCCCCAGACTCTAAATTAAAGTGATAAAAATATAAAATTAGATTTAAATGTTAACTTTAAAAATATTTAATTTTTAGAAATTGTTAGAAATTTAAATTAAAATGCAAAACGAACCGAACACAAGCCAATCTCCAAATTTCTGCATCACGCGCCGAAATGTAAAATCCACGACAAACACGAGAGAACATTTCAAGGGATCGTAAATCCAATTCTGAGGAAACAACCCATCGCAGAATATAGAGAACAATTTCCATTGGTAATGCTGAAATATGTGTTACCTGTGAAAAATTAAAAATTCACTTTCTACAAATCTGAATTAAAAAAAAGAAAAATGAAATAATTATCAAAAATTGCTTGAATTTCAATTTAATTACTAAAAAAAAAAAAAATACTTACATTTTGCTCAAAACGTGGAAAACAAACGCGTTGATTGCGACTAACAATTTTTGATAATTTAAAAAATAGATCGGAATTATCCTCATCATCATCATCATCTTCAGTATCTTCTTGTTCATCTTCTCTATCATCTCTGTGATTTTCATCATCTCTCGGAATTCTTTCATCAGATTCAAATCTTTGAGGTTTAATTTTAGTTGATTCATAAAGACGAAATTCAATATCGGGAACTAATTGAACTGCACGTTTATAAAATTGAATTGCTTCATATAATTTTCCCGTTTGCTCATGTTCAATACCTTTTAAAAAAAGATGTTTTGCCTAAAATTAAAATAATTATTGAAATTTTATCTTGCAATTAAAAATTTTTATTAGAAAAAGAAAATTTTTAAAATACTTTATTCTCAATTGAAATAGTCTCATCTTCAGAAATACTTGAATTCAATGATTTTTTAAGTTTAATTTTAACCGAATCTCGTTTCGGTGATAATTCAAGTTCACGTTGCCATTTCTCACGAAATGAATTCAATGCGTCTTCATTATTGGACGGAAAACATGACGATGACGGTTCATCGCTTTCCTCATCGCTGGAAATATCTTGATTTTCCTAAAAATAAAAAAAAATAAATTGTATCAATAAAACAATTTTAATATTTTTACTTCTAAAATTATATAATTTTCAAAATGGATTCTAAATATAGCTTAATTATAAGTTTATAAAAAAAAATTAATAACTCAATGTCATCAGAAAAATTATCTTCTTTATAAAAATTTAAAGAATTTTAAATTTGTTTATTTTATAATCTTTCACAGCTTATGATAATTAAACTAATTAAAATTAATTTAAAAATATAAAATTGTCAACGTAATATTTGTAATGTATTTCGTTTGAAATACACAGCTGGTTTCTGAATCATATAACAATAACAAATGAATAAATAGTGTAAATACAGTTTATATGTAGCTAAATTATGTCAAATAATTGTAAAAATAATAAAAAGTAATTTAATATTAATTTTTATTGAATTCAAATTGAATTATAATAAACATTTCTTAAATACGTAGTTTCATTAGAGGTTAGAATTTCAACATTGAGATATTTGAATTAAAAATCATTAATGTCATTGAAAATTAACAATGAATTATTATTCCAAACTTACCATTGTTTATTAATTATCCGAATTTTCAAATTATTACCTCAACAGACAAATTCTCTGTCGGAATAACGCACTAAACAATGGAAATATAATTTCGCCAACAAAACAGCCGCCATGGTTTCTTTCCGTATATATAGAAAATACACGTAACGTATATATAACGAATTATAAATTCAAATTTAAAATCGTATATTAAGTTAAAAATTATGTTTTAAAGTGTTTAAAGTTTAGTTATTCAAAAATAAATTCATATTTAAAGACGCAACTATTGAAATAAAATTAATATTAATATTTTAGGTTAGAAATTTAAAAATGAAAATAGTTATAAATTTGGAAAAAGTGAAAGTTTCTTTAAATAATAAATAGTTCTAAATGATTTATTATTTTACTTACTAATAATATATTCAATTATATTGAATTATATTTATATAAATAAATAAAATCACAAAGTTATCCAAAATAAACAGGTAAACAAAAACAAAATTAGTTTATGAATAAACTACTGAGATGGCGCTGGGATTTGCGCGCTAAATTTTTAAATTATATAACTTGAGATTAAATAAAAGAGAAATATCTTGTACTTTATTATCTATTATTTTTAAATTATTATATCACTACATATTATATAATTGATGATAAGATAATTCAATTTCTAAAACCTGTAAAATTTGCTAGAATTCAATGTTAAACGGATAATCCTTGTGATTTTTCATTCTGGAAAAAGAAGAAAAAAAATTTCAAAAAGCAATTTCATTTAATTATTGTAAAATTTTTTGCAATTTTCATTTAACTTACTCTAATGCTGGACATACACGCAATCCTGAATCTAATTTATCAATTTCTTTAATCTCCTCACTCGTTAATTTAAAATCAAAGACTTTAATATTTTCCTCAATTCTCATTTTTGAACTGGATTTTGGAACTGGAATTGTTCCAATTTCAATCTATGAAAATAATTTTATTATTAACTTTTCGAAAATGAAATCTTAAATATTTTATATTATTTTAATTTATTTATTAATATTGTAATTATTTGAAAAATTTGATACCAAATATCTCAAAACCACTTGAGCGGGACTTTTTTTATATTTTTCTCCAATTTTAGCAATTATTGGATGATCAATTGCAACTTGTGAATCATCAGGTTTTGCCCATAATCTTTTTGGAGATCCCAATGGACTATAAGCTGTAATTGCAATATCTCTTTCTTTACAAAAATTTATCAATTTTTTCTGATTCAAATTTGGATGACATTCAATTTGATTTATCACTGGTTTAATTTTGGCAATTGATAATATTCTATCAATTTGTTGAGAATTAAAATTACTTAAGCCAATACTTTTTGTCAGGCCAAGTTTAAAACATTGTTCCATTCCTTTCCATGTTTCAATAAAATCCACATTGTCCTCTAATGAATTTCCTTTTTCATCAACAAATCCAAATAAATCTTTACCCAAATCCTGAAAAATTAAAATAATTTTTCAAACAATTTAAATTTAGTTTGTTAAAGTAAATAAATATTTTTTTTATACTTTATATCCAGTAGGCCAATGAATTAAATATAAATCAATATAATCGAGTCCAAAATTTTTTAACGATTGTTTACATGCAGGAACAATTTTTTCTTGTCTATGAGAATTATTCCAAAGCTGAAAAAATTATTTTCAAAACTATTATTATTTTGTTTCAATAGAAAAAAAAATATATATATATTCAGCATTTCTTTTAACTTTAGTGACAATAAATAAATCCTCTCGTTTTATAACGCCTTCGGCAATTTTTTCACGAATTGCTTTTCCAATTTCTTTCTCGTTGCCATAAATGAAAGCGCAATCAAAGTGCCGATAACCCGAATCAATTGCATCTCGAATAGCTTGCTCAACTACTCCTGGATTATCCTAAAATATTTTTAATAAAATTAAAAAAAAAAAAAATATTTATTTTATTATTACTTACTTTAGATTGCCAAGTACCAAGGCCCAAAACTGGGCATTCTAATCCATTATTGAGAGTAACTTTATTCGCTGCCATTCTTGACAATTGTGACTAAAATGACTAAACAGGTTTTATTGCATAATCTAAAATTGATTCCACGTTTGTATGATTCTCTTCGTATGCAATTACTCACTGACCTTGAATTAGTGTTTGTAAGTTCAGTCTTTATCTCATATCTCAACTGATATATATATTTTTTTTTAATTCACAATTTTTCCATTAAATAATTATCTAGATAATTCACGTGGTTATAATTTTCATTTTAAAATGCTTATTTTCAAAATACAAAGTCAAATTTAACTTTGAAAAATATTTTATTCAATGTTTATACAAAGATAAACTTATCTACTTGAAAAATGTAAAATTGAATAAAAAAAAAAAAATTGTTTTAAAATTCAATATTAAATGGCCAATCAGGATGATCTTTTCGTTGAAGTGCAGGACATATACGTGCTCCAATATCCAATTTTTCAATTTCATTAATTTCCTCCCTTGTAAGATGAAAATCAAAAACATTAATATTTTCAATAATTCGATTTTTTGAACTTGATTTTGGAATTACAATAACACCATTGTCAATCATAAATCTAATTATAATTTGTGCGGGACTTTTTTTATATTTTTTGGCTAATTTAACAATTATTGGCTGTTCAAGTGCAACTTGATGATCACCAGGTTGTGCCCATGGTCTTTTTGGTGAACCCAAAGGACTGTGTGCCATTAATTTTATTCCTCTCTCTTCGCAAAAAATTCTCAATTTCTTTTGATTTAAATTCAAATGACATTCAACTTGATTGATAACTGGTTTAATTGTTGCCATTGATAAAATACGATCAATTTGTTGTGAATTAAAATTACTCACGCCAATACTTTTTGTTAAACCAAGTTTTACACATTCCTCCATTCCCTTCCATGTTTCTGTATAATCAGTATTTTCAATTAGAGATTTTCCATTTGCATCAACAACATGATAATGATGATCGCCGTCATACTGAAAAAAAAAGAAACAAAATATTGTAATTTTCTATTTTATAAATTTATTTATTATTTTATTCTTACCGTATATGCGGTAGGCCAATGTATTAAAAATAAATCCACATAATCGAGACCAAGTTTTTTCAATGATTCCTTACATGCAGGAACAACTTGTTCTTCTTTATGAAATGTATTCCATAGCTTTATTAAAATTCAAATTTATTATTTTATTAAATTATTTGAATTTGTAATTATTAGAAATTTATTTATAAAATTAATAATGATTTTATGGTTTACCTTTGATGTAATAAAAAGTTCTTCACGTTTAACAGCTCCTTCTGTAATTTTTTCTCGAATCGCTTTTCCTACTTCTTCTTCATTATGATATATCCAAGCCGCATCGAAATGACGATAGCCAGCATCAATAGCTTCTTTAATTGCTTTTTCCACAAGACTCTGATCATCCTTTTTTTTAAATTTAATTTTTAAAAATTAAATTTTCTTTTCTATTTTAGTATTTTTTTTTAAATATTTAAATATTCAAATTTAAATTTAATAAATTGAGGAAAATTATAATTATAGAAAAAATAATAAAAATTACTCACAGATGCTTGCCAGGTACCAAGTCCAAGAATAGGACATTTCAAACCATTGTTTAATTTAACTGAAAACATTATTGCTTATCGTTTCTAATATAAACAACTATTGTGTTCATTATTGTCTCGCCATATATATACATATACTCCGATTCTTCGAGTTTGCGCGTTCTTCTCGTTTAAAATTTTAAATCCCTATAATCAACGGTATTAGATATTTCAATAAGCATTATTAACAAATAATCCAATAAATATTCTTATCTAATGTCAATAATATTAAAATAAAAAATGGCAATTTTTGAAAAAAAACACACGGAAATGAAAATCATTATTTGTAATGCCTGAATTATAAAATTATTAATTTATATATTTCATTAATACTGAATTTAATTTACTATAAAATAAATTAACGTAACAATTACTCAAATTTTTTATTTTTAGTCCGTTTAGCAAATGAATAAAAAATAAAAAAAAAATTCACATTAAAATTTGAAATCATTTATTCGCATTATTACAGTATTTAAATAATTTTAAACTATTTGCGAAATTATCAGCAAAACAATCGTCACATGAATTGATAAAATTCAAATCTTCAAATTAGATAAGTCTATATAAGCATAGTCTTCCGGGTATTTGTTATATAATTTCCTAAAAAAAAAAAAAACAAAAAAAAACTCATCGAAACAAAAAAAAAAAAAATATTCTTTTAAATTCTATCTGATAATTATTTTTCTACTTACAAACTTGGATCGTAATTTCCATCGTCAATTGCATTCAACATTTTCATTTCACTTTTATCTAGATTAAAATCAAATACATCTATATTTGCTCGAATACTTGAATCAAAGCCGGATTTTACTAATGGCACAGCTTCAATTTCAAGCTGAAAAAAATAAAAAATTTTTAAATTAACAAATGAATGGTAAAAAAAATTAAACAGATAAATTTCTAAAAAATTCTTACGAGATAACGAATAGCAATTTGACAATTTGTTTTATTATATTTTTCCGACAATTCTTTAATTGGCACAAGTTGATTAAGATGCACTTTATCAGGTGATTCCCGTCCTGGATCAATAGATGCAATACCAACTGATCCATATAAATTATTTGTGAGTAAAACAATTTTATGTTTTTTCAAATATTTACGTAAGTCCTTGCAATTCATAAAAACATTACAATTCATTAAATTTGCACTTGGTTTAACTGTTGCTATTTTTAAAATACATTCTATTTTATTTGATGTGAAATTACATAAACCAAGTGATTTTGCATATTTTTTATAATATGAATTTTGCATTCCTCTCCAGGCTTCTGTATAATCTGGTCCATATGGTTTAGTCTAAATAAATTAAAGTGAATAAAAAAAAAATGTTTTTAATTAAAAATTTCTAATTTTCTTTTACATACATCACTGTCTACAGGACAAAAAAGTAAAAGCATATCCACATAATCCAATTGTAAAGCTTCCAAAGATTTTTTAATTGATTCCTCAACAAAACCTGTCGTATGAGATAAATAAACCTGTAAAAAACAAAATTTTAATTTTATTTAGTAAAATTTTGTAAAAAAAAAAAGAAATTTAAAATTAAAATACCTTTGTTACGATAAAAAGTTCCTCTCTCTGGACTTTTTTCTCTTCCAATTTTTCCTTTAAAGCTTCTCCAACTGCTCTTTCGTTTCCCTTAACACGTGGATCACAAAAAATTAATCTATATCCAGCATCAATTGCTTCTGATAGGGCTGCTTTTACTTGTTCATCTTCATTTAGAAACTAATTATTTTAAATTAATAATTAAATTAATATAAATTAATATAAATAATTTTAATATTTTTCATTTTTACTTAATAATTTAAAATAAAACTTACATATTTTTTTACACACATAAAATGAAATGTGGTATCATATCCAATAATTGGAATTTTCATTTCATTATATCTTAATTTTAAAGTACTTTCTTTATGAAGAAACATTTTTTTTTTTAATTTTGTAATTTTAATCCAATACTTTATGACTTCTTTCCAAATTTTTCTGTTCAGTTACAAAGCCAATCAGGAACTGTGAAAGACCACTTTAATAAAATTAATTTTAAAAGATAATATACTTTTCACCTTCAATTTGATGTTTTTGTTTCATGTTACTTGATTCTCTATTGAATATCAATAATTTATTTACTGTTTACAACAGAATGAATACTTATTTCTATCAAACGAAATTTTATCATTTCATTGCTTATTTATATTTAATATAAAAAAATCATAAAATTATAAGTTTAAAATAATTAAGTTGTAGAATTAAATTTATATTTTTGAAAAATTACAATTAATTTTTAAATACAAAAAAATTTTGTTTATTAAATTAGAACAATATTAATTTTAATTTTAATTTTAATTAGACATGATTTAAAATACTATTTAAAAAACAAAATGAAAACTATTTCATGCTGAAGACTTTTTAAATAATAATTTCAATCGAATGAAAAATTTAGCCTTTAACAAGAATTCTCTTTGGTTTTTTTGGATTGTTTAATTTAATAATGATTTTTATTTTTTACTCTTATAATATAAAGCAATATTAAAGTTTTATAATAGCGAATCAGTGCGATCGAGTGACAATTTTACACTGAGAATAAATACAAATATAAATAATCGTAAAATTACTATAATACATTCATTGTTCGCTTCCTTGTTTATTTTTTTCTTCTGTTGAATCTCTCGAATTGTTTTTTTTTTTCCTTTAATATGCGATTTTTCATAATTTACTATTGGAATTTTCATATACGTTTGACGAAAGAAAAAAAATGGCCATTTTTTTGTTTTATCACAGGTAAAAAGAATTGGATGAGAGATCGAGATATGATTCATGCGTTAAAATCAAATTCTCGTAAAAAGCAGTCCACAAAAGATAGTGCTGCAATTTTTTTTTTTTTTTTTTTTTGCTTTTTTTTTTTTTAATGTAGTTATTAACTGTACACACTTCGGAAAATGGCTACGACAAAAATAATCTCTCTTAAGTCTTATCATACACATAAGACTTTGTAAGAATATAAAAATTTCTCAAGAGTGCATCGCTTAAAAACCTGGCTTAATTACAGTGATTTTTTTTTTGTTTTTTTTTTGTATTTTTTTTTCTTGTCTCGCTGATTCATACAATGTATATAAAAAAGTTTTATATTGTCTATTTTGTATTTATAATATATAAATAAGCGATATTCATATTTTGTTTCGTATAAAGTTCTCTTGGGACTCTCTCTGACTCCTGTACAATACACAGAAGTTTTTTTTTCAATCCAAAAGAAAAGGAAGTGAAATATCGATTTTGATTTTCAAATTCATGAATAAAAATTAATATTTCATTATTCGATAGAAGAAAAATAAGTTTAAAAAAAGCATTCCTTTTCTATTATAAAATGATATGAAAAAAATTTATTAAAATCGTGTCAAATTAGAATTTAAAAATTCACGTCCCATGATTAATCGAAAATCTATAATTAAAATTGGGACAAAAAAAAAAAAAAATGCACAGGAAGAGAATCTCTTGAAAGAGATTGTGTTTTTGATTTTTCCCCTTTTTTTCGAACAATTTTTTACCTTTGCACCATATTGATAACATCTTTTATCGTATTTTGAACATCACTTAGTAGTCTTGTATTCTCTGCAATATTGCGAGTACCGGCAGCTCTCAATTGTCGTGCCTGAAGCTCGAGACGTGTGAGTAAATCGCGAAATTGAAATTTTGCATGAGGCGATATTGAAGTGTCCGTTAAATTAACGCACATACCATGCAATAATCCAACTTTGTCAGAGAGCTGCAACCAACTTGCAATGACTATTGTTGTGCTGCTCTTCAAATGTATAATACTATTATCAATCACGTTTGAAATCTCAATAACATTGTTCTTTGCTCCTTTGGTGTCACTCTTGTTTCCTAAATCATCGTCCTGTGATTTATTACAATTTGGAGTTGCATATATCGATGGTTTATTAGTTGTCACCAATGATTTTGTTGGTTTTGCCGGTACAATTGGTTTTTCACTTTCATTAATTGATGACACAATCGGTGGCCATATTGTTTTACCTGAACTTTTTGTTGAAGCACCACTATGATCTTCAGGTGATTCTTCATCTTCTTTATTGCCAGAACGTGCTCCTAATTTTGGACTTAATGGTTGATTTTCACCACCTGCTTCTTTATTTTCCCATAATTTTTTCAAACTACTTATACTCCCTGTACTGCGTCTTTTGTCATCTTGTTCAACTTCAACAATTGATTCAAGTGATTCGTGACCTTCTTCTTTTTTATTTTTATCATCGGCATCGATCTTTCTTAAACGTGCTTTAAAATCAATTATTTGACTATCGGTACTTTCTTCCTTTTGTGGTTTTTTGTCAACTTTTTTAAGTAATTTAAATCCTGCATTAACATTCATTTCAACGATTGGTGAAATTTCTTTAACTATCGGTTTCTCATAATCTTGATCGGGTGGATTTAAATTTGCAATTGCATATTCATTTTGTATTGGTTGTTTTGAATCCATGCTAAATGTTGCGCATAATTCGGAAAGTAATTGTGATGCGGGATCAAGTGGAACGGATGTGACATTATTGGAAGAACTGACTTTTTTAATATTTGTATGCTTTTTATCGGATGATTGTTTTATCTCATTGATTAATTTTAATTCGAGCATTTCCTTCATACCGGGTTTTGAATTAAATGTATCGAGACTAGAACTAGGTGGTGGTGGTGGAGGCGGTGGTGGTGGGGATTCCTCAGGTGGTGATGTATTTTTTGTCTCGAGACTTTGTTCCTTTATTCTCTGTCTTGATGATAAATCCGGTGTTTTACAATTTTTCTCCGTTATCGTATCTTCCCTTCGTCTTAAGCTAACACCAAATCTTGAACTTGCTTCTTTCACCGATGGTTCAGCATTTTGTACATCGCTATTGCGTTCCTCCTCACTTGATTCCTCTTTAAATTTCCAGTCTTTTACTTTTCGCATACCAATTGGTGAACTCAGAGTTTTTAGCAATGAATTATTACCACTCGGTGAGATCAAAATCGGTGGGGGAAGATCAAATTGTTCATTAACATTAAAGGAATCATTATGAAGTGGCGATAAATCTAAAGGCGGTGGCGGTGGAAATTCAAGATCGGCTAATGTCGGTTGAATTGGTCGCGAGGGACTTGCTGTACGAAATGTTGAGGTATTATTAACGCGGAATGTTTTTAAGCCAACATTTTCACTATTATTTTTTCTTGCCGCAACTGCACGACTACGTGGTGAATTTGGTGGTTGATAAGTATTAACCACACCACTTGATGAATTACTACGTGTCATTTGCGGTTGATTGCGAAGATTATTTTGCCTTGGCGATAAAGAACGATGTTGTGAAATATCACCTGGATTTGTGAATTCATGTTGTTCAATGGCCGTTGTTAATGTTGATGAATCTTGTTGATTCGATGGCATTCCACTTTGACGAAGTGACTCAAGATATGCTCCAATTCGTGCACCCTTCGGTAATGTTCCATAACGATTGATAGCCCTCTTAACATTTTGCACCTCTAAAGCTCCCACGTGTACCAACTAGAAGAGAGGGTGAAAAAGAAAAAATTAATTAATTAAATTTTTTTTTTATATTTTACAAAAAAAAAAATTCAGATTTTCCTATTCAAGCAGTGCTAAGAAAAATTCGATTTCGACTCTTTTTTTTTTTTTTGTGTTTCGTAAAACAGTGACTACCTTCTGAGGCGGTACTTCCTTAGGCGGATATGTTCGCGTTTTTATTTGTTTTTGGTTGCACTGTACGGGTTCAGGCGATGTTGACGGTTGCGGTGGGAAATTTGTCTCTGCCGTTTCTTGAGAGCCATCGCCATCGTCATCCACATCACAAATTCCTGCATTTATTGATTGTGTCGCCATTGTTATGATATCTCGTGTGATACCTAAATATTCATCAAATTTTTGTCAAAAAATTGATAATAATTGTGATTTGTGAAATGAGTGATGAAAATGTGTTTTTTTCGCGCTAAAATCGTTTGTAAATGGGCCATTCTCCCGTTCGCGTCTCGTTGCCTCTCGTTGAAATCACATAACACTGCTTGAATAATGTAGACTTTATTTTTCTTTTTTAATGAAAAATGAATAAAAATTGAAATGAAAATAAAATCTAATATTACAAGGGAAGGAGGCTAAATTTTTTATCTACGCATAACATGACATGCATGTCTTTACTCGGCAGAGAGAGAGAGTTATATCTAAATTTAATATTAAAAAAAAGATGATATAAGGGGAGACTTGCGTCGTATCAAAGTATTTATTTTGGATCCTACCTTATGATATTATGATAAATAATTCAATTCACGACGTATCTTGATAATAAAATCAAGGCCAGCAGGAGAATGACCCAATCTCGTTCGATTATAAAAACTGATGCAGACTTTCAAAGAAAATAGGCAGACCAGCTCGTGCATTACTATATATAGACTCGAAATTTTTATTTCTTTTTTTTTTTTTTTTTGTTTATTTGAAAATGCGAATTAAACTAAATTATCTATACCATTTATATCCGTGCCATCGTCGAGTATCGCAGTGCCAATATCGGCATTCTGTTGTTCTTGATCCTGGTAGGCTGAATCGCGAAAAGAGCTGCACGACGATAGCAGGCTGTACACAACGATTCATGCCAGTTAAATTTATTGATTTTAAATTACCAACAATACTAGAAAATAAAGAAAAAATTTTTTGAAAAAAAAAAATAAGCACGTATATACTTACCTAGTACGCTTTGGTGGTGCAGGAGCTTGTTTTCCTTTTTTATTTGTCGATCGTCGCATTTGCACCGAATTACTGTTTCCTTTACTTGACAATCCGCCCATAAATGTACTTAATTTCGAAACTGGAGTGGCTCCTTCTATTTAAAAATTCGATTTTAATTTCAATTAATTTTAGTAAATTTTTTTTTTTTTTACAAACCTTGAGTCAAACCAGATGGCAATTGATCGGAAACTAATACAAGTCCATGAATATTTCCCGTACTTCCCGTTTGTGATTTTTTATATCCCAACAAAGGAATTTCACCACCGCTTTGTAATTGTTTTTCCACCTCTGAAAATTTAATACTGTCAAAAAAAAAAAAAACCAAAATAGAAATATAGAAAGCAAAAAAATAGAAAATATGAATATAACCTTCAGTAATACTAGATTCTTGAAACATATTTTCAAGGGAATGATGAATTTCTTTAAATGTTGGTCGCTCCATAGCCGACCATTGCCAACATTGACGCATTAATTCATAAACTTTTGGCGGACAACCAGGTGGACATTCCATTCGATATCCTTTTTCCAACATATGATAAACATCCGTGAGATCAACACCTGGATATGGTGACATTCCATAAGTTGCAATTTCCCAAAGTAAAATTCCAAATGCCCAAACATCGGATTTTGTTGAAAATTTATTATAAGCTAATCCTTCGGGCGCTGTCCATTTTATTGGAAATTTTGCACCGGCATGAGCTGTATAGGTATCATCTCTCATTAGTCGTGCTAGACCAAAATCAGCCACTTTTACTAAATGATTTTCACCCACGAGACAATTTCTCGCCGCTAAATCCCTGAAAAAAAAAAATATTAAAATTAATTTTTTTTTTTGATATTTAATTCTATAATAAATAATTAAAGTCGGATTAATACCTGTGAATAAAATTTCGACTTTCAAGGTAACTCATTCCACTTGCAATTTGTGTGGCCATGTGCATTAAAACAACGGCATTAATTTGATGTTTACTTTCATTGCGTAAATAATCTAAAAGATTTCCTTTACTCATAAATTCGGTAATTATATAAAAAGGTGGCTCTCTAGTACAAACGCCTATTAATTGTACCAAATTCCTGTGCTTCATTTCCTTCATTATTGCCGCTTCTTCTAAAAAGTCTTTCAATGCCATTGTATCCTCCTAAAGAAATAAAAATTCAAATTAAAATTATATTTAAATTAAATTCAGATAATAAATTAAAAAAATTAATTTAGCTCACTTTTAATGTTTTTACAGCTACTGTCATGTTATATCTCTTCCAAACAGCTTCGTATACGTCTCCATATTGTCCGCCGCCTAATTTATGCCTCATTACAATGTCCGTGCGATTAATTTCCCATTCGTCGGGTTCTAAACAAAAAAAAAAAAACATTTGTATTTTCTGTTTTTTAAATTTATTATTACTTTATATTCATTTTTATTGTTTGAATTAAAATTTTACCAGGACTTAATGGAAAGACAGTCGGTTTATTTTGTTTCGGTGCAGGATAAAGAAGTTGTGTTATTAATCCATCGCTCAACATTGAATGATGATGAACTAATTCTGCTAATGTGTTAAATTTACTCTCAGTTGTCACGAACATCTGATTAAAAAAAGAAAAAGGAATTAATTTTCAAAATTTGAAAAAAGGAAAAATAAATTTTACTTACTTTTCCTTCGTTGTCTTCGTTTATTCGATAATGATAAACACGACCCTCGTAACGCAATGAAATACTCCGTTGTCCTGGACTACTTTCTGATTCGCGAACCAAAAAACTTCCATTTATACCCGAACTTAATAAATATTCCGCGGCATTTCTCGATATTCTTCCATGATACCAAGAATGTTTCTCTAATGAATTCACTGGTGTCACATAATTAGAAGGAACCCAGCCCACTTGACCGGCACTTGAATGTGCCTCGCACCATTCACCACTTTTATTGTAGCTGAGAATACGTACTTGTTCACCTAGAACAAAAAATTTATTTGTAAAAATTTATTTATTGTAATCTTTATTAATATATTTTTATATAAATTCTTTTTTGAAAGAAAAATTTCCTATTAGGAATTAAAAAAAAAAAGGAAGAAAATTTACTGTACCCTTTTTCAAACTAAGTTGATTCTCTCCACCGGCTTGAAAATCATAAAGCGCTAGGAATAATTGTGGATCGTCTTCTTCTTGAGCGAGAAGATTTTCTTTACTCGTCCATCTGGAATATAAACGAATTTTTTTTCAATTTAATTTTTTTAAACTTTTAATATTAATTTTTAAATTAAAAGATGTTATTTTTTAATTAAAAAAAAAGAAGTTTACAAACCTATTAGCAGCGTCCAAAAGACCACCACTGGGCACATTGACATGCTGAAGGCCCGATTGTTGAGAATATGTTTGTAAACTAGAGCAACTTGGAGGATCACCTTCTGGTAATGCAGGAATGTGAGGAAGAGGTCTGCTCTGAAGTAAGGCTTCTAAAAAAAAATTCAGTCAATTATTTTACATCATTTTTTTTTTCTCAAATTCAATGTTTAATGTTCTATTTAACTATTTGTAATAAAAATTACAATATTTACAAACAGTAGAATTTTTAAATAATTACGAATATTTAATTAAATATCGAATTGAAATTACAAATTAATTGAAAAAAAGAGAGTCAAAAAATTATTAAATTTATTTGTTAAAAAAATTGATTACAAAATAATTTCTTGTAGTCTTGGTATAATTTTTTTTATTGCATAATGTCGTTTATATCAAGATTAGTAGTTTCCTGTCGTCGATTGCATTAGAGAATCATTTTCATGGATACCAATTAACATGAAAGGTGAAGGATACTAAAATTATTTCGACGTAGTTGATTAAATTATCGAAAAACTCTCAAATGTACGACAAAGCATTTTTTTTTTCTATACCGAATATAATAAACAGGAGATCGTGAAACTGGAAGTAGTCACACATCTGGAGTAGATAAAATGAAATAGAACAAAGAAGGAAGTTAACCAAATTTGATTAGATATACTCATTAACTGAATATAAAACAATAATTATTATACAATTAAGGAAATAAAATCATTTCTTTGACAAAATGACTAATAATATCAGATACATATAATGTCAAAATTAATGCAAAAAAAAAATTATTTCGCAATTTAATTTCAATAAATTTTTACCAAATTAAAAGCATAGCACAAGAATGGATAATTAATTAAAAATGATATATTAAGAATGAGAATAAAATGGAGCAGAATATAATACCAAGAAGGAATATAATAGGAGGGTGGTAAGGGGGGCGAGAAAGAAAGAAAGAAGTAAAAAAAAAAAAAAAAATGGAAAATCGAGAAATTCAAATACCACTGTGCTCGGTGAAAATATTTGATCCGATGATACGTGAGTCCTTTGGATTCCTGGGTTGTTTCCGAGTTTGTCGAATAGCAGACCCGGCAGGAATCACTCTGTCTTTAGTCGGTTGAGCACCCATAATTCCCCAATTATCATTCCCCTTGTATGTATATCACCCCCGGCTACGATTACGCCGAGGACGAATTTTTAACGCATATCGATAACTTCCGGCTTCTTTAGAATCTTACATATTATCAGTTCTATCGAGCACAACGCGGTGCTTTATAATATCACGAATTCACTGGCAACAATGGCCCTAATCGCATTTTTACATGTCAATCACATCGCGCTGAGCTCGCCATATTTGACAGCTTTGACGTCGATTATTTAGTTCAACGATTACATTATAGAGGCAGCACATTACAGTGAAAAGCCGGTCTACTTTTTTTTTTTATTATTAATATTATTATTCCTTTCTTTTAAATATAATTTTATAGTAATTTTCAAATACGAAAATAAGAAATATTTCTTTTTCTATAGCAGAAGAGAAAAATCACAACATAACCTTACTTTTGCGAAAGAAAAAATAGTGTTATTTATATTTATTCATTATTTTATGTAACAAAGTAGTTTTCTGAAATAGAGGAATATTTTTTATTATTATTAATTAATTATTCGAATATTTGTGTGAAATATTTAAACTGAAATTTAAATTTTTTCCGCGAAAAAGAAATAATTCTATTGGCTTCTATTTTCACAATCCAATACAGCGCGTGTCCAATCAGAATTGATTTTGATAGGTCATTTAATATAAATTTGACTCTAGTTGTCAATAAATATTGAACGTTTAAATTTTTTTTTTCTCATTAATTTCTTTTTTTAAATAGTCTCGTTATAAAAATTTTAAGTTAGTAAAATAGATTTTTCTGGAAAATTATAATTTTATTGTCGTCTAATTGAAAAATCAACAGATGCGTATATATAGAGAGAGAGTTAGCGGTAAAATATATTATGAATGTTTGTCGAATTTTTTTCATGAACCAGCTAAACATGATGATTATTGTGCAAATAAATTCCGTTAGTCAATTTTTTTTTTTCGAACAGTTCCAAAGAACATAAGACCAAAGTGATTCAGTTTCATTTGTAGACATGTTTGAGGCATTTTTGATTTTAATTTTTATTGTAACAGCAATTGTCACCGGTCAGAATTTAAATGACAAATTTAAAAATGACAATTCACCGGGGGATGATGCATTTTTTACAAATGAAATTTCACAATCAAATCGACAAGGGAGATGTAAGTTTTTTTTTTATATTAAAAAAATTATAAATAAAATAAAATTTGTCTTTTTTGTTTAATTATTTAATAAATTTTATTATTAATAAAAAATAAATTTTTTAAATTGAAAAAATAATTTGTATTATGAAAAATTTTTTAATTTTTGCACGTCCCTCGGGGGGATTTTTTAATTAAATTTTACAAAAATAAAAATTAAAAAACAATTTTTTTTCAGTTTTTCCCTTTTTTAGTGTGGTGCGATTTGCAAATTCAGAGTGTACCGGAAGTCACACTTTAAGTGGAACATGTTTTACAAAACGTGAATGTGTCAATATGAAAGGTGTAGATTCTGGATCTTGTGCAAATGGTTTAGGTGTATGTTGTGTTTGTAAGTATTTTTAATTTATAAAAAATTTATTATTATTTTAAAACATTTAATAATTTTTAACACTGTAAAATTTATTTATAATTTATAAATTTTCAAATATAAATAATTAAATAAAAAAAAAAAAAATTATTATTGCAAATTTAAAAAAAAAAAAATTTTTTTGTTTACAGTTGAAAAAACTTGTGGCTCTACGACGAGTATTAATAATACATATTTTATAAATTCTGAATATCCAACGAGATATTTAGGAGGAGAACAGTGTTCAATTTCTGTTTCTAGATGTAATTCAAATATTTGCCAGGTAATAATATTTTTAAAAAATTATTTACAAAAATTATTTTAAAAAATTATTTTAAAAAATTATTTAAAAAAATTATTTTAAAAAATTAATTAAAAAAATTTATTTTTATAAATAAAATAGTTTTTAGTAAAAAAAAAATTATTTTTTTTCAGTTACGAATTGATTTCATAGATTTTCGACTCGCTCAACCAAATGCAAATGGTACATGTGATAAGGATGTTGTATTAATTTCCGGAGGATCATCAAAAGTTCCACGACTTTGCGGTGAAAATACTAATCAACATGGTAATTATTTAAAATTTAATTATTCCTTTTTTTTAAATAAAAAAATAATTTAAAATTCAATTAAATATTATAATTTATTTATTAAAATTAAAATTAATTAAATTTTTTTATATTAAATTTATAAATTAATTAAAATTTTTTAAATTAAATTTATAAATTAATTAAATTTTTTTAAAATTCATTTTATAAATTTAATAATAATTTTAAATTTTTTTAAATTTATTTAAAAGAAATGATTTTTTTAAAATATAATTTAAAAATTATTTTCAGTTTATATTGATTTTAATGCCGATAATCCAATAACAATTTCAATTCATACAAATTCGGATTTTAATTTTGATGATCGACGATGGAATTTCAAAATACAACAAATTGCTTGTGATTCATCGTCAAGAGGTATTTATTTACTAGTGATTTTTAATTATCAATTTCAAAAAAAAAAAAATAATAATTTTTTTTCAGCGCCAACAGGATGTCTACAATATTACAGTTCAATTTCAGATACAGTGATGAGTTTTAATTATGGAAGTCTTGTAAATACTAGAGGTTTTTATTAATTTTTAATTTATTCACTAACAATTTATAAATTATAAATATAATTAAATTAAAAATTAAATAATTAAATTAATTTAAAATTTAAATAATAATTATTATTATTTTGTAGCTCAAACTGTTGGATCACGACAAATGGCAAATTTAATGTACGGCGTTTGTGTGAGAATGGCTTTAGGATATTGTAGTATTGAATGGTCCGAATCAAAAACAAATTCATTTTTAGTTACTGGAAATCTTGGAGCAATTTCAATTAATGATCCAGGTGGAAAATTTAAAAATAATTCAAAATTTTTTTTTTTTAATTTAAAAATAAAATCAATTAAAATTATATAATTTTATTACAGATCCAAATGTTGGCGCTGAATCGGGTTCAGATTGTGATAAAGATTTTGTTATTGTACCAAATCCATACGACGAATCAGGATTAACATTAAAAGCTGACAGATTTTGTGGTACTAAATTTGTCACAAAATCCAGTAAGTACAAAATATTTCCAATTGAGTAATTATTTTTTATAATATTTAAAAAAAAAATTCTTTTTTTCAGGCAGTCTTAAACCTTTTGTACTTTACGTTGTCACCAATGAGAATTTTATCGGTAAAATTCAAAGCAGAGGATTTTCCCTAAATTACAAACAAACAATTTGTGCAGTCTAATTATTTTATAATAATAATATTTAATAAAGGCAATAAAAAAAAAATTCAAATTATTATAAAATTTCGCGCGTAAAAAATTGTCCAAAAGAACTCAATTCTAATTGGTCAGGCTGTCTGGGGTCGTGAATTGAAAATGCGTCAGTCAACAGTAGTGAATATGATTAGAGTAGTAAAATGGAGTTCATGACGTAACGTTTTGTGTGTTAAAAGAGCTTCTGATAATTTCCGTCATGACGCATGCGTAATTTGAGTTAAAATCAGAATTAGTTCAACGGAATCCCAGAAAACTGGAATCGTGTGAGTTTAGCGGCAGTGGAAAGCAAAAAAAAAAAAAAAATTAGTGCGTCAAATAACCTGTCAAGACAAAGTGAAAAAAAAAATAGGAAAACAATAATTGGCTATTCGAGGGTGATTATTTTCTGTTTAAACAAAGTCACAAGAGTGTGAGGTGCACGATGTCGAAGCCAGAACAGATTTTAATTATCGAACCGCAGAATGAACTGCGATTCAGGGGTATGATATATTTTATAACGAATTTTTGCATGCTTTCTTGCGCATTTTTCTATTCTTTTTTGTTAATAATCTTTTCTTAATTTTGCTTTTTGCAAAAACGCGTCGGCGAAATCTATGCCTTTAATTTACCGCGAGTTTATCATCACACATCAAGTCGTCACCGTCTTGTGAATCGCGCACTCGCCACTAAAGGTTGATAATATTTAACTTTGCCGGATCATCCCCAACAAATTTAAGGACGATTGCTGTATAATGACATTGTCAAATGATGGCTGTCAAAAAAAAAAAAAAAAAAAAAAAATTACGACCTTGTTTATTGTCTAATTTATACATTTTTCCAATAATATATATATATATATTGCCTCGTGTAATTTTTCCTTTTGTGTGTATATATAATTCACATAATGCTTCCCTTTAGACGATTTACAGTAAAGTTCATTTTTTTTACATTGTACATGTTTATTTTTCAAATGTAAATGAATCACGAAATTTCTATTGTAATTTTTTCATTCATAAATCTAAATTTCGAAAATTTTAAATGTTGAATTTGAACGGAAATATTATTTCATTTATTCGACAGAAAGAATTGAATGCCACACCAGCATCCATTTTATAGAGAAAAATATTTATAGTTATTTTACATTTGGGAAATATTTTTTTTTTTTTTTGATTTTTTAATTAACATTGATTATAAAGTAATGTAACTGTATTGGTTACTATTTTATAAAAAATATTAATTTAGTAAATTTTGAATTTTAGAAAGACTTTTTTTCTAAACGTGAAATTTTATTAGATTAGTAATTCTTTAAACGATTTAGATTTGAATATTAAGTCAGTAGAGTGAAATATATTGAACTTGACTTATATTTAATTTGTAGAAATTTCTTTTTTTTTTTTTAAATTTTAAAAAAGAAAATTATATTTTATCTCACACCTGAAATTTAATATTAAATTTTGCCCTTTGCACCGATGTGTGATTTAAATGACAAAGCAAATTTTTCCTGTTATATTAAATCAATAATACAAACATTAAATAATGTTTTAATTTTAATTACATCAATTATTCAAAATTCGCGTTGAAATAAGTTAAATCTGGTGACATAAGAAAAAAAAAATGTGTTTTTAGACTGAGGATGATAATTTAATATCGCTTTCATAATACATAGTCTTTGACATGATGATAATATGAATTTATCTGAGCCTTTTTTTTTCATAAGTCACGATCTTGTATAGAGAAAAAAGATTCGCAAGGTTAGAGTTTTTTTTTCAATTATTAAAATTGCCATTATTTCTTTTAATTACCTTTAATTCGTCATTTTTCCAAGGAAAGTACATTTTGTAAATATTTATGTATAATTTTCCCTTTTTGAATATTTTTTTTTATCCTAGGACCTTTTACGGGAGCTCCTGTTACATCATATATGAAACTTACTAATCCTTCAACTCACAAAGTTTATTTTAAAATAAAGACAACTGCTCCAAAGAGGTATTGCGTGAGACCCAATTCTGGAGCTTTGAAACCAAAAGAAAAAACTGAAATAGCAGGTAATATTAATTTTTTTTTTATTTTATTCGAATATGGTGGAAAGATAAAAAAAAAATTATTTTTTTTTTCTTTACAGTTTGCTTACAACCGTACGACTTTGATCCAACAGAAAAGAGTAAGCACAAGTTTATGGTTCAATCAGTAATAGCTCCTGAAGGAGACACTGATGACTTTCTACAGGATGTGGTATGTAATTTAATAATTTTGAATTTTTTAATTAAATTTGAGGGTTTTTATTTTCTTTTCTTTTATTCAATTCACAGTGGAGAGATATGAATCCAAGTCAATTAATGGATTCAAAATTGAAATGCGTATTTGAGAATCCTGTAAATGCGACAGCATCGACTAAAGGCACGCCAACTGGTACGACTACTAAATCTGATACAAGTGCAACCGATGGTAAAAATAAGGGAACTGGCGACACTGCTAAAACTTCACCAATGGTAAATTTTCCTCTTTTTTTTTTTTTTTGCAAAATTCCCTAATTACGAGTTTATAATTGGAATTTTTTTTTGTAGCTTCTTAACGAAGGGGAAACTGACGAAACGTTATTAAAAGCAGCGCAGGAAGTACAACAACTCAGGGTACAACAAAGTAATCTCTATAAAGAGAATCTTGTATTGAAGGTAAATTAATTAATTAATTTTCAGTCGTTTTTTTTTGCAAAAAATTTTTTCATAATTTTTCTCACATAGAATTTTATTTGAAAAAGAAATTTTTGCTATATTAGAATATTTATGAGAAATATCACCTAAGGTGTTTTATAATTTTCTTTAAAGAAAAACTTCGATAGTCACATCATTGACACGTGCCCTTATTCTTATTGTTCTGGGCACTCGTGATAGAATCGATTTAATCTTATATATGTCATAAAAATTCATTCACTTTCATTTTTTTTTTTTTTTCACTTTGGAACACTAAAGCCAACAATTTTTTGAATTGGAAATAAAAAAAAAAAATACTTTAATAGGAAACTAATTTTTTTTTTCTCTATTCAGGAAGAGTTGATGAAATGGCAAACTGCAAAGGATAAGGACAGTCATTTGTTGGATCATCATCATCATTCAACGGGTGGATCATTGCAAATGAATCCTCAGCTCTCACCAACGTTTACAAGTGTAGCTATTGCCGTCGCTATGGTCATAGTTGGTTATCTTTTGGGAAAATTGATTTGAACAGTTTTTTGCCTTATACACCACAGCACGCCCTTCCCCCCAAATTTTTTTCTTAGCCTAAACAAAAAAAAAAAAAAATCTCCTTGCCACATGGCGCCATCACTGTGAACCGCTATTAAAAAAAGAAAACTCGTTATTCAAAATGTTCATAATAAATATTTCCATTAACGTCTAATTGTAGAACAGTCTACATAATTTGAAAAAAAAAAGATCATTCACTAGAATTAGCGCATAATGGTGCATAGAAGCGAAGGGACGAATCCTTTTCTAAGGACCGTAAAAATGATATATATATATATATGTTTAGAAAAACAGTTTTTAATCAATGATCACTAAATTTCTTGTTTTTTTTTTTTTGTCGCGGCCTCTTATAAAAGGATTGCGCCAATGGCAAAGTCTTAATTAAGAATTATAATTTTTCTTATTGAATGTTTTTTGATAGAAAGAATTTTGATGATGGACTTTAAAAAAATAAAACAGACATTGGAATTATTCACTGTAAATAGATATAAAAGGGGGGGGGGGGAAAGGAAACCAAAAAAAAAAAAAAAACAGTTTTTAATGACTGAACGAAATCAACTGTGTAAAAAAGCCAATGGATCAAGCCAAGCTTTTACGATTAATAAAATCTTAAATTTAATTTTCACGACGGGGGAAGGGATTGATTATATATATTATGTGTGTGTGCACGAGTCCGCCTCCGGCAAAATGAATATTCCAGAATTTGACGCATTCAATTTTTATCTGTACCTTTTTTTTAAATTTATTTATCTTAGTGTTTTCTTTAAAAAAATGGTTTTCCAAATAAAAGGATTTGTTTGGAATAATATAATTTAGAGAGAGAGAGACGGAAAGGGGAAAAAGTCAACTGTTATTTATATTCGTGCCTTAGAATTAGAGGCAAACAGTATATTTTTCCCTATCAGCTTTTAATTTTCTATTATATTGTCCACTGATGATTTTTTTTTTATTTTATTTTTTTTTTTTTGTACGAACTATTATTATAATTTTCTTCGTCCCTTTGTGCGTGCGTTACGGTTCTTGATTCAAGAAAAAAAAAGAAAACCGGGTGCAATAACGTGATAAATATATACTTACGTCCTCGACTGTAGAAAGTAAAATTGTACTCGAAAGTGCTAACATCGTTACCAGTATCGTCTTTACAATCCGTGGACCGTTTAATTATATATATATATATAAAATATAAAAACAAAATCACCTAGTGTTTTTGATATTGTGTTTAGATGCGCAAACTTGGCATCCAAGATTGTACACACCAGAGTACCGGAGATTGAGCTTTTAACAATAATTAAGAATTAAAAAAAAATAAATAAATAAACGAGTTTATACTCTCAAAACAATATCCATGAAGAAACTGTTTTTCATAGTTTTTATTAGGACATGTTGCTTGGTTTTGGTCCAGAGAATGGTGAGGGAAAAGAAAACGGAAATCTAATGTGATTTTTGTTTTTTTTTTTTTTTTTTTTTTTTTTTTATTCCCAAATCCCATTTTACTTTGATTTTCGTTGCGAAGAGCCATATAATATATATATATGTGAAAAATAATAACAAATTTGACTTAATTCATCGAATATCTTGAATTTAGTGGAATGACTGTTCGCTTCGAGATCGACTATTTGTTACTGTGTTATAAGACTCCATGTTTCTCGTGCAGCAAAAAAAAAAGAACAGAATATTGATGAATAAACGTCTGTCCTATAATACGCTAAAAATTATTTACTTTCACTGTAGGATTTACTAAATAATGGTCCTATCGTACGACCGATAAACGGAATATTTATAGCTTCATTATTATTATTATTATTAATTATTATTATTATTATTATTATTACATTGTACTCTGTAGAATACAAGCACTGTAACTGCTGTTCGATCAGAGTTGCGAAGTTACAAATGGAAAGTGAAATAAATTTATTACTCAAATTTAAAGTTTCCTTTAGACGCTTGTAGATATATTTTTTTTTATTTCTTATTCTTTTTTATAATTGGCGCATGACTTGACAAAATAAGTTAGATTTTAAGGAAAATGAATTAATTTTCAAATTCATATTTTCTAAATAGAAAAATTTTTTTCACGAGAATAATTTAAAAAATTTGTTTTTATTATTGAAAATAAAAATTTATTTTATTCTCGTTTAATTCAAAATGAAAATAAATTATTTAATTTAAATTAAATTTATTTTCATTAAGATTTACTTTTTTTGTCAAAGACTTGGCGTGTTGTGGATTTTTTTAAATTTTTCAATCGATTTTTACTTTTTTATTTATTTATGACTCCATTTTTTGTTTAATTGAAAAAATTTCGTTTTCATTTGATTGATGAACTTTTTAGGGAAAAAAAATCTGAAACTATTAATTGAAAACTGTTTATTTTTTTCAGTCTCAGTAATGTTGTACAGCAAGTGAAATAAAAATTATATAATACATATAAATTCTTAGAAATATTATTATAGTTTTTACCTGCACAAAAACGTATAAAAAAAAAAATCACAAACACTTATTTAAATATAAAAAGGAACTAAACAAAAATACATTTTTTAAATATTAGAAATAATTGGTACTTATAAATATGGTTGCTACAATTTTTTTTTTTTTTTTTTTTTTTCATTTTTCTAAATTACTTTCTTTTATTTTATCATTTTCAATCTAATGATATATATGTGTGTTTGTAATCCGTATACAAATATAAAAAGTTTTATAATAGTTTTTAAATAATAATATTAATCTATTAAAATAAAACACGCGTAAATAATACTTAATTATAAAAAGCTTACAGTTAATCTAAATCTACATGGTATTTTTTGTAATATAAAATTGGAAATATTCCATTTATAATTGTATCGATTATTAATTTAAATTTTTTTTTTTTTTTTAATGAAGTTTTTATTTTGACGAATATGATTTGTGTAAAAATTTAATGTTTCAAATTTATTAACTGGATATATTTCCTTAATTATATCACTGCTATCTTTATTATTATTTTGTACTAATGCGTTTCAAAATACTTGACTTAATTCTATAGACTCGTAATATAGTATGTATTTATTAATAATATATTCTTAAATCGATAAGAATAAAAATTAACTTGGAAAATATTTTTTAAAATTAACAATTTTATATTTAAAATTAATAGTTCTTGATTGAAAAATAATAATGAGATAAATACGAATACAAAATATAAAGTTTTATAACATAACTTGTAATCATATACTGAAGTTTTATCAAACTTAATTTTTAAAAAAAATTTTTTTCCTCTATTTTATGCCTTTATATCGATTATATTTCATATTATTATTTTTTTTCAATTTTAAAAGTTGTCAAAATTTTTTAATAAAAATTGTTGTATTAAAAAAGTGAATAATGAAATATTATTATTAGAAAAAATTATGTAGAATTATTTAAAAATGCTATAATTGGTGTTGAATTTAATATAATTTTTGTTGGATTTAAGGAGAAACTACGGTAATATATATATATATATATATTTGTTAAATATCTGTTTTCAAATATTTGGAAGTATTTAGCTTTCGATATATATTTTTAAAATATAAGTATAATAGGCTATATTTATGTCTATCACTAAATAATCTCCTTATGAGCTTGATTATATTATAATTTACAGGTCACACTTGTTTGAATGCTTAATACAAAAATCTTATTTCTAATGGTATTTAAATAAATAAATAAACCCGATTTTTTTTTCTTGACGAGAAAGTTAATTTTGATTTAAATTCATAATTAAATTATTTGGATTTCAACTTTGAGGTCATTATGAATTTTGATATTACATAAATAAATAAAAGATAAACTTTTACACCAAAATACAATACATTGTTTTCTTAAACATTTACAAATTCAAAAAATAATAATATTTAAAATCTTGTAGATTTTTTTTTTTTTTTTTTTGAATGATTTTTGTGGGTTTAATACTGCTATTTTAAATTACAAATTGGCACATGAAATTAATCTGAATATTAAATACATACTCAGAAAAATTATTTTAGGAAAATCAAATGATTATTCTAAAATAATAATTAGTTTTCTTTCTTTTTATATGTAAAATTATTAAAAATAGAGTATTTTTTAAAAGAATTTTTCAATTCTAAATTGGAATGGCAACTTAATGTAAAAAAAAATAATAATCTCCGATAAATAGTAATAAAGAATATATAACATTTCTTAAAATTAATTAAATTATTTTCGTCAATAATGGTAAAATAATATCCCTTAAAGCCAAAGACTCGTATACACGTGTGTTTAGAATATCGATTTGTAAATTACGTTACAATTTATAAATAAATATAAATTGTATTGAATTACATTTCGATATTAAAAATAAATTATAAAAAATAAATATATATATAAAATAATGATATAAAGTTAAAAAAATTAAGTACTTTTACAATAAAATTTAAAAATAATAATTAAATACCTTTTATCTCACGAATTTGTTGATCATAGCCTGAAGAACATGTAGCTTAGTCATTTAAAAAAAAAGCGATGGATATGTTGATTTTACAACGTGATCTTCCATGCGGATGATTTTCTTCCAATTTTATGTTAATCGAAATCAGAGATCAGCTAATAAAAAAAAACAAAAAATGTAAATGAATTAATATAATATACAATAAAATATTTATAATAGTCAAAGTATTTAGAAACAATTTATAATTATGATTTAAAAAAAAAATTAAATTGTTTAACTATCACAGATTCTTTGATTATATTTAATTTTAATTTTTAATATTATATTTTAATTTTATATTTTAAAATATTTGTCAAAAAAATAAATTTTTTTATCACAGACAATTATTATCAAAAAGATAGAATTTTTTTTTTCAAAATTCATTATATAAAAAATATCTTCCATCGTTGATCTTCATTGTTGTATCGACCGACCTTTTTCTTCCTTAAATCTTTATGTAATTTTAATGATGATTTTTAATTAATGATCCACATTAAATATTTAAATTAAATAAAAAAAAAAAGTAGAGCTGAAAGAAGAAAAAATTTTAAAAAATACTAATTTACCTGCATTGAATAAATTCAAATCACTTTCATGAATTCTTCCATGAAGATATCTCTTTTTAAATGGCAAAAAATTATGAATCAATTTTTCCGATTGACACAAATCTTTTAAATCAAATGAGATATTTGATTTTAATTCATGTAATTTTCTGTAATTAATTGATGATGATGATGATGATGTGCTTGATAGTTCAATTTTTTCAAATAACGATTCTTCTAAATCTTCATTAATCAATTCATTTTTTAAAAAATCTTTATCATCATCATCGTCATCGTCTTCATCATTTTTCATTTCTTCAGGTTTTTTCAATAAAAGATTAGGATTAATTCCTTGATCGTCGGGATAAAAAAATTCACTTAATTCATTTGAGGAATAATTAAAAATTTCCCATAATATTAAATTTTTTTCAATTTTCTTCAATGTTTTACATGAATCTGTCCCAATGCTTGATGAAGCATCACTGACTTCAGCATCATCATCATCATCAACATCTTCATTGTTGTATTCTTTTTTAGATGAATTATTATCCCAAGTTGTTAATAATTTTATAACACTTTGGTAATAATTGTTTAAATCACCATTACCAAGAGTTAATACACCAAAAATAAAATTATCACATATTGAATTTACACATGTTGCATTATTTTCATCAACATTCTGAGGGGAATCACTTGATTTTTCATTATAATTATCATTCGTGCTTGTATTTACGTGATCTAAATTATTTAATGTAACATCACATTTTTGGTAAATATTCTCACAATTATTTTCAATACTGTTAACGTCGATGCTTTTATTAATGAGATCAATATTAGTTTCATCTATGGTAATGTCACAATTTTCATTACTGTGAACATCAGCAACTTCAACTGATTTTATTCTCTTTGATTGTGATTTTTTATTTTTTAAATTTCTCTTTTTTATTTTAATTTCATTCAACCATTGTGGTCTCACTGGTTTTTGTTTTTTGGTGATAATTTTTTCCACTTGTTTATTATCACTCGTTAAATCAATTAAAAGTAATTGATTTTTCTTTAATTTACGTTTCACTTTTTTCTTCACCGGTGACAATTTTTCTTCAACATTTTCCATGTTGACCTAAAAAAAAAAAAAAAAGAAAGAAATTATATTATTTTCATTATAATTTTTCCGCATTAAATAAAAAATTACCTGTGAATTTTTTATATCTTCTTCTGATGAAAATGAGCGCATTTTTTTTTCAAGTTCCAAAAAATCATTACATATTTTTTCCAAATTAGACAAACCGTACATCATAAGCCACCATGTTGCATTCATATCAAATCCATTTGGATTTGGAATAATAGACGATAATTCTAAATTCATTTGTGGCATTAAAAAACCCAATTTTTGTTGTGCCATGTCTATTATTTTTGATTTTTCATACGAATTGTCAACAAGATTTTCCCACAATTTAAATGCAAGTAAATAACCAACGTATGTAAAATCATTTATTGATTCTTTGGTATTTTTAAAAGATGACAAAAATTTCCTGAAAAAAAATAAAATAAATATTTGTGTAAATTAAAAACATTTAAATATAACAAATATGTAAAATTTTAAACTCACGCGAATATGGGGCAATAAAGTTTTTTCATTTCTTTTGTCTCATATCTACCCATGAGTAGAATTTTCAAAATATATTCATCTGAGTTGTCTAACATAAATAATGTTTATTAATTTTTGTTTTAATATAGATTTATAGAAAAAAAAAATTTGTTATCTTACCTAAATAAAGATACAGAGCTGTTAGAATATTTGCCGAATCAACATTCTTGTTTATTTGAATTTCTAAATCTAAATATACTTTAAGTATATCAGTCATTTTATTTAAAAACATATAACAATCATTGACTGTCTGTAATGAAAATAAAAATTTTAGTTTTTTATAAAATTTATATTATACTCGAGTAAAAGTCTTTGTTACCTTTTTAATATTTCGCCAACAAAAGTAAAAGAAATTTAATGTATTTTTGATGTGATTTTTCAACATAATGGATTTTAATCGATTATCAAAACACGTGGAATAATCTTTAGACACATTCCTAAAAAAGTGAAAAATCAATTAGGAAAAAATTAATTATTTACGAAAAAAAAAAATATATGAAAATTTTGTTTACTTTTCATAAACGGTGAGAAGATGAACCAATAAATCATAATTTGTATTTTCAATAATTCCATTTAAAAGAGGTGTAAATTTAACGAGCCATGGAAAATATTCATTCTCATCTGTATTACTCATATTACAATATTTCATTCACTTTTCTAAAAAAAAAAAAAGAAAACAATGAATATTAATAATGCTAAATTGTAAATAATCGAAGAAAATAAATAGTTTACAAAATCAAAAAAATCATCTGTTTTCAATATAAATTCAGTACATTACAATTTTAGTTTAAAAAATTTCTTAACTTCAAATTCTGTAGTAATTATTAAAATAACTCTTTTTTTCTTATTTTTGCAAATCGAAAAAAATATTGAAGAAAATGAACGCTTTTGACAATTTTGAGGTTAGAAAATTCAGCTTTAAAAATTTGAGCACTTAAAATCTCATATGTTACTTTATCATAACTATATAAAAATTACAAAAGAATATTTTACCTGTATTTATATTTTCTCAATAAAATTTCCAATTAATATGATTATACTTACATATAGAAATTGTCTTTTAATTTTTAAACAAAAAACGACGGTTGCTTCATACATTTGACTAATCTAACGGAATTTCTTGTTGTCAGAATTGTAACGTAGTAATAAACAAAACCCGGGACAAAGTGTAGGTATTTTTTTCAAACTAAAACCATTATTTTACATTCAGTAAAATATAAATAATCCCCTAAAATATTGACAAATAACAAACTTTATAAAAAAAAAGAAAATAAAACTAATGAAAAATTTAGTAGTTTAAAATTTTTGAATTTTAAATCTATGGTCGTTCCTGAAATAAAATTAAATGTCTAGTATCACGTCCAATGACGTTAAGGTAGTACATTTTTCTATTGGCACGGCTTCGTTGCGGCCGGGACAGAGAACGAATCACGTATGTGACATGGCGTCCGGGTAGAAAGAAAGTTGACTGTTAATATAAACGTTAATGTTGTTTTTATGACATTGACCGAACAAAAAGGGAACCTCCGAGGCCGCGAATTTTCCCTAGACACCGGCATTGATGGTAATGCATGCGAGGAAACCACAAAGGATAAGTGATGGGTAGGGCTCTTCGTCAAAATACTTGAGATCCTGACAACCAACCTCACCGATCACGACGTCCGTCTGTCCGACCAGCTATCATCACCGCCATTCCCGGGTTTATTTTCCGTGATGGATTAATTCATAAATGTCCATCGAGGAAAGCCCAATTTAATTTTTTCTCATTAATTGACAAAAATTTTTCTCTATGATTACAGGTACTTCGATAAGCACCAGGCCCATCCCTATCAGGTAAATATCAAAGGTGTTTTCTGGGTGCCACGGGATCGGGAGGGGGGCTTCATCTCACAACACGAATCATTTGTCACACGTATTTTATTGTTAATTTTCATAATTGCATTAACTTAATTCTCATTTTCAGCTTTTTTTTTTAATTTTCCCCACCAACTAACATATATAATCTTTATTAGCGACATTTTTTTTTTTTTTTTTTTAATTTCTTGTCTTTACCATTTAAAAAGTTTAAAAAATTGTTATTTTATGTGTTCTAATGATTTATGTAGTTTAATGTTTTTATTTTTTTTTTTTGTTTTGTACAATGCTTTGTTAGGGGAAAAAAGTATTTATTTTAAATTAATTTTTTTTTAATTTCACAATTTCCTGTTTTGTATTTGTGAGAAATTTACTTTAAAAAATATTCCTGGTAAATGAATTATAATATTTAGTCTAAAAAAAAGAGTATATTGAAAAAAATGTTTCTTTTTGTCAAAATTGATTTGGTGAAAATTTTTTTTTCAAGTTTGTCAATTTTTATCATCTAGCGACTTTGTTTTTTTCATTTATTCAATATTTTTGGGATCAAATTTTGTGTTTTTGTTTGCTTTTTATGTTTTTCATGTTTTTTTAAACATTATTTTCGTGTATATCATTAAATTTTCACAATTACTTAAGATTCTTTTCTTGTAAACATAACCTCACTTTTTATAAAAATCAATAACCCAGATATTTCTGTTGACCTTTTATTGTTGCAGGTAACTTGGAATAAAATTATTAAATATGTTTTTTTTTTTGTTAATTATATTTTTATTGAAAACAATTTTTTTTAAGTTAAATATTTTTTTTTTGATAATTTAGTAATGAATTTATTTTTTTGAAATATTTTATTCCAAGAAATTTTAGTGTTGAATTTTGTTTTTTTCAGAACACGAAATACAGTAGTTCAAAGGGTGGCTACTCCTCGTCGACTACGTCGGATAGTCGTTACGAGGGGCGAATGCGAGATTCCCCGAATGGTAACTCGTACAGTCCAGCCGGAGGTTTGGGAATGGGCATGGGAGCAGATCGTGACAGCCCCCGTAATTATCCCAGTAAACCTCTATACAAGAAGGAGAGAGAAAACAGAGACTATAAGTTATCCTCCTCTAGGGACAAGTATTCCGGTGAGAATAAAATTTTTTTTTCAATATTTTTCTAAAAATTTTTTCCAAAATGATGTAAATTTTACAATATTTAGATTGTGCACGATCTCCAAAAGATAAGAGGAGCCGCGAAAGCAGGGATTCGGAACACAGGACCAATCATGATAGGAGCAGCGGAGAGGTATTTTTTTTTTAAATAGCAAAAAAATATCAAGGCACAAGGATATGTAAAATATGGTCCTTGTTCTTGATTTAATTTTTGAAACTGATTTTACGAAAACTTTTTACTGTAATTATTTCTTTAATAAACAGATTTTGCATCCTATAAAAATATCTTCAAACTCATCTAGAGATTCGTCTTCACAACGGAAGCCAACGCATAATTCGTGTCAGGTTTGTATTTTCGTTTTGATTTAATGAGGAATTATTGAATAATTGGAAATTTTTATAAAGGACAAACGCGGCGATGAACGGGGAACTATGGAACGTACGGCCAGGTTTGGCGACTGGTCGGAGCATATGAGTTCATCAGGAAAGAAGTATTATTACAATTGCAAAACTGAAGTTTCACAATGGGAAAAGCCAAGGGAATGGATTGTACGAACAGACAGTCGTCAACGTCAATCCAATGATTACTCCAGTAGGTCAAGTAAGTGTTGATAATTTCGGTAAATATTTACTTATTTTTATTTTCAAAAATTAATTTAATATTTTAATCTTTTTTTAGGTCATGATAAACATTCCAACTCGCGATCAAACAGCAGTGCCAGTAGTGCGCGAGATGGTAAATCATCACGGCAAACTGACAAACGTGAATATTGGGTCTCATGTAGCAGTAGCAGTGGGAATAGTAGTCGAGAGGATGTCTCGTCACGTGAACGTGAACGCGAAAGAGAAAAAGAACGTGAACGTGAACGTGAAAAAGAACGTGATTCATGTAGAGAGGATTTGGGTGTTGAACGTCAAACACAGGACATGGATATTTCACCAGGTGATTCTACACCCACATCAGAACCATTGACATCAAATGTTCATGATCAAATTCCCCAAGGGCCGGTATTGTTAGCTACAGGTTGGTGTTTAAAAAAATGAAATAAAAATTAAAATAAAAAAATGTATTTTTACTTACTTCTTTTTTTTACAGCGTTACCTCGATTAACGTCACATCCATCAACGATACCACAAGCACCTGGAAAATTAGCTTCTCCAACGCAACAACATGGTAATAGTAATGCCCCAGGTCCACCGGTGTCACTTGCAAATTTACCTCGACTTCTGTCACAAATTACTGGCAGCAAAGAACAACCTGACATCACACCGCAAAAAGCACTTCAAACTCTTCAAACTGCAATTATGTTATCCAGACAGGTAAATAATTTTTATTAAATTAATATTTGAAAATAATTTCATTTTTAAATTGAAAAAATAACAATTGATGAGATAAGAATTTTAATATTAATTTACAGCAATCGGGAAGTGGAGAACGACCCAATATGTCTAATGATGTGATGGCACCTTTAAAAGTTGATACCAGTGGTAATGTGACTAGCGAAGGACCACCAACTCCTACACATTCAGAAACTCAGGACTGTGTTGACGTTCGAAAAAGTAAGAAATTATTTTTGATTTTTGTATTCTTTAATATTGAATTTGTTTTTTAAAATAATAAATATTTTTACAGTAGCGAGTCCAGGAGCTACAAATTCAAGTGTTCAAGGTCTCAGTTCGTTACAAGGATTAAGTACATTAGGTTCACTAGGAAGTTTAGGTAATGGAGGTGGCTTACAAGCATTATCTAGAGTTCAACCACCTCTAACGCCTTCCCTCACGCCTTCACTCGCAAATCATTATCGAGAAGATTTAACTCAACATGTACGTGCTTTTCCCGCGGACATTCTAGAAAAACAGGTAATTTTTCGTTATCTTTTTCTAAGTTTCTTAAAATATTTCAAAAAAAAAAAAATATTAACACTATTCTATTTAAAAAATTCAGAAACAATAATTTTCAAAAAAATATTATTAACACTGCCTTTGAAAAGATTTAATAGTAAAATATTTAAAAAATAAAATTTCTACAAAATTAACAATAACTTATGGGACGAATTTAAGATCGCCTACAAAAAAAGTTGTTTTGATTCGTCGATTTTAAAATAATATAATTTATTACAATATTATAAAAAAAAAAACTTTACCTTGAATATGAATTTCTAATCGAAGAATTTTTATTTAAGACGCAATATGAAGAAAGGGACCTTAAAAGCAAATGAATTATAGGTTAGGTTTACCACAGTTTTACTTGAACTAAAAGTTTATTTTTGTTTTTGTAAAATTGAAATCAGTTTTTATTGAATATTTTAAATGTAATGAAGACCTAAATATTAGTTTACATTACAAGTTGAACGTCTTTGTGTATTTTCACTTTAAAATTTCAAAACGTAACCTACAAATTTTTTTCTTTCTAAGGTCCCTTTTTTTCATATCACGTCATTTCTTATTTAATAGAACTTTCATTTATCCGAACTTTTACATAATAAATTGTGTAATTCATCAAATTTTTATTAAACACAATTTTCGTTCAACAGAATATAAATTTTACAAAATTTCCATAAATAATTTTGCTACAGAATTGTTCATTAAGCAAATTTTTTACTTAATAGTATTTAATTAAATTATGATCAAAAATTGTAACTAAAATCAGATTTAACATAATTTATAATTAATCAAAAGCTTTTCCTTAATTAAATTTTTAAAGAAAAATTCGATCAAGTAGAAATTATATTAAATATAAGAATTGTACAAAATTGAAAAACGATTAAATAAAAGTTATGTTTAATTAAAATTTGGTTATAAGAAAAGTTTTGGTAATTAATTAAAAATTTATTTAATGAACAATTCTATTACAGTAAAATTATTTTTTTTTTTTTGGAAACTTTGTAAAATATAAATTCTGATAAATGGAAATTGTGTTAAATAAAAATTCATTGAACTAAATTTATTATATAAAAATTCGAATATATAAATAGAAATTTGGATAAATAGAAATTTTATTAAATAAAAATTCATTGAAGTAAAAAATTTTCGCTATGAAAATTTAATTATAACAACTATTTTGTGGCCTTCCGCGTAATTTATTTTTGTTCATTAAAAGATTTTATAAAATTTTGTTTTCAATTTTACTAAAATATTATTTTAAACAAACATTAAATTGAATTAATAGAATTTTATAAAATTGTCCAAAGAAGAAAATATATTATTTATTTTATAGAAAAAAAAATGGGTTAAAAAAAATTTTTTTTTTCGTAAATTAATTATAGGCGCAAAAGCTTAGTGAAGAAGCACATACAATGGGCAGTTTACAATGCACACGTGTATCAGCAGAATTAAAAACTGCGCGATCATTAGTCAGGCTGACAGAAATTCAAGCGACGTTGCAGGAACAGAGGTGAGTGTGTCTAAATAATCTTTACTTTTTTTTTTTATTAAAATTTTCTTTGAAAGAAACATCAAAGAAAATTTAATTAAATTACAAAATTTTGAGACAAATATTAATGTGAAATTTTTAAATAACAAAAAAAAAATTATTGTTTTACAGGATATTGTTTCTCCGTCAACAAATTCGGACGCTAGAGGAGCTGAAATCCCAAAATTCCTTCATGTCTGATGATTCTTAGTGTAAGGGACTTTATAAAATAATTATTACAACCTATAATTAATTCATGAAAAAAAAAAAAAAAAATAATAATAATAAAAACATACTTATTAATATTCTCATTAATATTGAATAATTAAGATTGTACCTAAATTATAATATCATTGATAGAAGTGATATAAATAGTGAAAAAAAAAAAAAAAATGAAAAAAATAAAAAAAAAAAAATGAAAAAAATGACTGGGCTACCCGGAGAGGACTCTCGAGGGCTGTAATCGACGTGACAGCCAAGTAAGTCTTATATAATAATAATTATAATAATATTAATTAGTTAATGCGTACCTCTCCGGGATTGTGCGGCCTATCCAAGATACATTCAGTCACGACACAAAAAAAAAAAAAATGAACACGTAAATAGAAAAAACAAGCCAATTTAACTTCGAATTGTACCAAATTGTATATCTGATCTTGTCCACGTCGTCTTGTATTACCTATGTTATATACGTGTCAATGTTTCATATCTCCCATGATTAAGTGGCATTTTAAACTAGTTCAATGATAAAATTGGTTTCCATTTTTTTTGTTTTTTTTTTCCTTTTTTTTGTAATTGTAAATCTCAGAATAAATTTATCGTGCCACAAGTTTTAATACAGTTCTTCATAAATTCCTTTCTATTGTTGTGCGTGCTTTCATCAATTTTTCACTCGCATTAGTGTCTCTTTGACCTCTCGCGTATAATACATTTAAAAAAAAAAAATTACCATGCTCGCGTCTTGTATTATCTTGTACAGAGTACTTTGAAAAATACACAAAAACAAAAAGTATAAAAACGTTATTGTAAATAACAGCTATATTACGAGAGAGGGACCAAATCGCGAGCTACGTTCCTTAAAAAAGATTTAAAGCGCATTTTCTTGTTACAAAAAAAAAATAGAAATATAGAAAACGCCTTTTTTATACGAAATGCTTTTACACGATGATTTTATGTCTTTTTGCAAAATATTGACTTGTTTTTTACATTCTTTTTTCTTTTTTTTTCTAAATAAAATTCAAGCAAGAACGCAAAGAGAGCACTGATATTAGGCCTTGTGGCAAAAAAAAAAAATAATAATAATAATAAAAAAAAATTGGTCACTGTATTCAGTATTTATTGAACTTTTATTTCCGAATATAATGGTTAAAATAAATTAAAATGAGTATATTTATTCCCTCAACACAAAAAAAAATTATTTAATTAGCATAAATAAATAGACGGATTTGGTGAATAAGAAATCCAAAATAGACTTCTCACTTCTGTATTATTATATTTCATTGAGGAACTGTCAGTGAGTTACAGAAATTCTGAGCGAAGTAAAAAGAGAGAAACTGATTAATAAAAACATTATTTTACTAATAAGAATCCCAAGAAAAAAAAATACCTATCTACTTTAGATCAATTTATTAAATTTCATACATTTCTTAATCTCACACATTCTCTTAATTTTTCTCATACACACTTTTTCTCTTTCTCTCTCTCTCTCTCTCACTTTCGGTATGATCCAAAGAATTTCTATTACACTAATCGCAATTTTTTTCATCTTTTATTTAAAATTCCTATTATTCGATTTGTACACGTACATTATTATAAAAAAAAAGAAAACAAAAAAAAAAAATAGAAAAAGGACCCGCGGAAAAGTCGGTACTTTTTAAATGTGCAAAAATTGCAAAATTCTTTGGTCCAAACCTCCGAACGTTTAATGATAATTTTTTTTTTTTCCCCTAGAAATCAAGTCTAAAATATAATAAAATTACAAACAAAAAAAATATATATAATCAACTTCCATGGTAAACATTTCCTAATTATAATCGGTACAGAGGTGATAATTATAATTTTAATCTAATACTCTAACATGATGTTTCTCGACGATATAATTATTTGCTAATCACCTTTTTTTTCTCTTTTTAAAAAGAGTTTTTTTTTTTTATTAAAACAAAGTTTTTCTTTTTCAAACTTTCAGATTTATAAATAAAAAAAAAACCTAATAATTCAGGAAAACGAAACTATATTTTATTTTTTAAAAAAATATTTTCCTATTTAAAAAAATCGAGAAAAAAATCTGAAAGTTCTTTAAAAACATTTGTTAAAAAATCAATATTTTCTAAATATTTTTAAAAAGGATCAATTTTCGCGATTTTTAATCTAATAATTTTTTTCTATCGAAAAAACATACATAATAATTATAGATTGTCTATAAATTAAAATACAAAATCAACAAAATTATTTTCTAAAATAAAAAATATTCATTGCTATCTCGTGGGGAAACATCAGTTGAATTTTTTTTTTTCTTTTTTTTTTCTTTTTAGACATTATGTACCATTACACCTTGTGGAGACATTTCTTTTCCACAGCACCGGAAGCATACAGTGAACATTCTCTCATTTATTTAATTAATTACAATCAGTCATTGGATTTATTTCATAACAAACTCTCATTTCTTTTCTTTTAAATATGATTTTTTGTGCTATCGATGCACATTATTTGTGAAAATTCGTATTGATTCATGGATTTTTTTTTTCTTTCGATCGACTCTAAGATCATAATAAGGCCTCTGATTATACGATGCCCACTAATAAATACACTCAAGAATCTTCGATTTACATAAAAATATTAAGCAAAAATAATTTTTTATTGAATTTATCAAATTTTTGAAATTTAAAAATTACTCTCCTTGAATTTTATAATCGAAAACTCTCGAGAGTGCAAAATTTAAAGCATCATTTAAAATCGTTTCTGAGTGATTGCTTTGAATGTTTTTTTTTTTTTCTCTATATTAAAAACGTATTACAATGGAGAGTATAAAATGCTACAAAACAATTCCAATATACGCTTTCTTGATTATGATTTATCACGTACAAGTGATGCGCTTCTTTTTTTTTTTTTTTTTTTTTTATTTTTAAGGCCATAAAATATTTATGCAAAAATGCATCGCTTTGCGAAGCAGATCGATATGTAGTCCGCACATATCGATCAATTTGGAAATTCTTCTTTTCCTGTTTTGAGTAACAGGATTTTTTTTTTTTTTTTTTTTTTTATAGACGACACAGCCTTGCCAGAGAATGTTCACGGTGTAAGACAGTAAGACATTCAAAAAAAACTCAGCGCAATTTTACTTCATTTACTCATTTTCATTTTTTCCCTTTTTTTTTTTATTTATATTACAATAAACTCAAATTATTTTAAGATGGACGAAAATGGAAGTACAAATATTAACAACAAATTTGTATTTTTATTTTTATTTAACATTTTGTCCATTTTATCATTTTTATAAAATAAAACTAAAATATTCTAAAATCTAGATTAAAAATTTGTAAATAATTTTTTTTTCAAGTGAAAGAGAAAAATATGTGAAGCAAAATAAATAAAAAAAAAAAAAAAAAATGCACTTCCATTTAAAAAAAATATTTTGTACGATTGTTGAAATTAACATTGGTAACTTAGTTTTTCTTTAGAAATTTACTATATAAATTCGATTTGACTATTAAAAAAAGAGTATTGGATTCGAGACAAGAAAATAATTCATCTTCAAAAATTCGACATCGCTCCAACAAAGAAAAAAATTATAAATAAAGCTCAATTTTTTGAATTTAATTTTTTTTTCAAAATAGATTTAAATTTCTTTATGGGAGCAATGTATAAGACTCGAGCTTATTTTAAGTAATAAATAAAAAAAACTACACGATAAAAACTTGCATTAAAAAAGTTTTCAATTATTGAACATAATTTTTTTCTTTTTTTTCTTTATCAATTTTCTATATTAATTAAAATAATAATTAAAATTAACGTTACAAAATTGAAAACTTTTACTTGTTAGAAAAATGTAAACAGATTTTTGTTTTTTTTTTTGTACTTAATCTAGATTATGGCGGAATTGTGGATCATGTGCCGAGTTATTTTTGGCCACTGTCAATATAAATTAAGCCAACACTAGAGACATAACATTACAACTATATCTTAATTTTAAATAAGAGAAGTGAAAGGCGAATAAACTTTTTCAAATTTTTTTTTTTCAAGTTTAATCGCCTAATCACCATTGCCTAACTACTTTGCCTTTTTTTTGGGACTTCTAAAAAGAAATATGTGTGCGACTCTCAATATCATCCAATTTCTCTTTTTTTTTTTTTTTTTTTTCTTTTTTCTTAAATTCTAAGTCTTTTACAATATTATTTAACATTATCACTCAATGGATTGCTCATTGCATGTAAAAATTCAACAATTGCAAATATTTTTCTATTGTAAAGAAAATTTTTTTCCCATTGTTTCACAGCTTTAAAAAAAACCCTGTCAAAAAAAAAAAAAAAAAAGAAAAGAAATGTCAATATTCACATATGGAAATTAATGATTTTTTTTAAATAATAAAATATGAATATAAAATTGAAATTTGTATAAAAATACGACTCATTTTATTTAAAAAAAAAAAAAAAAATAGATTACATAAATTTCTTTTGTTTGTAAAAATTTAAATCCGTATTTAGAAAAAATAATCCTTTCAATTTTCCGGACAAAATGCTTCAATTAAAAACATGGTATCCAGATTTTCGTTTTAATTTCATTTTAAAAATTTTAAATTTCAAATTAAATACAGGTTTTTTTCCTATTAAAAAAAAACTTTCGTTCAATATAAAGTGATAAATAATAATTTATGTGAAAATATTTAAAAAAAAAAAATATATAAACTATTCTCCATTTTTGTAAAATAATAATACTGAAAATAGTTTAATATAATTAAAATATTGTTTACAATATAAATTTATAAATAAGAAACAATTATTTCTTCATTAAACAACGGTAATGTAAAAAATATTAAAATTATTAATTTCCTAGAAATTTGACTGTCGACACGATAAAAAAAAAATTGTCTTATTAAATATTATAATTTATCAAATCAAAAAAGAAAATTGTTTTTATAAATTTAAAAAAAATAATTCATTTTCTGAAACAAGTACAGAACTCAAAGGGGTTTTTTTTTATTACAGACAAAATAATAAAAAATATACGAAAAAAAAATGTAAGATTTTTTTTTACAGATTGTAAGTAAACGCTTTATTCAAATCAATCAAATATCATTATCATTATCGATAAAGATCTTAAATAGATATAACATGGAATTGTGTTCATAATTTTTTTTTTTCACCTTTTCGTAGTTAAAAAAAAAAAAAATTAAAATATATCATTTTCTATTTCTCTTAAAGAAAATAATCTAAAATTATATAAAGAATTAGTGAAAAAAAAATTTCATAACGCTAAATAAATCATAATACTTAAATACTATTATTTTTTTTTTTCCTCCCCTTTTCTAAATTATCTGGACACCATGCGAAAAAAAAAAGATGATCCGATAAATATATATAACTATCTTTAATCATGAATATAAAACAAAAAAATTGTAGTCATATACGCTCTGTTAATTAATCAATGATAAAAAAAAAGAAATTAAATATTTACTTTTCGTTAAAACTGTTTTATTTTCCAATTAATTTTATAAGATCTTTTTTTTCATTATAAAATTAATTAAAAAAGAAAGTAGTTTAAAAAAAATTATATATTAAGAGAACGTAATGTTTTTATTTTATTAATTTAAACAAGAGTAAGAGTTCATTTTTAGAAGCCCCGTTGTTTTTTTTTGTTTTTTTTTTTTTAAATATATAATTGATTGTAATTTTAGCCACGGCTTTTTTTTTCGTTATTTTAATTTCACTCATACTATGATAAAATACACAGCATTCTTATATTAATCAAGATACAAGCCTAGCATAAAATGGCATTCAGTAATTATTCTCTTATATAGGATTATTTCCTAAGGATATAAAAAAAATATACAATTTCAAGTAAACAGGCGGAAACATTTTCCGTAATTTTTTTTTTTTCATTTCTTTTCTTTTGTACTATCCGAATGCCATTTTTTCTTTTTTTTTTTTTTATTAAATTAACGTATATCTTACAACGTTCGTGGATCAGCGCTACGTGATTTTTGTAGGGCCGTTCCCGAGATCCTAGCTAAAATATATATAATATAGTAAACTTTTTTTTTTTCTGAGTTTATGTTCCTACACGTTTAGTGGAATTCCACTGATATACAGTCACTTCACGTTACTCACAACTTTTAAGGGTTTTGTTTTTAGATACATCGACTATATGAGAGGAATTTTCTTTTCCCCTCGAGTTTTTTTGTTGAGAAAATTCGTGGTTTTTTAAAAAAAAAATGACGAGGCTTTTTATGCTCAACGTCTTTAAAGAGTCTCTTAAATTGTACGGACAAAAATTTGTCTCATGTACGAGAGGTAAAGAACAGAGCATTAATCACAGATCAGTCAAAAAAAAAAAAAAAAAATATTTGAACGAAAGGCCCGATAACAATTAATCATTATCTCGAGACAGAGAGTTGGGAGGATAGAAGGAATAATTTTTTTTTTCTCCCCGAAATTCACTTGCGAGCAGTATGAAGGACTTATACTTACCTGAGCAGGTTGAGATTTTTCCCCCGCTAACAAATTGCACACGAATCTTGAAGCGGTCCTTGAAAGCAAAAAAATGACAATTTTTTTTTAAATACTGCGTCACAGTGATGTATCTATTCTGTTTGCAGTAGTCCTGATTTTCTAAAATTTGTTCCTTTTTTTTTGATAACTCCCGTTTCCTTTATCATTACTAAAACTGACTATGAATTGTTCAATCTCAAAAACATTGATTGCTATTAATATAATTAAATAATTTATAATTTACAAAAATTCTCTCTTTTGCTCGTTCTTTAGCGCACTTTCGTTCGTATCTTTTTCTTTCTTTTTTCATTGCTTCTTATTAAATCGCTAGATCTAGCTTCATTTTTTTTTTCTTTCTTTCTTTCTTTCTCTTTCTGGAACACACAAGCGGTAGTACTGAAGCACAAGTCATCAACACAAATATAATACAAATGCTGCTTGAAGTACCACCAATTTTTTTTTTAAATCTTTTAAATTCCATCGCGAGAAAAATTTGTCCGCCAAAGATGGTAAATTACTGTTTTTTTTTTTTGTTTTTAAATGCGGACACAGAATACACGCACCTGGATTTTCGTCACATTTCTCAGCCAATGAATTTTCTTGTCTACCGTGGTGTCATTCTTCTTCTCGCTGTTTTGATTTTTCGTTGAGTTTGTGGCAATTTTGGTGTAGCGCTGTAAATCAATTTTTTTAAAATTAGATTTCAAAGATTATTTTAAAATTAAAAAAAAAATATGAAAAATAAAATATCTTTTTACAGTAATTTTTTTACTGTAATTCTATTGAAGTATTAAAAGAATTTTTCATTCAAAAAAAATATTTCTCCAAAATTTGTTCATCATAAACGTTTTTTTTAAAAATATGAAATTAGATTAGAATGAAAAATAATTTGTTTATAATTTAAAAACATTTCTTGGAATTTATATCAATTCTTTTGTAATTTATAAAATAAAAACTCACTTGAATGTTGTTGGTTGATTTCCACCAGTGAAATTAAATGACACTGAATTTGGAGCATTAAAATTGAATCCACCACTTGGTGGTGCTGGAGCTGATGTTTGATTCTAAAAAATATAAATTAATTTTAAAAATTTACTTATTACTGCAAATCATTTCAATTAAAAAGAAATAATTATTAAAAAGTTTAATTTTTTCTTTTCGTTATGAAAATAATTACAAAATATTAAACTAAATTTTGTGAAAGAAAATTAACGAAATTTATTTTAATATATTAGAAATTAATAGAAAATAATGATTTTTTGAAAATAATTCTTCTATTAACGAAAAATAAACCTTTTTCAATTGTAAAATGAAAAAATAAACAAACATATATTTCTATAATTCTTTTTTATTTATACAAAAATTTAACAACTTCAAATACAAAATAAATGAAAAGTTATCGATATTTTTAATCATTTTTTTTCGTAATAAGTACAAATTTCTGTCTTTAGTTTTCATACATGTGTTTAAAACACTATTTTTGGCTTTTAAATTTTCAAGGATCACAGTGTTTAATTTTAGGTAAAAAAAAGGAGAAATAAAAAAAATTATGTTTGCTTTTATATAAACTAAAAAAAAAATATATTAATTTGCAAAAAAAGGGGAGAAAAATCACCATTTTAGATGATTAAAAAAAACTAACTGTGAACCGTGATTTAAATATTAATAGCAACAATTTACAAAACACCAAAAAGGAACAAAAAAACAAACAAAAAGATAACAAACAAATCTAATAATCTATAGATTTTACTAAATTAACAACTATTTCACAAAATAGTCTAGTGATCTTTTTGCGTAAACTTTAAATAATTTTAATTATGGATATTTTCAAAATAACCATCTATTAACGTAAAAAGAACGTTATTAATTTAATAATCAATATCAAATTTAACGAAAAAAAAAAAAAATTCTTCACAAAAAACAAATAATTATCACAATATATTGAACGAGAAAAGGAAAGAAATAAAAACAATTGTGTTTTAAGAAAGAATCGGACTACAATACTTTTAAGGAGTTTCAATATCAAAACAAAATCTTCAACTAAAAATTTTAAAAAATGTTACTAAAAATACTATTAGTTTCAATTTTTTTCTAATTCTATAATTTTAATTACTATTATAATTATTTCATATTTTTCTCTTTTTCTTCAGTAAGTCTATTATATTCGATTTTAATACAAAAAAAAATTATAGCACATTTTTTTTAATTGAAAGGATTCTAATTTTGTGCATTGAATTTTGTTAAAAAAACAATTTGTTATAAAAAAATTAATTAATTCTTAATATTTTTTTAATTTAATTAATTAATTAATATTTTTAAAAGTAATTATTTTTACACAAAAATTTAATAAACAAAAAATATACAGAATTCGCGAAAGAATAAATTATTTATTGAAAATCGAATTTATCATTAAAGAAGACTAGAAAATATGAAAAATCTTTTATGAAAATTATTAATTATTAATAAATTATAATTTAATAATTATTAATTATTAATAATTATAATTTATAATTATTTAATTTGCCAATTATAAATGAATTTATAATTTATATTATAATTATCAATTATAATAAATTAGAACGAATCACCAATTTTCTGATAATAAATATAATTTTAACTAGAAGCCAATTGATTTTTTCAAATTGCATTGATAATTTTCTAAGTTTCATTTTGAAAAGATTTTGTTTTTGAAATTATTTTGCACACAATTTTTTTTTTCCAATCGTTCAAAGATAACGCGAAAATAAGTTGAGCCAATTTTTTCGATTCCAATACAAACTCGTCCGATTCTTCCGTGAAGATAATTTTGAGAATAGAAAAATTAGAATGATGAACATACCATTCCACCGAAATTAAATCCACTAGATGATGCGGCAGGTGCAGCGCTTCCAAAATTGAATCCAGTGTTTGATGTTCCAGCTCCCGAGAAAGATGGTTGTTGTTGTTGTGGTGGTGGTTGTGTTGCACCAAAAGCTGGCGTCGGTACAGTTTGTCCAAAAGCCGGTGGTGGTGGTTGTTGTTGTGCCTCTGGTTTCGGTGCATTAAACGAAAAACCAGATTGCACTGGAGCAACAGACGTCGATGTATTAAACGTACTTGTACCAAAATTATTTCCCTGTGTTGTATTTGCCGGAGTAGAAACAGCAGCAGCAGCACCGAATCCAAAAACAGGAGCTGCTTTTGTTGTTGATGTTGTTGTTGAATTTCCAGTTGAGAAATTAAAACCACTATTCGTTGATGTTGTTGTCGAGCCAAAAGTGAAAAGATTCGAAGCCGGAGCTGCTGTATTATCTGTTTCGTTTGGTTTGCTACCTGAAAATACAGTCGCTGATGTACCAAAAGCATTGTTATTAGTACTGTTGCCGAAAATTGGAGCAGTTGATGCTCCAAAAGGCGAGGAAGGTGTTGTAGTTCCAAAGGATGCTGAAGGAAAAAGTGGCGCTGGACTAGCGGTTCCAAAAGTCGGGATACTCTTCTCAGCGGTGGTTCCAAATGCCGGCTTTTCCTTGTCAAATCCAATAATTTTCTCCTGTGCTCCAAAGAGAGGTGTTTTCTTCTCCAAAGTTCCAAACGATGGCAAAGGCGCAGTTTCAGTTTTTCCAAACGCAGGGACCGTTGATCCAAAACCAGTGGTACTTGAAAAAGAAAGCAATGGTTTCTTTTCCGCAGGTGTTTCGGTTTTATTCACACCAAACGTGAACGTTGACGCCGGTTGTATTCCAAACGTTGTTGTTGTTTTATTTTGATCAGAAAAACTAAAAGTCGTGTTACTAAATTGTGGAAGACTTGTTGCTGCCGCTACTGGTTCTACTGTCGATGTTGTTGTTGTTGTTGTTACCGTCGAAACAGGAGCAGAAGATGTAAATGAAAAACTAGGTGTAATTTGATTTGTACTTGTCACTGCAGTCGAAAATGTTGATTCGCCAAATACTTTTTTCGTTTTAACTTCATCGTCATCGGCTGGACGTTTGGAACTTGGTGATGTAAATTTAAAACCACTTGTACTTTCCGTGGAATTAACACCAAAAGTGAATGGCTTTTCTTTTTCAACTACAGGTACCTCGGGTTCTTTTTTCTCCTCTGGTTTTTGAATACCAAATGTAAATGTCGGTTTTTCACTCGGCGTTTTTTCATTGTTTTTCTCACCAAAGGTAAATGATTCACTTGCATCTTTATCGACTTTTTGAATACCAAATGAAAATTTCTCATTACTAACCGCTGGTTTTACTCCAAATGTAAAACTACATTCTGTTGTTTGAGTATCGGGTTTATCGATACCAAATTTAAAACCACTGTCCTTTGATGGTGCACCGAAACTAAATTGTGAATTTTTCTTCTCCGTTCCTGGTTTTGGTGTTGTACAGGCGATACACTCATTAGCATCGGATTTATTCGATAATAAACAGGAATCACAACTCCATGAACCGGCGGGTGTTTTAAATTTATCACCAAAACCAATAATAACGGGCGTTGATTTAATTTCCTCGGGTTTATTTATTGAACTTCCTGGTTTCATTGCTTTGCAACATGGACACACGGTTACGTTATTTGCATTTCGTACCATACAACACGGACACTCCCAGGTATTGCTTGATGATGTGAATTCTTTTAAACTATTTTCTGATTTCACTTCGCTTTTAGAATTCGATGGTTTTGCCGTCGAACAACATGGACATGTTGTAACGTTTCCATTATTTCGTACCATACAACCGGAACATTCCCAAGAATCACTGGCGGGTTTGAATTTTTTCAAAAGATCCGTTTCAATTGAAATTTTTTCCCCTGGTTTTGATGCTGTACATGAAACACACTTATCGTCTGTTTGTTTATTTCTCACTAAACAACTACTACATTCCCATTGACCTGATGATAATTTGAATTGTGAGCCAAAACAATCGTTTTCAATTGGTTTAATTTGTGAAATTGTATTTGAAACACGTGGTGGTTCTTTAATTTTACTATCTGGTTTTAATGATTTACAAGCAATGCAATTTGTTGTATTTTCATTTCTTATTAAACATTCCGAACATTCCCAAGTGTCAATTGCAGTGATATCATTTGTATTTGTTTCCTCCATTTTTTCACTTTCTTGTACTGTTTTACTATTAAGTTCCTTCAAAAAATCAACAACACTTCCGGATTTAAGTTCAACGGTGGAATTTGAAATTGGTGGTTCGCTAAATGATGATTTTTCCTTTGGTCTCGGTGCTGTTGAGCCGGACCACATAAAATTCGTTGCAGTTGAACCCAAAAATGAATCATTCGATTCAATGCTCAATGTTCTTGACGAGCTATTCAAATCATTGCCATCTTGTTTTGTATTTATATTTGTATTAGCGTTTAATGGATTGCTGAATGTAAAATCAGTAACGGAGGATAATGATTTCGTGGTACTGATCACTTTTATCGGACTAGCAAATTTAAATGAATCATCCTTGTCAACATTGTCAATTTGTTTTGTATATTGAGGTAGGGCAATGTCAAATCGTGGTAATGTGGAAATTGGTAATGCAATTGTTGGAAGATTAACTGGTTCAACAGTTTCTTCATCCAATTGATTTGTTTTTGATTTCACTCGAACTTTTCCGCGGAATTTCATATCCTCATCAGAGTCCGTTCTAGAAAGAAAAAAAAAATGTTAGAATTTTATAAAATTTTTGAAAAAGAAAAAACTTACCGAATACGATATTCAGAAATTGTTGGTGCTGCACTGTGAGCAGAAACAATATTTCTTGCAGCGAGCGTTGTGTCTTGTAATCTTTGTCGTCTTCTTATTTTTAATAAATCTGGCACCGTTGGTACAGTGAGCTGTTGTGCTCTATGACGAAGACCAACTCTCGGCGATGTCATCACTTCCTCTCTTGGTCGTTTAGTACCACCTGAATTCATCAAATTTGTTGCATTTTTAATGGGAATTTTTTTCGCATCAATAACTGGTGAGGAAAAATGTTCCAATGCATCCAATATTCTCTTTGCCGTTTGACTCATTCCGGAGGAATCAATATTTCCATTATTGAAAGGTTTCACCTGGACGTTTGTTCTTCTAGGAACTTTAAGCTTGTACTGAAATAAAGTAAATTGTATTAAAATCAAATTAATTTATAAATTTCAAATGTAAAATTTTCGAAAAATTACCTCATTATTGGAATTAAAGAGACTTCGAGTGCGTTTATAAAGGCCAACAGCATTTGCTCCGCCAAAAGTAACATTACCGGAGTAAAAAGGTGAGGCAAGAGATGATGAACGTTCAATATTGTTACTCATAATTGATGAATTAAAACTAGGTTTGCGACTGCTGAGCGAGTCACGATTGCTTGTGTCTAAGAAAAGAGATCTAGGCGACTGCAAATGATTTGCTAGAAAAAAAATAATGTTACTGTAAAATAATTTTTTCCTTCTTGAAAAAATGAGAAACACTTACTGTAATTCATTTTATTATCGTCCATGAATCTCTTTTTATTAGTGAATGAAGATGCAAAGCTCGTATTTGATGGAGGCTCTTGCCTATTATTTTGTGGAATTAAAGAACTACATCCGCTGGTACTTTCACTTGATTCAGAATTATCATCAGCTTCGTTAATAACTCCATTGTCTTGAGGTTGATTCAATGAATTTAAATCTGATCTTTGCGTCACTGGATTTCTAACATCATTTTGAATAGCTGGCGTTGATGATACCAAGCGTCTTAATCCACTTGGTCCAGCTGCCAATGGTTCGACGAAATCTTCATTCTGAGACAAAAAAAAAATCAAAAATCAAAATAAATATCAATAAATGTAAAATTTATTAAACTTACCGTTTCGTCGTGATTAGGAATGGTTTCGTCGACTTTATTTAAAGAAGATTTATTTTTTATTTGAATATTAAATGTTCCAGGTGGATGAATAACATCCATACGTATACGTGGACGTTTTGCAGGTGGTGGTTGTTGTACTTCCTCTGTTGTTTCTTCACATTCAGCGTTCTCGGAATTATTTAACACATCGCCATTATCCTCGGAACTATTAAACCATTTACTAATCCAAGATCGCTGAGGTATTAAATCCGTTACCTTTGTAGCAACTTTTTTGACGAACGACTAAAAAAATTATTAATAACATTTATTTATTAAAATAGAAAATATTAATTTATTTTCTCCACTATTGAATAGTTCTTTTTCTCTTTCTTAATTATCATATAAAGGTCAACAACGATAATTACGCAATAAATCGATAAAGTAGTGGAAATATTAAAACATTTATATGAATTCAGGAAAATTAACTCAACTAATAAGAATCTAACCTATAATTCTAGAGAAACAATATTACTCTAATAAATTACTCTGAATTTAATTATTTCTTAAAATAAAATCAAAATTGAATATAGAAAATTATAAATTTACTCAATATTTAAATTACGACATTCTTGTAAATATGAAAAAAGTATCAAATTTTAATAAATTTTTATAAATTAAAATAAATTATTGACAAATAATTTTACAAAAATGTCTAAATCATTGTAAACGCCCCTCTCTCTCTCTCTCACACATGAAACATTTCATTGAACAGCGACAATTTTTTTTTTTATTACTATATAAAAATACATAATTATAAAATCCGACCCACTTGATTTTCCAAATTCTCAAAAAAGATCAAAACATATTACAACTGCTATATGAACAGTAAGTCAAGGTTAACATGCCTGAAATATGAGAAATTATCGCCACGCTCTGCTTTAAGATTGAGGTTATCAAATCTGCAAGCGTAACGTTTTCCTCTTTTTCCCATATTCATTTTTTTGTCAAATACATTCAAGACAAAAAATAAGAATTTATTGATAAACAATTTAAATACACATATTCACACACAAGATAAATTCGATCAATAAAAAGAAGCAAAGAAAAAAAAAAAAAAAAAAAATGATCCGTTTGCGGAAAATCAAGTTCGGTCCAGGTTGGGGGCCGGGGGAATGAAGGAAAAGAAAACGAAAGCCATGCAAAAATTTACTCACGTTGTTTGGATCGTATGGCTTTCCTCCATGTGACCGTCTTCCAGATACATTGTTACTCCCCTTGGCCATGATCGCACCCCTCACTTGTTACTAATTAACACGCGGTAATTGATTTAGACGTAATAATTTCATTCCAAATTGTCACTGCTGCACCACCGCGCGACTTAAAACGAGGCCACGAGAGAAAATATGGCCGCTCAACGTTTGCGCGCCAGCGCTCTCAACACACAATCACTCACTGAGGAAAAAAAAAAAAAAAAAAAAACCTATGAATTTTTTCTCATTTCAAAAATTCACTTAATTTAATTTCTCAATCAACTCATGACAGAAATTAATTATTTTATCAATTGAAATTAACATCTATTAAATGAAATAATAGTTTTATAATTATTTTCCCACGAACAACGTGCGGGAGAAACTAAACATTTCCGGAATGGCTCATCACTCAATGACGGTTTGAATTATTTCAAAATTGTTTCAACGATTTCTGAAAAAAAAACTTTTTCATTTAAATTTAAATTAATTATATTATTTATAAAATGATTTTCCTTCTCTTTTTTCTTAATTTTTAAAATAATCTGAATATTTCCCGAAATTTTATTTCGGAAAATCAAACCATTATTTACTTTTGAAAATTAGATTAACATTTTTTCATTTATTTAAATATTTCAATATAATTTGAATTTTTTAAATTAAAAATGTTTAATTATTGTTTATTTTTTAAAAATAAAATTTTAATTTTAATTTGACTAGCAGAACTTCCGGTTGTTTTGATTTTCCTATCTATTTTCTAAATAGTTCATGATGGACAAGTTTTGTTTACGCATGCGCAATGACAATCAAATTGAAATTTGCGCGAATATTTAAATCTCACGCCAATTTTGAATTTGCAACTTTTTTTTTTTTTAAATTAAAAAGTAAATTAAATAATGTTTTATAAATATTTAAATATTTGAGAATAAATTATAAAATAATTAAATTAAAATGTAAATTTATTTTTTAATTATTGAGCGAATTAAAGAAAATTTTTTCGGGAAGGGTCAATCCATTATATTTCGAATGAAGTCGTCGCTGACTAATTTTTAAAAATTATAATACTTTGCAGGAATGATTTTGAAGTTATCAAGATCACGAAATGAAAAGAATTTTATTAAAATTTTAATTATTTATTGCAAAATATGAATTTAAAGTTTATGAGGTGCTGAAAACTGTCAATTTTTTAGCCATTGGAAAATATGCAAAAAAAAACAGAATTTACCATAAAAATAAAAAGAAATTGTTGTAATTTACTAAGAATGAATAAATTTATCATTATCAATTGATACAATTATTTAAATATGTGAAATAATATATAAAATATGATTTTCAAGTTCGCCTGTCAAATAACCTAAATTTGCAAATTTCATCTATTAAATGTGAGAAAGAGAAGTCATTAAATTGAAAAAAACCTTACCAAATATAAAGTACCTGTGACTAACTTTTAGTTTTTCTTAGCACTTTTTTCCTTTTTTCTTCATAAATGTGAAATAAAAAGCAATAAAAATTGGCACTTTGCTTATTTTCACTATTTTCAAATGTAAATAACTTTCTTGGAGAAAACAGAAAAATTACAAAACTTGGGCAATATCTAATTGATCACTAACTACAAGCACTGGAAAAAAATTCGCTTTGGTCCCGAAGATACTTTTTGAGATAATTATGTTTAAATTTTTCACAATTTTTATCAGGTTAATGCATGTGATTTTTATAAAATTGAAGTTAGTTCAAAATGTTTAACCAATAAAACCTAACTTCGTCCTTAAAAAACTACATGTATTAACCTGATAAAAATTGTGAAAAGTTTAAACTTAATTATCTCAAAAAGTATCTTCGGGACCAAAGCGAATTTTTTTCCAGTGCTTGTAGTTAGTGATCAATTAGATATTGCCCAAGTTTTGTAATTTTTCTGTTTTCTCCAAGAAAGTTATTTACATTTGAAAATAGTGAAAATAAGCAAAGTGCCAATTTTTATTGCTTTTTATTTCACATTTATGAAGAAAAAAGGAAAAAAGTGCTAAGAAAAACTAAAAGTTAGTCACAGGTACTTTATATTTGGTAAGGTTTTTTTCAATTTAATGACTTCTCTTTCTCACATTTAATAGATGAAATTTGCAAATTTAGGTTATTTGACAGGCGAACTTGAAAATCATATTTTATATATTATTTCACATATTTAAATAATTGTATCAATTGATAATGATAAATTTATTCATTCTTAGTAAATTACAACAATTTTTTTTTATTTTTATGGTAAATTCTGTTTTTTTTTGCATATTTTCCAATGGCTAAAAAATTGACAGTTTTCAGCACCTCATAAACTTTAAATTTATATTTTGCAATAAATAATTAAAATTTTAATAAAATTCTTTTCATTTCGTGATCTTGATAACTTCAAAATCATTCCTGCAAAGTATTATAATTTTTAAAAATTAGTCAGCGACGACTTCAGTCGAAATATAATGGATTGACTCGGAAATATTCAGGTATTTGCTGATTTTTATTTTACTTTACGACCGCAAATATAAACTTGTACTATATTTCGATCATCACCCGAATAAATAAATCGTTGTAGTTTCTCAACAAGTGTACAATTAATTAAATTATCCAAAGGACTATCTGGACTATTTAAATCAATTACCAAAGCATCGAATTGTTTTCCAGCTTCAAAATTTCCAATTTTTTCATCTAATGAAAGACCTGTTTAAAAAAAAATTAAAATTAAGATTAATTTTATTTTAAAATATGAAAAAAAAAAAAATTACAATACTTACATGTTGCACCGCCAAGTGTTGCTAAATAAAACACATCTTTATAATCCAAAGAATTATAATTTAATTTTATAAATGAGAGATTATTTGTTGCTGTAAGCGCAGCTCTCATCGAGTCTAATATCGATGGACTTTGTCCTCCTCCAACATCTACAAAATTCAGAATAATTAATTTTAATTTCCTTTTTAAGCAAAAATTATTAAATATTTAATATAATAAAATTAGTAAACAATAATTAAATTTCGTTTTTTAATTTCTTTTTCAGCAAAAATTGTAATAAATTTAATAAAAATGATGAATTATTAAATTAATAATTTTATGTTTAAAATAAATTAATAAAAAAATATTTTACCTGTTCCAAGTCCAATTTTAATGCCCTTTGCTTTTAATTTTCGAACATCGCAAATGCCACTTTTTAAACAAGCATTTGAAGAAGGACAATGAATAACAGAAGATTCCCTTTCTTTTATAATATTAAGCTCACTATCTGTTAAATAAATTCCATGTGCTAAAATAGTCTATGAAAAAAAATTTCTGTTTTTTATTACACTGTAAAAATTTTATTTTCGAAATTTTTACTGTAAAACAAAAATTTTGTTTAGTATTTATACCTTCTTTGTAAGAAGACCCGCAGCATCGTAAACTTTTGCATACGATAAATATTCATTAAAAACTTCGTTGACTGCTTTTACTTCATCCATGTTTTCAGAAATATGTGTCTAAATTTTTTTTTTGTAAATTAAAAGAATTTTAATTTTAATTTAAAAAAATTGATTAAATTGAAATTTTTCGAAGAATAAATTTATTTCTATTACCTGTATAGGAAGATTCATATCGTTTGCTAATTTCCCTAATTTTTTCATGAGATCCATATCACAGCTCAATGCAAATCTAGGAGTTAATATTGGTTTCACGAGCGGATTCTAAAATATTTAATTTTAATTATTTCAATCTTACTTTAAAAAATTAGTTTTTCTATATTAACATAATTAAACCAAAAATGAAATAATAAAACTAAATTTTTCTAAAATTATTATATAATAAAAAATTAATTTTTACTTTTAATTTTTCAACATCAGAAATAAATTTAATTGTATCGGCAATAGAATCTTTTGTTGTTTCGCAATAGCCATCATTACGAGGGACATTCATATTTAATTTTCCAATAAAAGCACGTTGACCATATTTTACAGCTTTTTGTGCAAGAATTAAAGAAGCCTCTTTATAAAGTGAAGCAAAATAACAAACTGTTGTTGTTCCCATAGTAAGAGTTCGTTTCTGTATTTAAAAAAAAAAAGTTTAAAAAAATAAAAAACTTGAAAGTTATTTTTTAGAAAAACAATTAATTTTTTTTAAATTACCACAACTGCGTCCAATACTTCATCAGCAAATTCATTATTGACAAATTTTCTTTCCAATGGAAATGTATATTTTTCGAGCCAATCTAACAGAGGTGAATCATAGCCAAGACCAAGATTTGGCAACTGAACGGCATGAAAATGACAATCAACGAAACCGGGAATTAAAAATTGTCCTGGTTTCAAACGTATAATTGGTTCAATTGTTAAATCTTCAAGTTTTGGATTTGGAAGAACGCTGCTAATCTAATCACAAAAATATTTTCTCATTAGTTTTAAATAAAAAATAAAATCATTACATTTATTTATATTATACTTACAATTCCATCTTGAATTATTACAGCAGCTTCATCAAGTATAATTAAATCTTCATTTTTATTCGAATGAATTATTGGTCCCACGAATGTTTGTTGTTTCATCTTTAAATAGAAATCTGAAAAAAATTACAATTAAATGCGATAATTTATTCAAAAAAAAAAAAAGGATTTGGTTTTATGGTTTTTATTTGAATATTTGTTTTTAGCTCACTTTTTAAAATTATCTTCTATTAAAAATATGTAAAAATAAGTCGAGACAATATTATAACCTTAAGGAGTAAATGCCTGACTGCGATAATAAAAAAAAAAAAAAATTATCTCTTACGTGTGCTGTAAATAAGAGAAGACGAGAATAGAAAGAGACAAATAATAAAATTCCACGCAACTGTTTAAAAAATATTCAAATTAATAAGTAGAAAAAATTAAAAATTTTTTTAAATGAAAAATAATTCCTAATAAATAGTAAAAATAATTTAATAATAGAGAAATATAATTAAATTTCAATATAAATAAATATTTCTCAACTATTAAAAGAAGTTAATTTAAAAGAAATATTTTTTATATTTTTGAATTAAATAAGGGATTTAGAAGCGATTTGTTTTCTATGACAACAATTTTATTGATTTAACAAATTTTAAAATCAACTTCTTCGTTTAGATCCACAACACACGTCGTATATTAAATATTTAAAAAGAAAACTATTTTTAAATTTTTATTTTTATTTTCATTCCAAAATTTTGTTAAATTAACCACGTATATAATAATGGGTGATAAAAAAGAGAATCGAAATGGAGATACAAGACTTGAAAGATCAAGAAAATTGGAAAAAGTGGCAACAGAGCCTCAAACTGAATATTTAGATATGGATACAGATGAAGAAGAATTTGGAAGACAAGGTGAATATTATTTTTTTTATTTTATATAAATATTTAAATAAATATTTAAATAAATATTAATACATAAATATATTTAAATAAAAATTTATAATTTCGTAATTAATTGATAAAAAAAAATACGCTAATCATTTTCAAAGCATTTAACTTTTCTGTTAAAAAGAAATATTTCAATTAGAATTTTTTTTAAGTTTATAATTATTAATGATAATATTATTAAACAAAAAAAAATCTCGATTATCATTTAAATAATATGAAAAAATTATCTTCATTTTCTAGTTTTAAACTAGAACAATAAATTAATGAAATAAAATAATTTACCCTTGAAATTATAATTTGTTGTGTTATAGAAACTCCCGAGTCAGAAGATAAGGAACCTCTTGAACCGGAAAAACCCGTATTTACTGATGAGGAATTGAATACGTTGGTCAGTAGAACTCATGCGTAACCGTTGTTTTTTGAATTAAATATAATTCAAAAACTGTGGAAAAAATAATTCAAATTATTTAGTTGAAGATTTTTTTTTTTTTTTAATTAATAATTTTAAAAAAAAATACAAAATTTCTTTTTCCACTTTTAGGTAAAATATGTACAAGATTTAACAATTTTACCTTCTTTATCCGAATTTCATTGGAATGAAGAATGTTGTTTTATAATTCGTGAATATTTTCAAGAACCAAGAAATACAATTTTAACAATTTTTTTTCATAAAAGTGAATTAAAGGCGTCGTTAAATTTTCCTATGAAAACTAGCGATGGACTTACTTATTTTTTACGTTCACCATGGCAAATTTATACTGTTGATAATTTTCAATCAACTGTCATTTTTGGCACAATCAATGAAAACACTGAGAATACATTATTAAAATTCATGGAAAATATTTATGCACCTGTGGCATTTAACAGCAATGAATGGCCCTTTAGTATCCTTTTTTCAAAAATTGAAAATCTGCTGTTTTTTTTTTTTTTTAAATGTTTTCCTATTATTGAAATTAGTAACAAAGGACAAAGTCTTCTCATCATTACATGATTTCATTATTTGCCTCACTGAACAAGTTTATAAACCAATGGGTCTTACAATCCTTTATGTCCCTCGAGAAGGTCTGAAAATTAAAAAAGAAAAATTAGACGAATTTACATTTCTAACGAATGAACCTGAAAAAGTGAAAAAAGATAATAATGATGACGATGATGATGAGAAAAAATTAAATGATAGATTAGAAAAAATTGCACGTATTTGGATTAAACAAATTCGTGAGGCTTTAATTGCATTGCCAATTATTCGAAAAGAATTAAATGATATAACAGATGAATTCGACTACTGGCGTCATAAACGTATTTTCTTTTAATTTTTTTCAACAAATAATAATAAAATAAAATTAAATTAAATTAATTACTAATTTAATTTTTTTTTCAATAATTATTTTCAGACGATAATCTTAGTTGTATTTTAAATCAAATGTCAAATAAAAATGTGATTACGATTATTTTAAAATTGGAAAATCTACGATCAACTAGTATAAAACAATTTAAATCATTATTAGAAGAAATTAAATTAAAAATAGAAGAAGCTTCAACAAATATCATGTATTTAAATATTCTACTAGAAGCATGTAATGAAATACAAAAACCAAATGATATTGAAATTCATATTTCGAAAATTATACTTTTACTAATATTCATACAAAATGTATCTCCATTTTATAAAATAACGTATGAATTTATTCTATAATTATTTTTATATTGAGATGAATTTATATAAAAAATTAAATGAAATTATTAATTAAAGGAAAATTGTGAAATTAATAAATTTATCTTTTTTATATTAAAGGGAAAACATTGAGGTTTTATATCAAGCGCTAAGTATACGAATAATAAATTTTTTAAAAGATTACGTTGAATTGGAAAATATTTTTCAAGACAAGGCACTTGAAACAAAATTAATGATTGAAACCTGCATTTTTTGTTGTAAGCGCTACTTTGAAATTTACGATCAGGTAAAATTTAATTTTTTTTGTGATTTTTCTTGCGAAAATTGATTCTTTTTTTTTGCAGATTCTATTGGAATGCAATGATCAATTTGAAAATTGTAATTTAGATAAAGAGAATATTTTTAAAAATGTGGATTCTTTTCTAAATAGATGTAATGATGTCATTGAAATTTGCAATGCCTCTGTCGTCTTTAGCAAGTTAATAAATTTAATTTAGTAATTAAATAAATTTTCTGAAAAAAAATTTCACTTATTAGTTATAAAAAAGAATAAATAAAAAATTGATATACTTTACAGAGTTGGAGGTCCAATAATGTTTGGTGGTACAAAAGGAAAAATATATGATATGTATCATGATGATCTTCAAAATTCATTTGCCATTATTTTAAATAAAATTAAAGAACCATGTAATTTTGCACTTGACATCACTAATATTTCTTGGTTTCAATATATGACAAAATTCAGACACGAAGTCATTGAATTAGAAAATATGTTAAAAAACATGATCAATGATATGTTTGATGAAATTCAAAATGTTGATGAAGGTATCGAAGTTTTGTATTCCCTTCAAAAATTTCAGCAGAGACCAGATCTTGAAATTTTGTTGAATGACAAATGGATGGAGGTAATATATATTTCCTGAAAATAAAATTCAAATTAAAATTCTATTTCGTAATTTAAGTTTTATTTTTCGAAAATTAATTAAAAAATATTTTTGGGTTTTGTTTTCCTTTTTTTTTTTTTTAATAATAATTAATTTCTTTCTTTATAGGTATGGAAAATATTTAGTAAAGAATTAAAAAATTGTTATTCAACGCTTCATGATAAGAAAAATTTGGAAGAATTTAACATTATATATTTAAATAGACAATATTTAAAAATGATAAATACATCTGATTGGCTTGGTGATTGTGATATTCAATGGTAATTAATTTAGAAAAAAAAAAATATTATATTTTTCCTTAATTATAAAAAAATGAAATTAATATTTTTACAGGGATATTTTAAAAATTTACAAGGAAATAATAAATGTTATTTCAATGTCAAAAAATCAGGATGAGAATCAAAATTAAATAGAGAAATGAATATAACTACGAATTTTGTTTTTTTTCTTCTTTTTTTTATAAGAAAATTCAATAATCATTTCTATATTTTCTTTTCTTGGTACATCGTAGACCCGTATTTTACATACACATTGCGTATATTTTAAATAAAAGAAAAATTTCTTATAAAATATAAAATATACTACAATATGATTCTTAAATAAATAAAAAATTAAACTACATTTAACGGTAAGTCATTGATAAAATTGTCGAAGAACTTATATAACAAATTTGTAAATTAATTACTTAAAAATAAAGTTAAAACTTACATTTTTTCTATATCATGGAAGATAAATAACATAAATTAAAATTTGTTCATATATATTTTTCTGGCAAATAATTTGAATTAAATTTTAATTCGTTTTCTGTATTTTTCTTTCGAAATTCTGTTTTTTGAACAAAATATTTAAATTCAAATTGATTATGCATTGTTTCATAAAAATAATAAACTTTTATAACAAAGTTTCTTTAGTAAATACTTAATAATAAATAAACTATTAAGTATATATAAATAATTACTTATAATAATTTTAAAATATAAGTCATGGTTCTATATCTAATTTTCAAACTTTTTGTTCTGCTGCTTTTAAATTCTAAATTTTAGATTTTCTATAAGTCTACAAGTTACATATATATGTATATATACCTAAGTATATATATATGAAATACTTTTCAGCAAATACTACTTTTTACATATTTCTATTTCACATAGTATTCTCTTCTAGTAGAGACAAAGTTTATTTTTGCGAGAAAATCATTTCTCTAAAGAGAAATAATTCATTTTGAAAATTTCTAATTCTATTTAAAACGATGGCATAAGATTTTTTTTTTAAAGTACAGTTCACCTATAAATAAAAAAAATTAATTTGAAAATTTGCATTCTTTTTTCAAAATAATTTTAGAAAAATAAAGCAAAAAATTTTTTTTTCAGAAATTGTAAAATATTTTCCATTTTAAATTAAAAAGAAAATAAAAATCTTTTTCACAGGTGAACTATCTTGTAATTGTTGCTTAATATTTCAAGCAAAGTTTGTAATCTACAAATTTTTGTCATTTTTAAAACTATGTTTTTTTTGTATTTTGAAATACGTATATAATTTTCTATTGTTTAAGTAGAGGTATTAGAACACACAACAATCGAAGGTACAACTTGATTTATGCATTAATTAACATTTCATATTAATTATATTCAAGTGTCTTCAATCACATTTTCTAAACTAATTTGGTATTTTATTTTAAAAAAATAAAGCCTTCTAATTAGTAAATATTATGCTATTGTAAATATCTTGCTTTACTTTCCTTGTGTTGGTCCTCGTTTTTGAAATATGAGGAAAAAGACTTTCATATTATATAAATTCATTGTCAATTAAAAATTAATTAATTAAAAACATAACAATTATTACTAATTTTGAAAAGCACCGGTTTCTTTCTTTTTTTCATAATTATATAATAATAATAATAATAATATTTATATCTAAATATAAATGCAGAAGATATTTATAAGTCTATATATATATGTACAATGTCTTTCATCTCCTATGAGCAATTCTGCTATAAATTAAATAAAATAATATTATTGCAGAATGCTATTTTATCACATAATTTATTCTGAGTATTGCAATTGTAAGTTTTGAAAATTATCTTTCCATTAAAATACTCTGTTTTTTCTATTATAAGTTAATATTTAAAGCATGAAGAATATAATTTCTTTCAAGTATTTTCTTTAAGTTTGTTTTTTTTTGTAACTTTGATTATTTTATTTTTCAATAATCATTTGATCAATCCTGAAGTATAATTTTTAATTTCCTAAAAAAATATTTCATTTATTCCTTGTGCTTTTCTTTTCTACTTTTCTCATGAAAAATAATTCACTAACTCTGTTTATATATATATTTTAGATTGAAAACTTTCTTTTCAAAAATACATTTCTGAAAATGCATTTTAAAGACCTTTTGTCTCACACAACGTTTAAAATACAAACGTTATTATATTTTATGTTAAAAAATATTCCAATATTGTTAAAAATCAAATTAAAATATAAACTTTCAAGTTTAAAAATATTTCAGAGAAATCTTTTTAAAATTAATATTGGAATTCTTTTAACTATTTTTTCTATATTTGTTTTCACATTTTTTTTTCTGGCCGTAGACTTTTAGAATTGTTTGTCTTTGCATTAAATATGATGCTCTATTGTATATGTAACATTTGGTATATCGTCTTAGGAACTGTTAAGAGTATTATTAATAAATCAAAAAATATTTTAAGAGATATTTCTGTGCATCTCTAAACAATAAAATCGCTGTTGGCACAACATTGCTTAAAGGTAAGACAGATTTTTTTTTTTTTTTTTTGGTATCTCGACAATTGTAATATTTGCCGTCATTTCTTTTCAATATATAAATATATACTTGGAATGTTTTTACCTTAATAAAGTCACTAAATTTTCATGACTTGACAAAACGGAAAAACTTGGAATATTTGAAGGAATCATAAGCTCACTATCGGAACTGCTAACTGAATCAGAACTAGTGGAAGGATATTCTTCTTTTCGAGCCGGTGGTAGGAGAAAAAGAAGCGAAAGTGCTATCAACATGTGCCAAGCACTGTGAACATACTGAAAAATTTTTTTTTTAATGATTAAATAAGTTTATTAATTATTATTATGAATTATAATAATTATTGAATTATATATAATTTAATAAATATACTTACGCTGTAATTTTCTTTAGTTTCGACTAAACTAAACAGAAAAACTCCAATGCATGCTAAAAATAAACCCACAATGAATTTCCATGTGCTTTCGGGTTTTTTACATTTTTTTGTCTTGATACAACCATAAATATACGACAAAATCTGAAATTAAATAATTTAATTATTAAGAATAACCATTGTAAATTGATAAACGTTTAATAAAATTTAAAAATTTACTGGCAATAAAACTCCAATTCCCAATGGAATTAAAATACTAATAAGACCGGTTCTATTTGATTCAACACTAAAGGCAATTATTAAAGCTCCAAACATGTGACATACAGAGAGAAAACGAGTTGGCAATTGTGCCATTGATACTAGAGTTACCCAAAATGAGAGTATACTCGAGAAAAAGTCACTATACTGCAACACCTATAAAAATTACATTTTTTTAAAATTAAAACTAAATTTTAATATTTTTAAAAATTCATAAATTTTTCTAAAAAAAAAATGACTTAATTAAATCACCTCATATTTGGCAATGCAGTAAGTTAAAAATTGTTGATCACAAGCGTGATAAAATGTCGAAAACATCATGGTGGACATATAAACCAGGCCTTCTGTGTATAATTTTCGTTTTATTGCTAAAACAATAGCTGGCAGGAAAAATGCATTGCTTAATGTCAATAATAATGTCATCAATAAAACGGATGATTCAAAATTAACATCTGATGAATCAGTACATCCCCAACCTTTATATCCTAAAATATTAAAATTATTATTTAAAAAAATGAAGAATACAATTTAATAATAATTTACCTACCTCCAAAGCAACTACATGAAGCATATGCTAAAAGATCTTTATAAGTTTCTTGACAAACGCCATGTTCACCACACGGATGATTATCAACAGGAACACATTGTGTGATTTTTATATTTAGGCAAACTAAAATTTCCTCCATTTCACATCTAACTGGTTGTCTAAATTAAAAAACATTAAAAATATTAAAAAAACAAATTTAATAAATTAAAAATTGTTTTTCGTCAATTTTTTAATTACATTTTAAATAAAAAATTAAATTAAAAAAAAATACCTTTTAAAATATATTTTTAAAAATTATTTTTAAAAAATTTATACCCATTTGAAGAACATTTGGCTTGTAAAGCAATGTACCAGGTGTCTGGCATTGGATAAGGAATCATTATAGAACCATTATGTTTTCCATGTGATGATAAATTTAAAGTTAATTTCTTGTCATCGCAGATAATCTTTCCTTTTATTCTTTTTGGTTTTCTCCCTTGTCTAATGCATACTATTACCTCTATCGATTGTTCTGTTACCAACTGAAAAATTTTCATTCAATTTATATCAATTATAATTACAGGTATAAAATAACAATAAACATACCTTTTCCACTTCCAAATGAATGTTAATTACTAAAATACCCCCAATGTCAATATGAGGTAAAATATCAAACTGCGTAATTACTGGATAATCGTCTGTTAAAATAATCCATGAAGTTAACCATTCTTGACCCTTTAAATACAAAAGAAATAAAAAAATGTAATTCTTTAATTACTTAATAATATGCTAGTATTATAACAAAAATAAATAATACCTGTAATAAATAGACATTTGAAAATGTTTGTGGATGTTTAACTCTAGCAAGCTGAAATCTTGGTATACATGAATCTTCCGGTTCAATATCTTCCTCTTTGTGAAATGTCAAAGCTGTTGGTTGTAATAAATTTTTTTGATCATCAAAAGAATGTATTCTATTTTTGTTAAAATTATCCGCATATAATTCTGTTAATGATTCTTTTGGCAAATAAGATGCGCTCAATAGAGTTTTTACTATTGATTTGTCTATTACTTTTACAGGACAATCTGAAAATTATTGTAATTAATTAAAAATTTAGAAAATATATAATAAAAAAAATATATATAGAAAAAAATATGTAACACATACCACTTGTTGTAACTTCAACATTAAAATTTATTGTTGTATTTGAAATGACTAGTAAATAATAATAACTATCTTCATATGGCGATAGTTCGGTAAATGTATATGTATCTGAATTTGTTAAATTTCTCATTGAACTTGGATGAGTGTGATTAAAAACAGGTAAAACACGAGCTTCCAATGACAATCCAAGAATACAAGGTATTCGTAGATCATTATCAATTTTTCGTATGAATTTACAGTTCCATATTTGAACTTGAAAATGCCAAGTTCCTGAAGGAATAAATATTCTGAAAAAAAGGAATTTTATATAATTGGAAAAATTAATATATAAATAAAAATTAATTTTTACAAAATTTTAAAATAATTATTCTCCTACTTATAATAAGAAATTGCCTCGCTTGTTTTCATCGTTTTTTGATAACCCAAGGGAATATTTTGTATATCGCCCATTTGATTCCAAAGTGCCACTGATCCAATACTGTAACGACATTTGTGACCAAGTCCCTAAAATTTTAATTCTTAATTAAATTTAATTTACGAAATTTAATTCTTAATTCAATTAAAAATATTTTCTTTTTCTTCGTTATTCTTATGTTTTTTTTTTTTTTTTTTAATCATAATCGGATAGGCAAAAAGAATTTTTCGCCACTGGCGACATTAAATATTTACAATTTTTTTTAGGACAAAATGCCCAACAACCAAAAGCAATTTACGATCTTTAATGCGTCTTAATGGTGCCAATAGGATTAAAGTCGGTGTAATTTTCAATTTGTGGAATTTCCCCAAAACTGTCTGTAATATAAATTGCAAAGCACCATGGGGTGTCATCCTTAATGACAGGGATTATATATAAAGATTAAAAAAGTAAATCCCCCAAATTCGAAAATTAAAATTTAATAAGTAAAATTAGATTTTAATTATTAGTTCCATTAGGAAAATTACTATTTACTAATAATTATTGTAAATTTCAAAATTAAATTATTTCCTCATAAGTCAAGTGGTTTTCAAATAAATAACAAAAAAAATAAATAATAGCTAATTATTAACTAATAATTAAAGTTGACAAAATATTTACCTGTTGTTGTACTTTTTCATCCCAATGTGACAAATATGCACCAACAAACCAATCACCAGGTAAAGGACTGTAAACAGGTATAACAGTAACGACTTTTGGTTCAAAAGTCGTCCAGGTAGACATGGAAAATGAATGATTTCTATCTGGAACTACATGTGGAGGAAAAGTTGCATTCCTCTCTGAAATAATTGGATAACTACCCCATTGTAAATATCTAGAAAATAGAATTTTTTTTTTTTTTAATTCAAGACAATTTTAAATAAAAAATTAATACTTACATATGAACTTGTCTCGAAGGACATTCTTTGCCATCCATAAATGCGGCAAATTGCCAAGTAGCCCTGAGAACTTCTTTTGGTACGGAATAATGAAACATTGCAACATCTATATAATTTTTAAAAGAATGTAACGATCCCTCTTGACTTGCTTGAGGTTCAATTGATTTAACACCTAAAATTAAAATTATTATTATTAGAAAATATTCACCAAAAATTATAAACAAGATTTTATAAAAAAAAACGAAATCTATAATATTAAAATACAACAATAAATCCTCTTTATAAAATAAATAGTAAGTATTTTAATTAAAAACACAAAATTATCAAATTGTAAATAATGATTTAAATATATTTTTTTTTATTTGACCTGAATTAAAATTCACAGAATTATACTCACATTTTATGACAAACAATAGAAATAAAACGTTAAATAAAATAGACAATAAATAAGAGATCATTTTGTGAAATCTCTTAAATTAAAAAAATCTATTCATTCAAAAACATTTAAATTGATATGTAAAGAAATTTTTTTTTTTTTGTGATGAAAAAGAAACAAAGAGCAGAAATGTTTAGAACAGAGTTCATAAAAAATTATATAGACTACCAAACTCAGTTATAAATAAAATAAAAATTTTTAATTTTCAAATGACAATGATAATTGTAAATTTGATAAAATTACAATATTTTAATATTTAATTTATTACGTTTACAAATTATTTTTTAATTATATTTAAATAATAAATTTATTCTTAGGGTTCAAACACCCCTCTTAATTTGTATTCTATTGTTCATTGTCCATAATAGATAAATTTGATTGGCTTTTGCTTTAATGATATTTTGAATTTAGCCAATCAGGTGTCAAAGAGGTGTGGCTGTACCTTAATGACATTGCCATCGTGAGCGCCATCTATCCAAGGTTATTTATCGACGCTTCCCCTCTAATGCAACTCAGTGTTTACGGTGAGTCAGAGTGGAGATGTTTGTTGTAGAGCGGTTCAGTGTAGATTTTCAATGTTGTAAATTATTTTTGTGAATAAATTATTTAGCTAGTTTGTGTGTTTTTTCCAACTGCTGAAGAATTGTTGAATGTGTAGTTTGTGAATATAATCAAGAAGTGTAAGAGAAAATTTGGATTATTGAGCTTGCTTTGTAGTTTGTTTTGCGAGGACAAATTCATGGTTGTTCGTCCTTTTAAACACTTTACGCTTCCTTAAAAATTCGGAGTCCCTTTTTTTTACAATTTACATGAAATCTTTTTAGAGTGTTAAGTGAACAATAATGATAGAATAATATCCAGTGTTATTTTATCAAAACAAGAATTCAATGTTTTGTTAGGAAAAAGTGAACCATTACTTTTATAACCTGACTACGTAAGCAGAATTGCATTGATGTGTCAATGCTTCTTTGACTAAGTTAGAAAGGTGAGTTTATTTTATTAAATTTAGTTTTTTTTTTTATATTATTTTATTTCTTATTTTTGTATTTTCAAATTCGGAATTTCTTTTTCAATAACAAAGAACGATCGCCATAACTTGTTGTTTCATTTTGTCAGAAATGTTTTTATTTTCGTTTTTTTAAACATTTTCATGTTTATAGTTTTTTTTTTTCTTGAATTAGGATGAGATTTTGATATGATTTTACTGGATTATATTCGTTTGGCTTTTCAGCAAGGTTGTTTCTGACGTTTCATTCTTTGTTGGATAACTGTTATCGTACCTTGTCAGTGGAGCGTACGTATTGTTAAAAAAAAAAATATGTCTTCTCCCTGTGTAATTTTAATGAAATAGTTGTATACAAAAAGGAAGTTAATTTTAAAAATATTTCTATCTATTTTAGATGATGATGTGAGAATAATCATGGTAAAAAAAAATTATATTTTGACATGAACAATTTTTTTTCATAAATGAAATAAATTAAAAAAACAATGTATAGTATTGATTGTAATTATAAATATATAGAATTTAAATTGTTAAACACAAATATATTTGAAGGCAATTGGGAAAACTGGTAAATATCTGAATTTATTTATCGGGGAAAAAATCGGCAATTTTCTTTTGTACAAAACAAATTTTATTATTTTTAATTTTCAATAAAGTAGACCGAATTTTTGTTGAATAAAATTAGACAAAGAAATGAAAAATAAACGCTTGCCTTTTTAATTTTCATTTTAGATTTCAACAATTGGCAAATTTCGTTGGAGGAATTTTTCTTTATGAAATAATATTCTATAATTTGTTTTTGTTTCTTTTTTTTTTACAGTTTTTACACTTAGATCATCACAATGTGGACTTCACAAAGTACTAATTCAACCACTTCAAGTGCGACAACTCAAAATTCGTCCAATGCTAAAAATTTACGCACTTTGGGAATGACTTCTGCAATTAGCGTGGCAGAACCAAAACCAAGCGATATTACAAGAACAAATGAATTAAAGGAAGCTCTTAAACCATACAATGTTTTTGAATCTGAAGAAGAATTAAATCACAGAATGGAAATTTTAAGGTAAATATAAGAAATAATGAATATAAAAAAGAGGTTTGAAAGGAAAAAAAAAAAAAACTAACGTTTCTTTAAAATTTTCAGCAAATTAAATGCTTTAGTTAAGCAATGGATAAAAGATATTAGCATTGCTCGCAATATGCCAATAAATTGCGCTGAACAAGTTGGAGGAAAAATTTATACATTTGGATCCTACAGGTTAGGTGTTCATCACAAAGGAGCCGATATTGATGCACTTTGTGTGGTACCACGACATATTAATAGAACTGATTATTTTACATCTTTCTTTGATTTATTAAAAGGTCAATCAGAAGTAACAGAATTAAGAGTGAGTATAATTTTATTTTTTTTTTCATTTAGAATATTTTTATATTTAGTTCTAATTTTTATTCTAATTACAGGCTGTTGAAGAAGCATTTGTACCAGTTATTAAAATGAATTTCGATGGAATTGAAATTGATATGCTGTTTGCTAAATTGGATCTGAAAAAAATTCCCGATACTATGGTATGTTTTTAGATAATTTATTTAGTAAATTTTATTCTTTTTTTTTAGTTCTAAAGATAATTTTTTTGTTCACAGGATCTTAGAGATGATACTCTTCTTAAAAATCTCGATCCAAAATGCGTGAGAAGTCTTAATGGATGTCGAGTAACGGACGAGATACTTCGTTTAGTACCTAATATAGAAAATTTCCGTTTGGCATTACGAGCTATTAAATTATGGGCAAAAAGTAATTATCTTTTTTTTCAATGTAAAAAAAATTTTAATTTTTTTAAAATTAATTTGTTATTAAATGAATTTTTCTCTTCTTTTTCAGAGCACGGAATTTACAGTAATGTATTAGGATATCTCGGTGGTGTTTCATGGGCAATGTTGGTAGCACGTACATGTCAATTATATCCAAATGCAGTTGCAGCAACATTAATAGAAAAATTCTTTCTTGTATTTTCACAATGGACATGGCCACAGCCAATTCTTTTAAAGCAACCCGATAATGTTAATTTGGGTTTTCCAGTATGGGATCCAAGAGTTAATGTTGGCGATAGATATCATTTAATGCCAATAATAACGCCTGCTTATCCTCAGCAAAATTCAACATTTAATGTTTCAATGTCAACAAGAACAATAATGCAAGATGCATTTGAAAATGGATTATCATTGACTGAGGATATAATAATGGGCAGAGCAACATGGGAAAAATTATTTGAACCGCCAAATTTTTTCAGTAAATATAAACATTATGTTATCTTACTTGCAAGCAGTTTACAAGCTGACGATCAATTGGAATGGTGTGGTCTTGTTGAATCGAGAATTCGTCATTTAATTGGACAATTAGAGAGACATCCAGCAATAACATTGGCACACATTAATCCCGAAGCGTATCCACCACTTGAACCTGAAAGCGATAAACAATGTTCAATGTGGTTCATTGGTTTGAGCTTTGCAAAAAGCGAAAATTTAAATGTTGATCTCACATACGACATTCGAAATTTTGTCGATACGAGTATGTATATTTTTATATATTTATTTATTTTTTTTTTTTTACTGATTTTTACAGACTTGATTTTAATTTTTATTTCTATTTTTAGTTTACCGACAAGCGGATCAGAATAATTCATTTAAAGAGGGAATGCTTATTGAAGCAAAACATGTGAAGAGGAAGGATTTAAGTACCTATGTTCCTGGAGTGTTGCTTAAAAGGGAAAAGAAGGTAATTATTAAAATTCAAAGGTTTTTTTCTTCTTTTTTTGAATTTTTAAAATAGAAAAATTATCTTCAGCAGGTTTCCGGTTTGCAAAGAAACGGAAGTATTGATGGAATCTCGCCTAGAAGTCAAGGTATTCTTAACAGAAAGCGATTGTCTGATCAAAATACTGATAATCTCAGCAAAAAAAGAAAAACACTCGAACCCGAACAGCAAATAACACAGGTAATTAAAAAACTTTTTTTTTCTTTTTTAATTTATATTTTACCCTTTTTTTAAATAATTTTTTAATAATTTAAATTTTTCACAGGGTGAAGATGGATCGTTGGTTGTGAATTGCGGTGACGATAGCAATTCTGGATTCAGTTTAGATGAATACAAGCAAAATTTAACGTCTACAAAAGATGTTAGTCAAGTTCAATGTTTGCAAAAGACGAAAGTTTAATTGATTGCATTTTTTAAATTAATAATGATTAATTTAATAATACAGGAGGGACCTGCAGGTGGGTCTGCCGTGGCACAGGAAGGATTTGTGTGCACTTGACCGCAACTTGATAAAACAACTCAACGACGAACGAAGTCATATCCTTTGCTTACATGTTTGGAACGTAAAGACTTCTCGCACAATCATCCACTGCCCACTGTGTAAGTTTTCAACAACAACTCAATTTTTGGTGACGATCAAAGTCAGTTATAGTTAATTATTAAAAAAAAAAAAACAAAACAAAAATAACAGAATAACTAGAAAAGTCAGCAGCGAATTTATAATTCCGTAATATTGACAATTTATTTGGATGTTTCACTTGCATCCAAAAAACAAATCGCCTGCATTAGACTTTTATACTTTAAAGTTATAATTTCTGAAAAAAGTTTTTTTTTTGCATTCAATTGCAATTCGTCAAGTATGAGAGTTATGAATGTTTAATTTCCACGGAATATAGAGACGTTGAAACAAAAAAAAAAGTGGTATAGAGATTAAATGAAGGTAATAGGAGATAAAACAAAAAAAAATTAAAAAAAAAAAAAAATTGAAAAGAAAAAAATATTTAAAGGTTTTTATAAGAACCTTCGAAAAATAATTCTATGTATGTATTCGTGTATTTCATTTAAAGATGACTTGTCAAATTTGTATATTTGTTATCCTAAGGAGAAGCATCTTTAGATGAAATTATTATTTTTTTTTTATTTTGCTCTCGATTTTTTGTATATAATTTAAATTTAGCGTTTATTTGCCAAAATGATTCTTCTTTTTTTTTCTCGCTTCGCGGTGTTTAGGACTATTTGAACAATGATGTCTTTTGATAAGATATTTCTGTCACTAATTTTTCGGTAGAATGTCCATTTAAAGCACATTTATGCTTGCAACTATAGCTCATATATATATATATATATTCGCATTAGGATGCTGAGTCTTGTATCATTTGAGATCAGCAGAATTTCAAAAGTAGGCTTCTATCTCATAGGTCAATTTAATCAATACAATGTTAAGTCAAGTACTTTCATTGAATTTTTTTTTTTTTTTTTTTTTTTTTCTTTTTTTTCAAGGTAAAAATTATTTAGAATTGCCAAAAAAAAGGATTAAAAGTGAAATAGTTTTTTCTTTTTTTGATGTGGGAAAAAAAAGTTGGATTCTTTATAAAAAAAAAAAAAAAATGTTAAATGAACGGGTTTTTCATTTAATATCGCGATTATGATCATAAAAATATATATTAAAAATTCTTTTATTTTTTGAAAATCGCTGTTTTTTCTTTTTTGACATTAAAATTAAAAAAAAAGAATTTTGTTTACTCATTTACAATTTGTTTAATAATTATAGATGAGAATTTTGACTTTTTTTTGTATATTTCAATCTCATCATTGTCATAAGATGACATATTGATTAAATTGTTTTTTTAACTTTCGAAAGAGGTGTGAAATTTTTTTTTTGTTAATTTGGGACAAAAGTCGAAAATTATAATCGACGAAGCTATAAATCAAAAATTATAAATTTTTTTGATTTAGAGTTTCTTTAGAATTTGACTTTTTTCCTCAGCGAAATGATGCATTTTAGATTTCTAATAAAAATGCCAATGGCTTTTTAAAAATTTTTTTTTCTTTTTTTAAATAACAATATACTTTTGTTCTAATTAAAATTCTAAAATTGAGTCGAATATAAAACACATAATGAAAATATGCTAATCGCAGTATTTGCTAGGCAATTATTTTTCTTCATATTAGTACAATTTTTTTTCAGTTCAAATGACGACATAAAAAATTGTCATAGAGCCAATATTTATCTGTTATTATTACGATTATTATTATTTTTTATTATTATTATTATTATTATTATTAGAATTATTATATTGTTTAATTATTAAAAGTGCTAGATTGTTGTTAGTTTACTGAAGAAGAATAGTGTCTACTATGAAAGATTATATATATTACTCTCTCGATTCAGTGGATCGTCTATAACAATAAATCACATTTGATATTGATCCAAACGTACCAATGATTCGGAGGAATTTTTCTCTGTTTTCTGTTTTTTTTTCATATTCTTTTTTTTTTTTTAAAGCAGTGACAACGAAAAAATTTTGACGAACCACTTGTACGTTATTTAAAATCTAAGAAATTCACACTTATCCCAAATCTAGAGACCTTGGTATGTCGGTTTTTGTGATTAATGATATAGTGTAATTTATACTTTGATGTTATGAGAAATTTGTATAAATCAATATTGAACAATTAATCGATTCCAAGGATTTTCATATACAAATACAAAAATGTACAAAAAAAATTATTTGAATCGATAATGATCAGTAAAAAATTGTCTGCGAAAAAAAAATTAATATTGTAGGGCACTAAAAATGTATGTAAAAAAACTAAAAAAAAATATATCAGTCAATTTATTGATGCAAGTATAAAATTTAGGACTTTACATTAAACTTGGGGCAAAATATTTTTAGAATTCGTTTTGATTTTTTAATTAATAATTGCAGAAAGAATTTTTAATATTCATTATAATATAAAAAAAAACTGATAGAAATAACATGCATTTTTTTTAGAGATAATTTTTTTTTTTCACAAAAAAATGAGATTTATAATTTTTTCGTTTGTCAACGAAAAATTTATTATTATTATTTTTTTTTTTTAATAGTCAAATAACATTGTCTAACAGAATTCTAAAAATATATTGGCTTGAAAAATTCATTTTTTTTTTTAACAAATTGACTATTAATGGCTGATAGATTTTAAAAATTTTTTTTACCAAATGAGTATTGATGGTTTACTGCGAATACTATTATAAATATATATATATAAAAAAAATATTATTATTCCCTCATTTTGAAAATGATCAGTGTGTGTATATAACCGGCGATGCACGAGAATCCTTATTATTTATTAGTTAAAACTAGATTATATGATCTGATAATATCTGTACTATGTATCTTTCTTCAATAAAAAACAATAAATTTTCTTTTATCACCTTCATCAAAAATTTTAAGGCGATGACTTCTGATTTGATTATGTGAACAGAATTTTCAAAAAAAATATTGATTGAGAAAAAAAGCTCTTTAGAAATTCTTTTCAAATAATCATTCAGAAGTTGCTTGTTCTTTTTCAGAAAACCCTTTCCCAAAAAAGTGATAAATTAATTTAAATTAGATAATAATTTTTTTTTTTATTATTATTATAATTATTATTTTCTAAAAACGAAAAGTGGAGAAAAAATATTTCGAAATGGATGAAAATTTAATTTTTATAATGTAATTTTTTTTTTCGATTTTTGATGCAGAAATTTTCCATTTTAAAAGAAGATAGAACGATAAAGCGCGTGTGCGTAACTTCGAACTTGCGAAGAAATTTTCAAAGCAACCAGTTGAAAGTAGAACATCATGTGGAACACTTTAATTTATCAATGACAATGAATAAATTCAAAATTTGAATTAATTCGAGCAAAAAATTTGCCAAAAAAAAAAAAAATGAGATATAAACATATTATTATTGTTGGCAGTACATTAATCTTAATTGTTTCTTTACTTTCTGGACTTTTATTTTACTTCAATCAAGGTAAGTTTTTTTTTTCACTATTTTGATTAATTTTATTTTTATATTAATTATAAAATTTAACAATTATTTTATTATTTATTAATAATTAATTATTATTAATTTCTCTAAAATAATAAAGAAAATTAATTAAATCTCAAATTAAGAAAATATTTATTATTGCAAAAAAAAAAATTAATAAATTTACGGTTCATTAATTAGGTAAATATAATTAAAAGTATAGAAAACAATCAAGAAATTAAAATGATAAAAAAAAAATTGTTTAAATAATTTTTGTAATTTTCTGTAAGACTTTTCATCAAATTGAATAAATTAACAGTACACGTGTAATGGCTTTAGACTTATATATATATCCTAAAATACTAATGATTGGGGGAAAGAAAAGCAAATTATAGTGAAACCCAGGAGAGTTTTAAAAATGTGATTTAAAAGAAGGGAAGAAAAAAAAAAGTAAAATTTATAATGAAATATAATATTAACCATTAAAGGTAATTATATTTTCTAAAAATATATTTTAATTTCCTACTCTTGGCTTAATTAAAAAGAAAAAAACGAAATGTGAAAAAAAAAATTTTAATATTCACTATAACGTTAGTAAATGCGTATTATCGAATTAGACTTCGTCAAATAATCAAGAATAATCAAGATCATTTGACATCATACGAAGAATGAGAATGAATACTTATTTCTCGTGTATTGCGATTCTTTCAAAATATAAAGGTAGAAATTTTTTTTTTTATCCCAAAGAAAATGAAATTATAATTTAGAAACAAAAAAAAAATAACTTTCTTTTTTGTTTTCAATTTTTTTTAAAAAATTGTATTAAAAATTTTTTTTTTGACTTATTTTACTATTAATAATAAAATTTTCTTTTTTTTTTCATAAAAAATTTTCCCTAATTTTTCTAAAATCAAAATGTTTAATTAATTTTGATTAATTTATAGATAAATGTTCAGTTGGATCATTTCCTTGCGCAAATAGCACAAAATGTATTCTCCAACGATATTGGTGTAATAAAAAATATGACTGTCCAGAACGTGATGATGAATCCGAAACTGAATGTTGTAAGTAATTATGATTTATAATGAAAAAAAAAATTAATTTTCTTTTAAATATCATGAAAACATTTTTTTGAAAAATTCTTATTCAAATTTCGCATATTATTAAAAAGATTTTTAATTCATTGATTGTGTACGCAGTTGATTTAAATGGAGATTGGGACCACATATACCAAGATTATTTGAAGCCTCAGAGGCCTCTACCAACATGTGGCAAGTCTTTTTAAAAATTTATTTCATTTAATATTTCTCATATCACTGTCAAAATTTAATTAACTCAAAAGAAAGTTGGTATGAATTTTTTTTTTTTTGTTGCAGAATCAGTAATATCTCCACCAAGATGTAAAATTGAGGAATGTCATGTAACATGCTTTGAACAAAAAGAAATACCTCAAACTTTTTCTGTCAATGTCACAACAATGTAGGTATTTTTTTAATCTTTAAATATTTTTAATTTTTTAATTTTTATTTATTTATTTAAAAATTTTTTAAATTTATATTTCTTTATTTATACCATAATAATTTTTACAGAATTTTGAATAATAATTTTCTGACTCAATTATCAGCAAATGTTTTCGAAAATTATACAGAATTGCAAAAACTGTAAGTCCTAAATAATTTTCATACAAATTTTTATTTTATTTATTTATTTTTTTTAATTAACTAAGGGATTTTAATTTTCAGTTTACTGAAGAACAATTCGATTAGAAATTTGGAAATAGGGACTTTTAAAAAGCAGGCTCAATTAGAAAATCTGTAAGTTGAAATTATTTTCAATTTTTTTAATATTGTCGAAAAGGTATTTTTTTTAAATTTTCCTTTTATTTTCCTTTTCAGAATTTTAACCAAAAATTATATTCACGAAATACACAGAGGACATTTTACAGGTTTGGTTTCTTTAAAAAGATTATTTATTAACGAAAATAAAATTACAATTGCAAATTTATTCGATTTTGAAAACAGTACTTCACTTGGATGGTTGTAAGTGTAAAACAAATTAAGTATATACTAATTAAAATCAAATATAATTTTTCTCCAAATATAAAATAAAAAATTATTTTTAAATATTTATTAATTTTTTTGCAAAAAAATGTATTTTTAAAATCTAATTTTGAAAAAAAAGTAAATTGCAAAAGGTGATTTAATTATACAAATCGATTAAAGGGGAAAATTTGAAATCTAAATTTAATCAACCAAAGTGAAATTTTCCGTTAGTTGACATGAAACATTTTCTTAGTTGTATTTAAAGTAAAATTATTTCAGAAATTTGAATAACAATTCTATAACTGTTCAAAATTTGTCTCTACCATATTTGCCAGTATTGGATCAATTGTAAGTAAAAAGAAATTATTAAAAAAAATTTTTTTTATTTTAATTATAATTAATAAATTATTTCTTTTAGATTTTTAGATGAAAATAATTTAGAAGAAATTCCAGAAACTTTATTCGCTGGATTGCCAAAATTAAAAACTTTGTAAGTTAAGAAAAATTTCAATTTAATATTCAAATAATTTTGTTTAAAAAATTACTTTTTTTGAAAAAGTATACAATTATTTTTTCAGAAGCTTAGAAGGAAATAAAATAAAAAGAATCGCTAAAAATGCTTTTCAACATTTTGAAAATCTCACCGAGTTGTAAGTTTTATTTTTTTTTTTTTTTATTAATAATTGAAAAATAAGAAAAATTAATTACAAAAATTATATAGATAAAATAATTTTTTCAGAAATTTAGCATATAATAAAATCAAAAAAATTGAACCAATACTTTTTCAATCTCTCGTCAGTCTTCAAAAATTGTAAGTAGTAAAAAATTTGCAATTGTATATTTATTCATGTTTTTATTTACTTTTATATATTAATGAATTGAAAAAAAAAATTATGAAAATACGGAAGCATGAGTAATAAGCACGTTTTCTACTAATTACACAATCTCCCACAAGATTATCTTTAAATCATATTTACACCAATTTCATCTACTTTGTCACGTATTTCCGCATATTATGCCTATATGTCTCTATTGTTTGAAAATTCGAACATATAACTAAATTAAAAAATAATTGTTTTTATTATTAAAAAAAAAAAAAACTTTCCAATTATTGTGTATGTGAAAAATCTTCATAAAAAAAAATTCTTTAAGTATTAAAAAAATATTCAAATTATATTATTTTTTTCTTAATAATAATGTAATAATTTATTATAATTAGATCAATCGGATATAATTTTATTGAGAATTTCCCAGTGACTGCATTGGACACATTGAAAGATTTAAGATCACTGTAAGTAAATGTGAAATAATTAATATTTTCAACCAAAATTTACATGGTGAAAAAAAAATATTTTTTTTACAGTGGAATTGAAGATATTGATTTGGATAATTTTGAAAAGCATTTTTTTAATCTTTTTCCAAACTTAAATTTCATGTAAGTGAAAGTGATTTATAATTTTTATTTCCATTTCTATAATTAAATTATAAAAAAAAAATTTTCTTTTTCTTATAGCTACTTCAAAAGATTTCAATACTGTTCTATGTTTGCTCCAAATGTAAAAAAGTGCCGTCCAATAAGCGATGGTAATTTTTTTTTTTAAATTATTCTTTTTTAAAAAGAATCAAAAATAATAATAATATATTTTTTTATATAATTGTTGTTATTTTTTATTTAATTTATAATATTTATTTTAAAAAAAATCTTTCTTTAATGTTTTTAGGAGTTTCTTCTCTATCTCATTTATTAGGAAAGCCAATATTAAGAGCTGCTGTTTGGGGAATTTCTTGTGTGACATGTTTGGGAAATTCTCTCGTTCTTTGGGGAAGATTGACTGCTAAGGATGAAAATCGAGTCCTTAGCATTGTTATCAAGCACCTTGCAGGTAAAAATTTTTTTTTATAAGAAAAAATATCTTAGGGGGACTTGAAATAATTATTAATATAAAAAAAATATTAATAGTAATAATAATAAAAAAATAATAACAAATAATAATAATAAAAATAATAGTAATAATCACAATAATAATAATTTAATAACTAATAATAAATTAAATAAATTATTATTTATTGAAATTAGTTAGAAATCTAATTAATTTGTTTATAATTAATTAAATTTCATTTTACTTCTATAACTGAATTTAGAAAAATTATTCATAGTTTAATTGTGTAAATATAATTGTTTTTAGTATCCGATATGCTGATGGGAATTTATCTTTTCATAATCGCTTTAGAAGATATCCGATTTCGTGATAATTATCATTTGGAGGCAAGTTCCTGGATGTCATCATGGTCTTGCACTTTGATTGGAATTGTCGCAATGACATCCTCGGAGGTAAAAATATATATTTTTTTAAAATAATTTTCTCTACACTAAAAAAAAATATGTATTTGATTCAAATAATCGATTACTTGACTATTATCAAATAAATATATTTACTTGAATCAAATAATGTTTATTTGAATTAAATAAACTATTTGGATTCAATAATTTCCATATTTGAAACAAATTCCATTTAATTGACTCAAATAATAATTAAAATATTTCTTTAATAAGTAACAGATTATTTAGAATTAAATAAATTATTTTTCAGTGTATTTTAATTTAATTTAAAGTCATTGTAAAATTGTTTGATTTAAAAAAAATGTAATTATATACTTTTTAGAGTTGAAATATTAATTTCATGGGCTACAATAATTTTTTTTCTATTGTCCTTGAAATATATCACAAATGAAGGATAATTATTTCCATAACTATATTTCAGTTGGCTAAATATATTTAAGGAGAGGTTTGTTTTATTATCTCTCTGTTTTTGTTGAGATAATAAGAAAATAATTATAAAAGAATTTAGAGTAGAGTGTTATATTTCAATAACTATATTTTTGCAGAGTTTTAAAATTTTTAAATAAGAATAATGAATTTGCATAGACTGACATTATTCCAAAAGAGACTATATATTGGAATGTAATTTTTGCATTTCAAGAAAGGTATTTGTTAATATTTCATATATATATATTTAAGAAAACTATAGGAAAAGAAGTGAGAAACTGTTGAAATAATAAATGCGCGCTTTCTGGGTGAAATAATTGATTCCAAGGAATGTTTAATTTTATGAGTTTAGTAAATCATTGAAAAAAAAGAAAAAACATATTTTTCAAGGTATCTGTACTGATCCTGTCATTCATGTCAGTGGAAAGATTTATGCTAATCGCAGCGCCCTTAAAAAAACATCGTGCTTTATCACCACAAGCTGCTTCATCTTCAATGATAATTGTTTGGATCACAGGCATAACACTTGCTCTTATTCCAGGTAAATTAATAAAATTAAAATAATTTTTTTGTTTTTAATTATTTTTTTTGCTAATCGATTTATTTTTTTATTAATTTATAGCAATTCATTGGCGCAGCAGTACCAGATTTTATGGTGTTAATGGAATGTGTTTTCCGCTTCATATAGACGATCCTTTTTTTATAGGATGGGAATATTCAGCGTTTATTTTCCTGGGTCTCAATTTTATAGGGTAAGAAATTTTGTTAGATAATATGCAGATTGGTTAAAAAATTTAACAAGATAATGAAAAAATTTGAAAAATAAACATTTAAAAAATTACCGACCAAGAAATCTACTTTACAGACTGATGGTAAAAAAGTTTTTTTTTTTGAAAAATAAAAATATAAAAAATTACCAATACGTAAATCTACTTTACCAACTGATGGAAATTTTTTTTAAAAATGAAAATATAAAAAATTACCGGCACAGAATTCTACCTTACCGACTGATAAAAAAAAGTTTTTTTTTAAAAATAAAATATAAAAAATTGCCGATACATAAATCTACCTTACCGACTGATGGTAAATTTTTTTGCAAAGTGAAAAAATAAAAATTACAGAAAAGAAAAATTTCAAAACTGTTTTACTATCAGTCGGTAAGGTAGATTTCTGTACCGGCAATTTTTTTATATTTCAAAAAACCTTTTTACCATCAGTCGGTAAGGTAGATTTCTGTGTCGGTAATTTCTTATATTTTCATTTTTCAAAAAACCAAAAAATTTTAAAAAATTAAATTTGCGAGATAATTGGACGGGAATACCGCCAAAGTCTTAACTCGGGAGTCTCGAACAAAAAATGTATGGCGCACTTTTTGATTGGTCCAGCGGATGCTGAGATACGCTTAAAAAAATCGGGAGAGAAATTTTCGAAAAATAAAATTTGCGAGATAATGACTCGGGAATAATGCCAAAAAATTGAGCAAAAAGTCTCGAACAAAAAATGTATGGCGCAATTTTTGATTGGTCCAGAGGATGCTGAGCTACGCTTAAAAAAATCGAGAGAGAAATTTTCGAAAAATTAAATTTGCGTTATAATCGCTCGGGAATACCACCAAAAAAATAGTCAAAATGTTCTGAACAAAAAATGTATGGCCCACTTTTTGATAGGTCCAGCGGATGCAGAGCTACACTAAAAAACAAATTTGGAAAAAATTTTGAAAAATTAAATTTTTGAGATAGTCGTTAGGGAATACCGCCAATAAAATAGGGAAAAAGTTTAGAACAAAATATGTATGGCGCACTTTTTGATTGGTCCAGCGGATGCTGAGCTACACTGAAAAATAATTTGGAAAAATTTTCAAAAAATTAAATTTTCGAGATAATCGTTCGGGAATACCGCCATAGTGATTAGAAGATAGTTCTGAACAAAAAATGTATTGCGCACTTTTTGATTGGTCCAGCGGATGCTGAGCTACACTCAGATAAATTTTTTAAAAAATTTCGAAAAATTAAATTTGCGAGATAATTGATCGGGAATACGGCCAAAGTCTTAACCCGGGAGTCTCGAACAAAAAATGTATAGCGCACTTTTTGATTGGTCCAGCGGATGCTGAGCTACACTCAGATAAATTTTTTAAAAAATTAAATTTTCGAGATAATTGGCCGGGAATACAGCCAAAGTCTTAACCCGGGAGTCTCGAACAAAAAATGTATGTCGCACTTTTTGATTGGTCCAGCGGATGCTGAGCTACAATCAGATAAATTTTTTAAAAAATTAAATTTTCGAGATAATTGGCCGGGAATACCGCCAAAGTCTTAACCCGGGAGTCTCGAACAAAAAATGTATGGCGCACTTTTTGATTGGTCCAGCGGATGCTGAGCTACACTCAGATAAATTTTTTAAAAAATTTCGAAAAATTAAATTTGCGAGATAATTGATCGGGAATACCGCCAAAGTCTTAACCCGGGAGTCTCGAACAAAAAATGTATGCCGCACTTTTTGATTGGTCCAGCGGATGCTGAGCTACAGTAAAAAACAAATTCGAAAAAAATTACGAAAAATTAAATTTGCGAGATAATCGTTCGGCAATATTGCCAATAAAATTCGGAAAAAGTTTCGAACAAAAAATGTATGGCACACTCTTTGATTGGTCCAGCGGATGCTGAGCTACACTCAAATAAATTTCGGAAAAATTTTTGAAAAATTAAATTTTCGAGATAATCGTTCCGGAATACCATTACTGTCTTTTGCAAATAGTAGCGAACAAAAAATGTATAGGGCACTTTTTGATTCGTTTAGCGGATGCTGTGCTACAGTAAAAAACAAATTCGGAAAAAATTACGAAAAATTAAATTTGCGAGATAATCGTTCCGCAATACCATAACTGTCTTTAGCAAATAGTAGCGAACAAAAAATGTATTGCACATTTTTAGATTGGTCCAGCGGATGCTGATTTAGATTAAAAAACAAATTCGGAAAAAATTTGGAAAAATTAAATTCGCTAGATAATCGTTCGGGAATACAGCCATAGTGATTAGAAGAAAGTTCTGAACAAAAAATGTATGGCGCACTTTTTGATTGGTCCAGCGGATGCTGAGCTACAATCAGATAAATTTTTTAAAAAATTAAATTTTCGAGATAATTGGCCGGGAATACTGCCAAAGTCTTAACCCGGGAGTCTCGAACAAAAAATGTATGGCGCACTTTTTGATTGGTCCAGCGGATGCTGAGCTACAATCAGATAAATTTTTTAAAAAATTAAATTTTCGAGATAATTGGCCGGGAATACCGCCAAAGTCTTAACCCGGGAGTCTCGAACAAAAAATGTATGGCGCACTTTTTGATTGGTCCAGCGGATGCTGAGCTACACTCAGATAAATTTTTTAAAAAATTTTTGAAAAATTAAATTTGCGAGATAATTGATCGGGAATACCGCCAAAGTCTTAACCCGGGAGTCTCGAACAAAAAATGTATGGCGCACTTTTTGATTGGTCCAGCGGATGCTGAGCCACACTCAGATAAATTTTTTAAAAAATTAAATTTTCGAGATAATTGGCCGGGAATACCGCCAAAGTCTTAACCCGGGAGTCTCGAACAAAAAATGTATGGCGCACTTTTTGATTGGTCCAGCGGATGCTGAGCTACACACAGATAAATTTTTTAAAAAATTTCGAAAAATTAAATTTGCGAGATAATTGATCGGGAATACCGCCAAAGTCTTAACCCAGGAGTCTTGAACAAAAAATGTATGGCGCACTTTTTGATTGGTCCAGCGGATGCTGAGCCACACTCAGATAAATTTTTTAAAAAATTAAATTTTCGAGATAATTGGCCGGGAATACCGCCAAAGTCTTAACCCGGGAGTCTCGAACAAAAAATGTATGGCGCACTTTTTGATTGGTCCAGCGGATGCTGAGCTACAATCAGATAAATTTTTTAAAAAATTAAATTTTCGAGATAATTGGCCGGGAATACCGCCAAAGTCTTAACCCGGGAGTCTCGAACAAAAAATGTATGGCGCACTTTTTGATTCGTCCAGCGGATGCTGAGCTACACTCAGATAAATTTTTTAAAAAATTTCGAAAAATTAAATTTGCGAGATAATTGATCGGGAATACCGCCAAAGTCTTAACCCGGGAGTCTCGAACAAAAAATGTATGGCGCACTTTTTGATTGGTCCAGCGGATGCTGAGCTACACTCAGATAAATTTTTTAAAAAATTAAATTTTCGAGATAATTGGCCGGGAATACCGCCAAAGTCTTAACCCGGGAGTCTCGAACAAAAAATGTATGGCGCACTTTTTGATTGGTCCAGCGGATGCTGAGCTACACTCAGATAAATTTTTTAAAAAATTTTGAAAAATTAAATTTGCGAGATAAGCATCCGCTGGACTAATCAAAAAGTGCGCCATACATTTTTTGTTCGAGACTCCCGGGTTAAGACTTTGGCGGTATTTTTATATTTCAAAAAAACCTTTTTACCATCAGTCGGTAAGGTAGATTTCTGTGTTAGTAATTTTTTATTTACAAAACCCTTTTTACTATCAGTCGGTAAGGTAGATTTCCAGGTCGGTATTTTTTATATTTTTAACATTTATTAATATTAATATTCGCTCATTAAATAATTATTTAGATAGTTTAATAATTACTTAATTATTAAATTATCTACATTATAATATAAATAATTATTTATTTAATTAAATAATTTAATTATTGTTTATTTAAATAATTTTTTTTCAACATTTTTACTAATTAATTTTTCTATATATTTTATTTTAAAAAAGATTAATCACCATTGGCTACGTTTACACGGGAATGTTTGTGAGTATTTGGCAAACACGTCACGCAACACCTTTATCTGTTGGCGATTCTGAATTCGCATTGAGATTTTTCTTAATTGTATTGACTGATGCTGCGTGTTGGGCGCCAATAATTATTCTCAAAATTCTTGCATTAATGAAGTACCCAATACCACGTAAGGCTATATAATTATTTCATCTCAATTATTAATATCAACTGGTACTTTCACGATTTTTTTTTTTTTGATAATTATTTATCGCTTTTATACATTGTATGTATATTATTATGTATGTTCATATATTTTGTTCAGGAAGAACATTTTCTTTCTTTATAATAATTCTTTTTCTGTCATTTATTTTAATACTTTGTAACGTGTCACGACATTTAAAGTAATTTACTGATTATAAATAATCGTATTATATTGTTTTCATATTAAATTATATAAAATTATAATTTATAAGTTATTATAAAATATTATTATATTTTTTTCTTTTTTTTTAAATAATTCTCATATTCTTTTTTCTTTGTTTTTTTCAGCTGATTTGCATTCTTGGGTTGTCGTTTTTATTCTACCAGTTAACAGCGCTGTTAATCCACTATTATACACATTTACTACTCCTAAATTTAGAGAGAGACTGAATGGTGGTAAAAAGTTAATTTTTTTTTTTAAATAAATATTTATACGCTCAAATTAATTACTAATTATCTTCTTTTTTTGCTTTTTAGTGAAACGTGCCGAAAAAAGAGATGGAAAAATGAAAATTTCATCTTAAAAAAAAGAAGAGATTCCAATCGAAAATATTTACCTAATTTAGTTTTAAAATATTTTTTTTTTATAAATATTGTGTATATATTATTTATATTTTCAAAGCAAATAGAATATTTTTATTATAATTTATTTATTTTTTAAAAGAAGCAAATTATTAATTATTTAATAATATTTATTGATTTAAATTTACTTATTTAATAAATATTTATAAAATTAATTATTAAAATATTATTATTACCTGTTATTAAATTATTATAATTAAATTAAAAATTGTTTAAATAATTAAAATAAAATAATTTATAATAAAATTTGATGAATTAAAATTCTTTTTAACTTTTTTCTTCTTCTTTTTTTTAAATCTTGATCCTTTAATTAAAAATAGCTTAAGTGAAATAAATATATATCGTGATAGTTAGAAAAGTATATGTAATACAGGCTTTCAGAGGATGATGCGATAAATTAAGTTCCAGAAGCGAAATAACATAGCCGCGGGTTTGAAAGTATATACATATACATATTATACATATATATGAGCAATAAGGGATCTAATGATCCAATTGCGTGTAACACTTTTCATTGTATTTATACTAAATGTAAAACACATTTTTCATGATCGCGACTTTTTTTTATTTTTTATATATAAACAAATCGCATTTTTAAAATTTTTCGCAAACAATTTCCCATTTTCCAATATAATGAAAATTATTAAAAAAATAATTTTTTATTTGTTTTAAATAAAAAAAATTATTTAGCACAAATAAAATTTATTTTTGAAACAAATAAATATTTATTTAAACCAAATAAAATTAACTTGGCTCTGTGAAAAATAATTTTTTTCCCCTTTAGATATTATTTTGCAAATGAATGCAAAAAAAAAATGAATAATAAACGATAAATTATTTTTGAAATCAAAAAGTTCCAATTTCCGAAAGGTGATATTTTATCCGAGGATAATCTTTGGGTTTATCGAGAGTTACTATCATTTTTGTAAATATAAAGGTGCACGATAATCGAGAGACAAGCAAACGTCGTTCGCAGCGGGATTGCAGTCTCTCTTTCTCTGTTTTATTTGTCTCTTGTGAAATCGGAATTTTGTCGTGAGGAATTCACATTATTATATATTCTACATATATAGTAATGGGATTATCTATAGACCGTTTTTCATGAAGTGTATTATGAGCGCCAAATCCCTTTCTACATGGTATTTTCAGGGCGTGGGTGTCACCGCGAGGCATAATCCGCGCAGTAGTTTTGCAATAATCTGGAAAATCTTTCTCTCTCTATATATACAAATAGTTTTGCTAATGCACTACTCGAAAATGCTTCTCTTAACTATATTTCCCGCAAACAAATTACCGACAAAAGGAAAGAGAGAGAGAGAAAAAAAAAGATTATTGTGCAAAAGAATTCAGATCCCAAAAAAATTATTTCCTATTTTTTATTTTTTTAAATTAAATAATAAAAAATATTAATATTAATTAATTAATATTTTTTTATTATTAAATAATAAAAAATCAAAATAATTTTTTAAACCCATTTTTTACAAAAAAGGATAGATATTTGTTATTGTATTATAAATTAATAAATTTTATGAGAACATAATAAAATTTCCAAGTAGCATTAAACTGTCACGAAAGGAAATTTCAAAAATCATCAACTTGCATGTTGTCGTAAAATCATTCGTCACTTTAAAAATCTATTGTTAATATGCGGTGAAAGGAATGATGAGCTATTTTCATTTTTTTTTTTTGTTTTTCGTTAAAATTACGTCAACACCCTCTCTTGCGGGTAGAAATTATGGTTTTTGGCATTGTACCAAAATGTGGAAGACTATAAGCAAAATTAACTTATATTACAACAGCTATATAAGAGACATTCAAGTTATATTACAATAAAATAAAAAAAATAATTTTTTCTTTCTCATTATTTTTTTTTTATATTTCAATAAAAAATAAAATATTAAAATAATAAAATAAAAGAAAGTCGCAAATAATGAAAATTAAACAAAGACATTTCTTGAATGAAAAAAAAAAAGAAATATAATTTAAAGACGCAAAACAGGTATATTATTGTGCGCGCAATAATGATATGAGCGAAAGTGGCAGGACAATCTTTGAATTCGTTATATACATGATATATATAAAAAAAAAGAAAAATACTTTCTCGTATATATGTTTCCTGTTCAGAAACAATGAAGCAAACTACCTCGTTAAAGTCTTGCAAATAAAATGAGAGCAACAAAAGAAGAAAATAAGAACAGTTTAATATAGCAAAGCTTATAAAAAGCTTTATAACACCGGTCATAATAGTCGCGAAACGTAATAATTATTGTGACTATATTATGTCGATAGGTGTATAATGTATTATATAAATTTGCATACCTTGTAATTTACAATTCAAAAAAATTGTACTCATTTTTGAATTTATTTTCTTTTTGAAAAAGAAATTCAAATTTTTTTTATCTAATTAAAGAAATGAAAAAGAAATTTTTAAAAAAAGATAGAAAATTTTCATCAAAGGAAAAATTTCTCTTTCACAGAAGAAAAAAAATAAAAATCACTGAGGACAAAAATCTTGAGGGGAAAAGAATTTATAACAATTAGAAACCTTTTTATTTTGTTTACGACATATTCTCTAAAATCTAGCATATATATATATATATGCTCTAGAAATTCCAGAATTTTATTGGACAATAACGAGAGTCACATCCGGGATCTTCAAGGTGCCGGAGACTCACCTTTTATTTTACGACTTTTGTTATTAGCTGCTTTGTAGAAAATTGTTGCAAAGGCATAAGTGCAATTTCTTTTCGGAATATAGCGAGCAGCATCAGATTTTTCAATAAGGAAATCAGTAAATAAAGAGAGAGACTCAACAAGCGTAACGCACTCTTATTTTTGTAATTATAAATAAAAAAACACTGACTGCAGTGAAAAAAAAATTTATTTCATCCAAATAATCTTGTACTTGACTATTCTCAAATAAATAAATAATTTCTACGGTACTAATAATTTTTGTACTAATTTCTAAATATTGGGCGCATTAGTTGAGGACGCCATCACTAGGGGGGGGGGGTATTTTAGTTGAAGACGCCATCGCTAGGGGAGTGTTATATAGTTTAGGACGCCATCACTAGGAGGAGTATTTTAGTTGAAGACGCCATCGCTAGGGGAGCGTTATATAGTTTAGGACGCCAACGATTACTATTTGAATCAAATAAATTTTTTTTACATAGGTACATCTGCATAACATTTAAAATTATCAAGAAAAAAACTTATTATATTATTTTATAACTTACAGATTATAATATAAATTTCAAATTTTTTTTGAAATAAGGTTGCGAATAAGTTATCATTATTTGTATGATATTTTTGCGATTTAAGATCGCATTTAAAGTGAAGTTAAAACAGGATGCTGTACATACAACATTGTAAAGGAAAAAAAATATATATGATTCAAAGAAGACTTAAATTATAATAATTTTGGAAAATTAGACATTGTATGCAGAAATTACAGAGAAGGGAAAGTAAAGGAGCATGTATAATTTGATTTACTTTGAAACGTGTTGAAATTAAAAGAAAGAAAAATATCTTGTAAAAGCGTACTTTGCAATATATATATATATATATATATATATATATATTGGGACGCGAGATATTCCCCTGTGCGATGATTGTTTGAACCGTTATTTGCCGACAGAAAAAAGAAGCTGTTGCGAGAATTGAAGAAGGAGTTCTTTAAAGAAATATATATATATAGGTACCGCTTCGCAAAATTTTTATGCGAATACATTAGAGTCAAACAAGAGCTTTAATCATCTATATTCAAACGATATAATCCGACAAACAATATAATAAAGCAGAGAGCTCTCATAAATCTTCAATTTTTTAAGCATCACTACGATTTTATTCTTTATTTATAGTTTTTTTTTATTTCTTTGAATATTATTAATTTCTGTGATCAATTTTCAGCAATTTTTTTTTCTATGAATGAATGTACAAAATAGCACACACATAAATCAAAATTACTTTATTATTCCCCTCTTTTTTTTTATTGAAAATTAAAATAAAAACTCTTTAAATAAAGAAAATTAGAAAAAAATAAAATAAAATTGTTTTCTATAATTAAAAATTATTTGATTGAATAATAATAATTATTATTATTAATTCAAGGAGAATAATTACTTTACCGACTGTTGGTAATGTATGAATCTACCTTATCATCAGTCGGTAAGAAGAATTTTCTAATTTACGGACTATATAATAGAAAAATCTACTCTCTCATCAGTCGGCATGTGGAAATTTCGTTTTTCTTCTTTACCGACTGATGATAATATAGGAATCTATCATACTGGCAGTCGGTAAGAAGTAATTTTCTACCTTATCGAAGAAAGAAATTTATGTTAAATAATAGTTTTTTTTTTGGTAAAATTTAAAAAACTTGAATTCTATTCCTATATTTATGAATGCAAAATAAGCAAACAAGAAGAGCAACCACGCCTTATGTTTATTGTTTGATTTCGCGACATATACAGGGGCATTATTGTGACTTAGCCTTGGCGCTAGATTACACGACGTGTGGGTGGTGTATATATAGCAAAAGAGAGAGAAAGAGAAAACCGAGGGGGAGGGGTGGCTGTTAAAAACAGCGGTGTAAATAAAGTAGACCTATTGCTATCGATCGTTAACTTTGGTTGTTAACAGCGTGTATACTGTCTACAAGAGAACGCTTCAAGGACGTCTTTAATGTCAAAGTTTCAAACATCCCCAGGTTTTAATATCCCCCCAGAGATAACAGCCAAGTTAATGTAACATGTAGGCAAAGGCCTTAAAAAAAAGAAAAAAAAATTGTTATGTGTACTTCAGAAAATATGTGCAACAAACATGTTTAACGTGCCAATAGCCGGTTAATTTGCGTCAAATTTCCTCTACTTTCGTCTCTTCAGGGTTAAATTTTTTTTTCGTTATATTACCTATACTTTTATAGCTAGCATACTTTTTTTTCTATATTATTCTTTTTTGCGCAATTTCATAATATATATATATATATATATATATATATATATATATATATATAAATTTAAAAAGTATGAAATATATATATTATGCATTCTATACATATATCATATTAACTTTTACAAATGTTTCTTGAATTTCCTTCTCGCACCTT